CCCTAAAACTAACCCTAACCCTGATTACGTAACCTTAAATCACCTGGTATGTTAAGGGAGTGACATTAAACATAATTTGCGAATGTTGATAGATTTTGTTTATGTATATTAGGTTGAATATAGATACGATATGACCAGTTAACGTCACTGCCATAGTTTATACTGCCATATTGAATTTATTATCAATCAGATTAAAACACAGATCCTATTTCGTTTCGTTTTTTATAGTTCAAAATTTCGTTTTACTTGTCTTTACTACGCTAGGATCCGAAAGAGTTGTTATATAACCTGCGTTCTGGATGATGTGAGGGATAAGCCAATGAAACGGTCTGTTGTGGCAAATTTTTGGGGTGAGGTGCACGGAACTTTGGGTGAACAATGTCTTGACGTCATAAGGTCAAAAGCTGCTTGTATGACACCTGACGTGACCTTTTACTACAACTGGTCAGATCTTCATGTAGTGTAGGCCATGGAAAGTATAAAAAATGAAAGTAAATATTGATGTGTATTTTAATCTGATTGATTTATTCGTAGTTTAATGCCTGTTTCTTATATCGTGTATATAAATATATATTATACATAGGTCACAAGTCTATAGAATACAATTACTGTCTATAACTGAACCCTGCTTGATAATGAAACATTGCTTAGTAATAAACGGGATATCATTGCTTGATAATAACCAGTTGGAACGTCGCTCAGTAATAAACAGTACATCATTAAGGGGTTGGTCAGCATTAACTAAGTATTGATGTGTACATGTATATATTGTCCTGTCATATTTTCATATTTTATCATTGTTTGATAATGACTAGAGAAGCCTAGTCGAAACGTCGCTCAGTAAAAAGCAGTAATTGTATTCCATAGAATTGTGACCTGTATACTCTAGTTCAATTACTAAATGCCATTCAAACTTTTGATAAATTACTTATATTAGTGGGTTAAGTATGAACAATACTGTATATTAGTGGGTTAATTATTAAATATAATTTAGAAGTTCCTTGTACAGTGTAACATATATTCAATAATAACTCCCCACATGTTGGCAACAATAATAATTTATTTTTCAAAGGGTTGAAAGTTTGACCCGGAAATTTAATATTTTACCCTTTATAAACAGTATACAATGAAGAATAGAATAGAGTTTTATTGCATCGAGCGCCCTTTAAGGGTAGGATACAATATGTAAAGGTGATTTACAGTCAAACAATACAAAGCATACCTACATGATACATATTGCAAATAATTATAGTGTAATAAACGTGTACAACCGGCATGTACGTTTGTTTAAAGTTCTATTGTGTCATTTCCATATTTCGCTAAAATATAAAATTTATTACGGCTTCGTCCACTCTGATATGTACTAGGATTGATTATTTAAAATTTAATTAGGAAAATCAAATCAAAATACCGACTCTTAAATATTCACCTGGTTCGGATTCAATTGGATTTATAACAGACCTATCAATTTTATCTTCACGAACAACAAAATGGCGACAGGCTTATGGCAGGTTAAACTCTTGTGTTCTTTCAAACACTTTTCTTAAAGTCATATCATGTTCTTCGATACTTGATCCATAAATTAGTACATGTAGCCAGCAGCATAGATCGATTAAATTAACATATCTTTGTATATACTGAAACAAATTGAAGCACATTTGGACTGATATTCTTACATGTATTAAAGAGATAGAAAACCATCTATTACAATATTGTAGTTTGTTAGGGATTCCTACATGAGACTTCAGGTGTTGCATTCTTGCAGGAGAAAATAGAAAGTTGTTAATTTTGAGAAAATATGATTGATTAATTATTGTATAATTGATTAATTACATGTAGCTATTATATTTATTGTTGTTCGTTTTTAAATGTATTTATTCACAAAAAAAACCCTCAAAAAAATATTTACATTATTTTTTGTTACAGGAATTCAGATTTTTTTTTTTTTGTCTTTTAAACTTTATTAAATCTTGTCTTTCATTATTTACAAAGTTAAAGATGCATTATGTAAGAGTTAAAGTGACTGATTGCAGGTTGTTTCTTCAGCTTCAAATGTTATTAAGTTATTATTTAGACATCTGTTAATATGACAAGGCGATAATCAACTCTCCAGACTATTGGATGGTGGAGATCTAATTGGATTAAAAAACAATTGTCATATGATGATTTAATTAAAGAAATGGTGAATCTAGGCTGAGTCTTGATTAACAAGTACCGTTGCTATGAAAATAGACAATCTACATGTATGCCACATCTTGTCAAAACATCAAACAGGGATAACTTTGCTCAGAACAAGTAATTTTTCATTATCTGTTTTTGAACTATTATAGCAAGAACGACTGGCTCTTTATCTAAATCTTACATAATGCATTTTTAATATAAAGTTAATTGTTCTTTTGCTAATTTTAACATTTTAATGGTTATAAAAATTATTTTTAGTTTGATTGATTTTAGTGCTAACTGTATTAAATGTTAGTGTTGCCAGCCAACTGTAGAATATGTAAATAGATTATTTATTTTATCCACAAACAATATAACCCGAAGAGGAAGACACACTTCTTCTAAATCAATTAATATTTTACATAAATTTGCAGCCCTTTAAGTTTCAATCTGATTAAAACACAGATCCTATTTCGTTTCGTTTGTTACAGTTCAAAGATTCGTTTTACTTGTCTTTACTACACTAGGATCTGGAAGAGTTGTTATATAACCTGCGTTCTAGATGAAGTGAGGGATTAGTCAATGAAACAGTCTGTTGTAGTGAGTTCTTGGCCTGGGATGCATGGAACTGTGGGTATCCTACAAGAAACCTCAATGCTGATTTGTTAATCAAATGTCTGACATCATAGTGTCAAAAGTCGCTTGTATGACCCCTGACGTGAACTCCCACTACAACTAGTCAGATCTTCATGTAGTGTAGCCCATCAAAAGTATGAATTAAAACGAAAAATAGATCTGTATTTTAATCAGAATGTTTAAGTTTCTTTCGTTGTACAGGTACTGACACAATGTATGTGTACATGTAACACTGTTTTACTTGTTTCAGCCATCTTGCTACTCTTAACTGCTCCTAGCTCTTGGTCAATTTAGATGTCATTAAATTAGAATTTCAAAGGATAGTCTGTCAACTTGCTTTATTATTTGTTAACCAGTTACATTTCTTCATTTTTGTAGAATCATTTTTTGCATGAGGGAAGTGGCTAGAGGTCGAATTGAGTTCGCATTGTCGAGTATAAAAAAAAAATACTGTGTTTGGAATGGCATGTTTTTTTAATGTAGAACTTGTCAAAATGTGGCATGAGTTTGATTCATTAGAATGGAGCTGAGGCTTATGTTTTTATGGTAAAATATTGTGCGAGAATGGCAAGGATTTTGTAATGATTTATCAGTATAAAGGTGATATAATGTATATATATTATAATGAATGAATATTAAAAAAGATGGTCCACCATTTTAGTCACTTGTACAGAAATGTGATTTGACATTAAATTTGTAATTCATTTATGTCTTTTAGTTATGATCATTAGGCATACAAGACTACAGTGTTAAAAAAAAACAAACAAAAAAAAAACGTAAAGAGTCGGAACAGGGTTCAGAATAATTAAATAATTTTAACGTCCTATTTTTCTGCACCTTGCTGGGTAATCAAGACTGGCAAATTTAAATTGTCAAGGGTTATTTTACATGTATGCCAATCATTGAGTACCTTCCTATACAAACGACAATGGGAAATCAGGCTGGGATATCCTGTGAAAGTTTCGCGACCAACACCCGGTTCGAACCAATGTGGACCACCTATTTTAATATATTGTTTTCATTTTGTGTTTGTAATATTGTGATAGTGCTAGTAGCATGTGTTTATATCTTTATAGGAATATATCCTATCATTTAATTATCTTTACAAAAATATCAACCATTACAATCAATAGTTGATATATGGGGGTGTGAAAACATCTGTATGTATGTTGCTATTTACACTGAAATGAGGTCTAACATAAACATAAATTAGGTCATTTTCGGATTGACATGGTATTTCGTTTATTTCCATTGTTTGTGAACATCAGACTTGAGCAGTTGGAAGAAACCTCCAGTAGTATAATGAAACATGTTAGTTCCAGAATTACCTATTTGTTGAAATCCTGTTTCAATTCCTGGCAACCAATCTTTTTTATTATCAATGAATTCTTGACACCTCTACCAGACCTAGGTAGTGGAAGGTTTTAAGATTGTTTTCCCGATAGTTTTTGTAAAGATAATCTGTATTATTTGTTTTAAATTGTTATATTATAAATGGTTCTGGTGAAAGCTTGACTTGTACTAGATTAAAATAAATCATCTAGAAAATTATAAATATATTCTTCTTGTTTTAATGTAGAATAAAAATGAAATGGTGTTTAACTCCTACTGGGCAAATGAAGACAGGCATATGCCATACAGTGTGCTATTTAGCCAGGACTGCAGCACTGTGGACTACTCTTACATCGAATTCCAACTGCTTTTTTGTCCCATCTGAACGACTAGACAGCTGTCCTTGTCAGACCCTCCATCCTGCACCACTGAGAAGGGGACACCACCCTGAAAATCCCAATGAACTTTCTCGGCCAACACTAGTCAGCGAATCTGCGACCTCCCAGCTAGTGAGCCAGCGTCTTACTCATGAATAAAACACTGGCTGCACATTGATCTTGTGACGGGAGAGAGAGAAATGGGGTTTAACGTCCACTCGACACAAACTAGGTCATTTTGGGACTAACATATGGTTTAATTTTATTTCAATAATTCGCTTGCGCGTAGGGGTCTTGAGCAGTGGGAGGAAACCGGAGAAAACCCACGAGGTTGGACAGGCGACCCTACCCCTTGTCACGTACAACCGGGGATTTGAAACCACGCCAGTCGACTCAATGACAGACTTTATGATACAGCGCGCGCACGCTAACCATTCAGCCATCCAACCCCCCATCTTGCGACGGGATATTTACATAAAAGAAAAGCCATGAGAATAGAAATATAATATTTATTATAGTTTGATTCACATAGTATCAGGTTTTATAAATAATACATATGTAGGTCAGTCTCGGTATTTACAACATCAATGACATAAACTATACAACTTCATAAAGAAATATCACAATTTATTTAAAGCTTCACAGATTCAAGGCTTTTTGATCAACAATCTTACGCAAAGGCGATTGTAAAATAGAAAATCTCGGTCAAAAGATAAAAAAAACCCATGAAATCATTTTATTACAAAATAATATTTTGTGTTGGATACAGTTAATTGTGTTAGAAACTGCAATGATCCTAGAAAACGAACATGTATAACGCTGTTGGCGGAACAAAATTGATAATGGAAAAAAATTAAAGATAAGGGAGGTGGATTTGTGGTTTCCTACCTGAAGTATTTCTACTGTTAGGTGGTTCGAGAATATTCGAACCGGTTATTTGTCCCTTCAATTTAATTATCTTGTTTAGGGTATATGAAAATAATCGACTTCAGGCATAATATTTAGCTTCGGTCTATTTCTGAAACAGATTTTTCCATTTAATAAGCACCTGTGGTCTTGAGTTGAATCAAAATAACTAAATGAATGAAAAATAATCACTCCTGGAAAAAACAATGGACGGAACAGATTACTAATTTAACGTTTAACAATATAGAGATATATAATATAAAAAAAACAAAAAAAATATTCCGCTTCTCAGATAATCCCTTCAAACACTCCAATGTGGAATGAAGGTTTTTATTTTTGTGTTTTTATTTTGTTAAAAGGATCAAGTTACTACTGGGCTAAATGAATTCTCACATCACATTTCAAGGGACTACATTTTATCTCATATGAAAATAAGGCTTTTCCCCCATCTTGATTCTAAGGCTATTTTAGAATCCTTACAGTCTATTTTTCACCATGATTCTTCTTTGTTTGCCAAAAGAAATCATTTCTTGCCACATCCGATCCAACACAAATTTATAATAATCCAACACTATTTTCATGTAGAATTTAGCACAATCAAAATTCATTTGAAATGACCCGCCATTGTGAAAGTCTCGTCTGCGTGCAGCCAATATTCCAAATTTAGGAATAGAATTTTACTGTGAACGAAAATTCTTGCTGTACTTCAATTATGTATTAATCGATTTTATGTAATGGTTGTTTATGTATCTTGAATACATAAACTTAAGTGGTATCAACAGGGTCTCATGCACTTCAAATTTTTACTTCCTGTAACTGAAGTAAAACATTTATCTGTGGTAATTAATGTAACTGTTTTTATTTTTTGAAATAAAACAGGTCATGTCGCCCTTTTTAAAGGACATTATTGGTGTCAGTCATTATCACATGTGTGATAGAACTGGTTAACGCTTTCCAAATATAATTTTAACAGAGATCATTGCTACGATAGATGCGTAATCAAGATTTCTACAAAAGGAAGTGACGAACACAGAAGGAAAACACAAGTTATCCTTCTATATGAATGACTGAAGTGACGAGTGATAACAGTTACGCGGGCGAATTTCTGCTCACTAATAATTCCTTCGAAGAGCAAAAGTTGTTAGGTGAGACTGTGAGAGGATATCTGACAATTCAAAAGTGATAATGACTGACACCAATATTGTCCTTTAAGTGATGCAAGAGTATCTGAGAATCAGAATATTTTTTTTAAGGCCTTACGTTAAAATTTGGAATAGAAATGGACGGAATACTGTATAACAGGAACAAATAAGTCACCTGGACGGAAAAAAGTATGTTCTTGAACTTTTACAATTATTACAACTTATATAAAATATATTTACATAAAGTATAAAAGCTACATTTTAAATGGACGAGAAAATATGTATATTTTCAAACAATTGCATCTCAGAGTAATTATATAAACATTTGAAAACAATAGTAAATAATTGCAAAGGCCCAAAGTTCCACACACTGTGAAATAATATACATATATCGGTAAATTACTGAGGTGCAGGTTATATATCAGAATAAATATCAACATATATAAAATTATACAAAAATAAAAATTATAAACATTTGATTTAATTATCTGTTTCATCGCTAGATTTAGATGAAAGCGGGCACTAGGCTATTTCACTTACACGGCCCCTTCCCAACCCCCGTGACTATAGGGAAGTGAACACTTATGAGGCCCCTCGAAATCCCAACCCCACGACTATAGGAAGGTGAAAGTGTCTTTTAAATACAATTCAAAAATAAAGTGATTCAGATTTTCCTCCTCAGTCAAAGGTCAACAAACCAGGTCAGAGGTCAACAAGCCAGGTCAAAGGTCAGAGACTGACCACAGGAGGAGATATTTTCATTTAAAACAAATCACTAAAAAATATTTAACAGAGGAGAAATAAATTAAATATTAATTTTTTTTTTTATATGAAAAACAAACGTGAAATATAAAATACATGTTAATATCACAGTATTGCTCAATAAAATAGGCACTTTATAAACCTCCATTTAAATAATGTCGTCATTCTCATTAAAGATGCATTATGCAAGAGCTTAATCTGTCTATTACAGGTTTTTATATGTGGCTTCAAATGTTATATAAACTAGGATTTAGACATTTATTAACACGACAAGCCTATAATCAAGTCCCTAGATCATCGGATGGTCGTGATTTAAATGGATTTAAACATCCACATGATTTAAAAAATTAATGATAAAATGGACAATGGAGGCCAAGTCTCAGTCGCAAAGTACCTTGCAAAGATAATGAACGAGCTTTGCTATATTTCAAACAGAGATAAGTTCACCCAGAATAAAGTAACTTGAATGAAATTTTCAATATATTCATTATTCATTTTTGAACTATTATAGCAAGAACGACCATCTCTTTATCTAAATCTTGCATACATGCATCTTTAATATGTACATAAATATATATATATATATACAAACAAATCAATTCATTTTAATAAAAGTTTATGGAAATGAATAAGCACTTTGTTCAATTTACTTCTTGGATTTCATGGTCTTTTCTTTTTGTCTCATTTCTGTTTCGATAGTCGCTAACTGTTTTAAAAGGTCAGTACGTTGTGATGCCAAGGTCACAGTTTGTTTTCTTAATGTCTCGATTTTTTCGCTGTCTTTTCCTTCCGAGAGATTCTTCAAACTATCTCGAACAGCCGATTCCGACTTCAAAACCTAAAATAGAAATTAAAAGTTTAGTGATAAATGGAGAAAGAGAAATGGGTTTAACGTCCACTCGACACAAACCAGGTCATTTCAGGACTAACAAATGGTTCAATTTTATTTCAATAATTCGCTTGCGCGTAGGGGTCTTTAGCAGTGGGAGGAAACCGGAGGACCTGGAGAAAACCCACGAGGTTGGACAGGCAAACCTACTCCTTGTCACGTACAACCAGGGATTCGAAACCACACCAGTTGACTCAATGACAGACCTTATGATACAGCGCGCATGCACTAACAGTTCAGCCATCCACCCTCCCCTCCCCAGCGGAGATACAAACTAGGAAGCCAGACAAGAAACATGTTTTCACTTTGCCCCCAATAAACTTGAAATTTGCTTAGGAAAGCTGATTTCACTTTGCCCACTTAAAAACAAAAATTTACCTAAGAAAGCAATTTAAAACTAGCAATTTTATAGCTGTTATTACTTTGCCCCTCAAAGACCAAAATTTGTCCCTTAAAATCTAAGATTTACCTGAGAGAGTTGAATGTTTAGATCATCAGCTCGTGTCTGAAGTCGAACAATCTGGGAATCTAGGAGATCTCTAGGAGTAGCAGGTAGATTCACCAAACCCTTGACTCTATGAGTTGGGCTGAAAACAATCATCACATATTGTTAAACATACATTATGCAAGAGCTAAATCTGCCTATTGCAGGTCTTTCTTTAGGCCTGAAATGTTATAAAACTATTAGACATTTTTTTATTGTACCGTCTTTAGTAATGATGATGAAGGATAGCCTAAAAATTAAAAGCTAACATCTCGCTTCCGACTGGAGCAATTTGACTGAAATTTCCAGCATATTCCCTTTACAGCATCCATTCTTTAACGTCCACTTTAATGTGTGGGGCTAACACATGGTTCAATTCCACTTCAATAATTCGCTTGCACGTAAGGATCTTTAGCAATGGGAGGAAACCAAAGGACCCGGAAATAACCTACGAGGTTGAACAGACGACCCTACACCTTGTCACGTACAACCGGGGAATCAAAACTACGCCAGTTGACTCAATGACAGACCTTATGATACAGCGCGCACATGCTAACCATTCGGCCATCCAACCCCCCAACTATTATAGGGAGAACTGTCAACTCGTTATCTAATCTCCCATAATGCCCTTTAAGTAAATAAAATATACCCGACGTCAACTCCCACGGGTCTTTAAAAGGGTGTTTGATAAATGGTAATAAAACAGTTTCTCTACGAACGTAGATAAGCCTTAAACATAAAATGATAATTTATAATGAATCTATGATATAAAATCTGTGTACCTTGATTTAGGAGTAGATGTTGGACTAGTCTGTCCACGTAACTCCGACATTCGGCTACTTATAAAATCTCCAGATGTTAGGTAACCTCCCTTTGATGCGAGATATTGACGTAATCGTGCATTACTTGCCATACTCTCGTAACCATAGACACGCTGACTCATTCGCTGTAAGTAAAAATTGATTTATATTAAATAATATTAAATTATATCACATCGTTTTAATTGAATATGTTGTTCATGGCACATCAACACCAACCGGGCTATATTAAATTTACACCTCTGCAATTAAATAATGGAAAAAGAAGCGGGCACAGGATAATCTAAGAATTTAGTTAGACTTTCAATATCTAAGGTAAATGGACAGTGATCAAATACAAATAATCGCTGAAAATGGATCTTCCCTCAGCTTGGCTGGTGTAAATAACAATCAAGTCACATGATAAACATGGCTGCTTAAAATACATCTTCATAGCTTGGGGAAATTTCATTTCAATTAAAATTTTTTGAAAAGGATTTGAAGCAAACTTTTGAAAGATAAATTTGCTCGAATATGTTTTTAGTTCAAAAATATCATCAAATCACACAGTTGGTACATGGGAAGGCATCTTTACATAATCTACAAAAGTACATTCTAGCATGGATTAAGTGCCAAAATATTGAACATTGTACGAAAAAGAAAATGACGGTTTTAAGTAAGAGAGAATATTTCCATAGCTGTAAATGTAATCAAGGAACTTTAACCAGTACCCTAAAACAATTACCGCAGGCTTAAATCTCAATATTTTCTGTGAAGAAATAGATTTTAAGTACTGTGACCTTTAAACTTTTATTTTTACCTGATGTGAGAAGTCTAATCTGGTTGGTCCATCTACCTTCATATCAACCAATTCACCAATTACATTCAACTTGTCATCTGGTGTTCGTGTTCCTGTAAAGGCCTGTTCTAGCAGACCACGCCCATCAGTTGTTGGAGAGACTGATGGTAGAGAGGAGGTGTTGTTGGAACGAGAGAAGAACATATCCTGACAAACGACTCGTAGACACTGACAAATAGAAAAAATAATTTTACTTCTTGCAATAGAAACAGAAATAGAGATATGTTGTTGTAATGAAAGGAGTGTCATCCAATCAGCTTGAAGGCATCCAGAATAAAAACACACTTAAAAATAATATAAGGTCAGGCAAATTTCCATAAGGCCAAATATTCTAGAAGAAATGACCCATCATAGACTTTTACACCATACACAAAAAAACCCCAGGGTTCTTGTATTTGAGTGGTAAGGGTGTTTGGGCTCTATTCACAAAACACTTAAAACTAAAATAATTCAGACTTTTCATTGGTCCAGAGCTACAATTGGTACTTTGAATATAACGTCTTGTCCAATCAAAAGGCTGCATCTTAAGTTAGTTTAATGTTTCATGAATTAGGCCCCAGGACTATCAACTGGCGATAGCTTGAGTTCGAATCCTGACATAGGTGAAGAAGAATCTCTTCCCATTTGACAGGGGTAACTCCTGCAGGGGTGACAAGCAAAGGGGTGTCTAGTTATTTGATTTTACGCCCTCGTCTTTATTGTTTTTATACTAGTCTGTCCGATAAGTCAACAAAAATTGCATCAGATGGTATCTATATGTCAAACATATTTTTGATAGAATACTTATTGGTCTACCATAATTAGAAACAAGTAGAATAAGAGTTGAATAGAATAATGATATACTTGAAATGAACTTCAGAAATCATTGATAAATATTCTTATACATGAATCATATTATTCGAAACATGGTTATCTCCCTTTAGTCTCCAAGAAGAAATAATTCCATCTATGCATAATGGTTCTGTTCTACACAAAATGAAGGGTTTCGATTCCAAGTTTGTATGTGACAAGTAGTAGGGTGGCCTATCAAACGTGAGTTTTCTACCACTGCTAAAGACCCATACACGCAAGGGAATTATAGAAATAAAATTGTAGCCTATGTTAGTCCTGAAATGACAAACTTCTAATTCAAGCGAGATGGTTTAATGTTTACTTGAAACAAACTGTCATTTTGGGACTAACAAATTGTTCAATTTTATTTCAATAATTTGCTTGCGTGTAGGGGTCTTTAGCTGTGGGAGGAAACCGGAGGACACGTAGAAAACCCACACGGTTTGACAGGCAACCCTACTCCTTTTCACTTAGAAGCGCCGAATCAAAATCACGCCACATGAACCAATGACAGACCTTATCATCTATATTGCACACGTTAAACCATTCGTCCAGCCAACACTCCCTGAGAAAATTAAAGAGAAAGGGAATAAACTGAAGCATTGTATTACCTTGTAGAATTCTCGTAAGAAGAGGGCGTCGCCATCGTTGGTCAAATCACCAATCTTGATATGAGCCAATGAATGAAGGACTACTATTACAAATTCACCAATAGATTCCATTCTCTCTTTTCGTATAAATAAAATCTTTTTAGCATGTTCGTAATAAACTGAGTTACGGTATGCGTTGTTATGGTAATTGTTGTTAGGGAGATTAGAAGCAAGGAGTAGAGTTACATCAGGAGTATTGATGGCATCATGTAGCAGACGTACAATGAATACACCAAATCTGAAAATAAAATCAAGCAAAATAACATAAACGATCTTTTACGCTATGAAACAAGATGAGTGTGAGACAATAAATTAATTCCCTCTTCACATGCAATCATTTTACCAAACTCGTTCGCAGTAGAAATTACTATGAGAGAGAGTGAGAAATAGGGTTTAACTTCCACTCGACACAAACTAGTTCATTTTGCGTAAAACATATGGATCAATTTTATTGCAATAATTGGTTTGCACGTAGGGGTCTTTAGCAGTGGGAGGAAACCGGGGGACCCGGAGAAGCCCCATGAGGTTGGACAAGCGACCCTACTCCTTGTCACGTACAACCTGAGAATCGAAACCTCGCCAACTGACTTAATGACAGAATTTATGATAATATGCGCATGTGCTAACCATTCGGGTATCCAACTCCCAGGATACTTTATTGTCAGGCCAGAACGTTCCAAATTGACAGAATGGCAATCGCATGACACGAAATACAGTCCTAACAAAGTCCTGTCAGTCCCAATAACCGAGTTAGTGTGAATAGAATTACAACTTAATTAAACAAGTTTCCGGTTGTCGACTGAGGGATTGTGGAATCCCTGGAAAATTACAATATTGTGAAGGTTGAATTTCTAAAAGGAAAATCAGTCCATATATGTATCAGATGTGATGAATTGAAGATTTGCCAACATTTGGCAGACACAGAGGAAAATCTTTGGTTGGTTGGGCCTCTTTTTTCGTTGTTTTTTGATTTCACCTACTGTTGATATTTTGATTTTGTTTTCTTAATAAAATAAATTGCAGTACATTTTAGTGTGAATCAGTGATTTTAAAAAATAAGTAAATGAAATGAAATGCTTCGAACTGGGTTAATGAAGACTGGCATACGCCATACAGCGTGCTTTAAGGGAAATTTTGCCTAGGAAGCAGCACTACAACCTACTCTCATATCGACTTCTAATTGCCAAGGGATCTTTTAAGTGCACGCCAATGGAATGGGGACACAGAATATTAGTTTTTCATCCCAAACGACTAGACAGTTGTCCTTGTCAGGTCCTTCCGTCCTGCACCACTGACAAGGGGAAACCACGCCTGAATAATAATAATAAGTAAATAGAAGAAAAGAGAAATACGAACCTGTATATAACAAATTGACTGGCTGAGATGTTGTTGATATCTGTTGGTTCTAATTTACCTCCACACATCCACTGAGCATCTTTAACATCTATATACGATCTAGAGTAATCTCCCCCTGAAATAAAATAAATCATTTCAAATTTACAAATTATCAAATAGAGAGATAGAGCAATGGGGTTTAACGTCCACTTAACATAAACTCTGTCTTTTCGGGACTAACACATGGTTCAATTTTAATTCAATAATTCGCTTGCACGTAGGGGTCTTTAGCATTGGGAGGAAACCGGAGGACCCGGCGAAAACCCACAAGGATTGACAGGCGACCCTACTCCTTGTCACGTACAACCGGGGAATCGAAACCCCACCAGTTGACTCAATGACAGACCTTATGATACAGCGCGCGCACGTGCTAACCATTCAGCCATCCCCCACCCCACCACAGTCTCTTTGTCCCGTTAACAATTGTCAGAAGAAACATAAAGCAAAGATTCCCTGCCACTCATTTAGAAAGGAATACAAATTATCACCACTGTATTTGATAGAAACTCGTTTGTCGATAAAATGAAATGCAGTTTTACGTTCTACTTTTCTGCACGAATAAGACTAGTGTACATGGGATGGGACCTTGTTTTTGTTGTCCCATCTGAAGTACTAGACCAACTGAAATATCCTGAGGAACTTCTATGACCAACACTATGATCGAGCCTCCAACCTCTTGGTTACTGAGTCAGCACTCTAATCACTGAGCCAACATGTCCGTCTTATGGAAGTTTAACATCTGCAGACAAAATAAAATATCACGTACCTTGTATTTTATCAGTGGGAAGAGTTGAAGCTTGATTATCATTCAACATGGCTTCCAAATCATTGATCTGTTTAAACAGAGGAGAAGACATTAATAGATTCACCCAATCTTGTTCCATATTACCAGATGACATCAGGTTACTATTGACAACAGGAGCAGACGGTTTAACACTCTTACTGCCCTCTAGTGGTGAACTCTGTAACCTTTCTTCAGCTTGTTTTCTCCTTAATTCTGCTTCTTTATCCTGATTTGTGTCCAACAGAGTTTGTTTTTCTAATTTTGCGACTTCCATGTCATGCTTTCGTTTTCTACGAGCTTCAAGTTTCGCTTTAAGAGTATCTTGGCTTCGGTTTTGTTCCTCTTGAAGGTTTTTATTCAGTTTTTCGATGTTCATAGAATGTTCACGAAGAAGTCTATCTTTTTCAGCCTGGCTAGCATCTGATTGGCTGATCTCTTCTCTTTGTTTTCTGTTGCGTTCTTCAATCTGTTGTTTTTTAATTCGTAATTTTTCAGCTTCTCTTTCTTTCTGTCGTTCCATTTCACGCTTATGTTCCTCTTCCAGTTCTTTCTCCACTTTTCTAAAAATTAAAAAAAATAAAATATAACAGTTTAGCACTAGGAGAGAGAGAGAGAGAGAAATGAGGTTTAACGTCCACTCGCCACAAAGTCATTTCGGGACTAACATGGTTTAATTTTATTACAATAATTCGGTTGCGCATAGGGGTCTTTAGCAGTGGGAGGAAACCGGAGGATCTGGGGGAAAACCCATGAGTTTGGACAGGCGACCCTACTCCTTGTCACGTACAACCGGGGATTCAAAACCACGTTAGCACTAGGACCACTTTAGTACCGTAACTATGGCAACAAACCATCCGACACATAAGTTGAGATAAAATGAAATGGGGTTTAACGTCCTACTTTTCTGCACCGACTGGGCTAATGTGGTGTGAGCAGAATCGAGACATAAAGAATCGTTTCAACTGTGCTGATTGGTCAAGACCGAATTGTATTTAGTTTAGTATGACTTGTCGCCCAAAATTATCATATTTAATCATTTGCGACACTTTTAAAGGAATAGAGGAGAGAATACAATTTGTTAATGTTTGACCGAGTATCCTCCTTGGTTGTCAAGGTCAACCACCATGTTGTTCGCTCTACTTACTCTAATTGTTCTTTCATCAGACGGCGTTTCTCTTCTTCTTGTGCTCTTTGTTCTTCTTTCTGTTTTTGTAAATCGGCCTCCATTTTCTGTAAAACTTCTTCACGATATTTCTTAGCCTCTTCTCGACTTTTTCTAGCCTCATCTTCATATTGCTGTTTTAATTCATCCACGGGAGAGAACTCTTTCATAGCATTAGCAATTTCCTGAAGCTGTTTGTCTTTCATATCCAGACGTTTGTGGGTTTGCCTTATCTCTATTTGTTTCATTGTGTCCTTTTCTGTCTGGATGACCATATCTTTGGTCAAATTATCAAATTCGTTCAATAATTTCTGAAATAAATACAATTTTACAAGATATTGTGGGCCTCAAACTATAAATTTAAATAAAAGTAAGCAGTCAAATTAAAAGATCCAAAAATATCTAGAAACAAAAAATGAAGCCTGTTAAATGAGCTGTTTACTCGACCTTGCATGGATAGAGTCAATTCAATAGTATAACTCCAAAACTAGAAGTGTATAGTTTAACACCACCATGTCAAGCTACAATTACACCCCAAATTTCATCCCCGGGGCATCCCCTAGTGTACTCTACAACTCCCAAAAGACAAACAATAGATAGATTATTATTATGCTTTTAAACTACACAATAAATGTAAGAAATTGATATGGCTTCCAAGTCCTTCTCATTTACAGTGACTCATCATGAAATTTAGATGATTGTTTCATTCATTGAACATCACCTTCTACCAATTGGAATCCACAAAATTTCTACCAATTGGAATCCACAAAATTTCTACAATTTGGGCTACAAAACTATTTTCACTTTTACATTTTCCTGTCCTTTTCACAAACAAATTGCAAAAATAATAGATACATTTTCACTGGGTTTATAAACACTGGATGACTCGATCAACATTAATTTGAGACTAGACCGATCATTTGTTAGTAACCTGTCGAAGATTATTTTTAGTTCAGAATGTGGCCCAATCCCTCCAATTCTGTGATTCAATGAATGAATGAAATAGGGTATCATGGCTTCTCAGCTCCAACCGGGCTATATTGCACCAAACATATGGTGGTTGTAAATAGGAAACTTTAGTGAAGACACGGCTCCCCCCGGCCTCATCCCCATGCCCATATAAAGAGACCGATAGAAATAATCAGATACCTTGTGTTGTTGTTTCAACTGTAATTTTTTCCCTTCAAGTTCATCTTCAGACATCGAACCAGCATTGGCCACCAACTCCATTAATTCCTACAATAAATAATTCTTTATTCAAAAGGAAGTTGTGATGGTAATTCTTAATTCATAAACAAGTGGTGACAGTAATTCTTAAAGATGGGTTCCCGCGTACAAACTGGGTGATTTAATGGTATATATGGACCAAAAACATATTCAAACTAATTAATTTGTCATAATTATGCTTCAAATCCTTCTCAAACATTGTAATTGCAAAGGAATGCATTGCTAAAACCAGGTCATGTTTACGTCACGTCTTGGGAGTCAGAGGAGAATTCATTGCATACATAAGACGATGTTGTCTTTAATCGCTTACTATTTATTACAAATATCGAATCCTAATTAAATTCTCGGATTATCCACTACCCGCGTCTTTTTCCGTCATTTTTATCTCAGAAAGTATTGTACGTCTAACTCTTCATAAAGTTTATCAACTTGTACATCAAGCGCTCAATGTTCGCTTGTGACCTTTGACATCATGCGTGCAGAAGTTCCTAATCGTCGTGCTGTTGATTAGGGGAACCCCTACATTTTTGTCCTGTATACGCTCCATGAGTGTTTTTCGGGGAATCCAGTATTTTTCTAGTAAGATTGGATATCTCTACTTTCCATATATACCAAAATTGCCATACTTTTATTGGAAATAATCACCCGATAAATACTTTTCTGGGAACCCATCTTTAAGGAAATAATATAATGGAAACAAAACAAGATCATTCTGGAACTAACACCTATCTTTTTTTCCATACCCTGATTATGCACAGGATGTTTAACATGGGGAGGAAACCCACAATGGGGTTAGATCACACCCAAGTCATACAGGAATGGCTACCAAACTACAAACGTGCATGGAAATTCTAAATCGCACACTTAAACCACTTCTCCCCCATCCCAGTATAACAGAAAGAGAGAGAGAAATGGGGTTAAACGTCCACTCAACACAAACTAGGTCATTTTGGGAATAACATAGGAATTTAATTTAAATAATTCGCTTGTGTGTATGTGTCTTTAGCAGTGAGAAGAAACCGGAGGAACCGGAGAAAACCCATGAGGTTTAACAGGTGACCATACTCCTTGTCACATACAAGTGTCTGATTGAAACCATTTGGCCACCCAACCGCCCGAACAATAAAATAAACGACACTTTATCAGATTGAATTTGTCTGTGACATCATCTTAGATGGAAGCAGACGTAAAGTGTAACGTCAAGTCAAATCAGATCGATTTATTCTCACCTGTTCAAGTGATTGTACCAATCTTTCTCGTTCAGATTCTCTGTTCTCTTCTAATTCTGCTACACTCTGTTTTAGAGTAGCCTCCCTTTCTCTGGCTAACTGTTCTTCTAGATGTATTGCCTCCTTCATGTGGCGTTGACGTAACACACTGTAAATCATGTTCTCGGCTTTATGACCATCTTTGCCCTAGAAAATATTTTAAATATCATTTAAATTGTATAGATCATAAAATCATAGGCAATGTGTGAAAACTGAAAGGAGCATTATGGGAGATTAGATAAAGAGCTGACAGTTCTCTCTATAATATACTATTCAAAAAAAGTAGCGGATATTTGATTTTGGGGGCATAATACTAAAATATGCAAATGACTACGAAAAAAGTCACTATAGAACCTAACAGAAGAAACATTTCCAGTTACATGTGACGCCCAAACGCACCAATAGCTACCGCATGGAATGCAGGTGATGCTTGGGATCATCATGGGGGTCCAACCCAAGATTTGCACGACTCTGACTTTGAATGTTACAGTCATTGTGGCATTGAATTCCAGGGTGGAAACATCAGTTTAATTGTTTTAGTGACCAGAAAACAAATTTTGATATGCGTCGGCTTACCCAAAATGAAAGGTTACGTGCCCTTGGCATGCTACAGATCGGCACAACACAGGCGGTTGTGGCGCGGACGATGAATGTTTCTCAGTCTGTCATAAGCAGGCTATGGTCCAGATACCGTGATACACAATCTGTACAGGACAGACCACGCTCAGGTCGACAACACAACCCCAGGATCGATTTATCCGTATCATCAGACATGATCGATTTGGGGGTGGTTCTGTTATGGTGTGGGGAGGCATCACTGTTGCTGGAAGAACGGCTTTACATGTTGTTGCAGGGCGTGTTACAGGCCAGTACTACCGGGACAACATCTTGGCAGTCCATGTTGTGCCGTTCGCACGACGTCATGGCCGCCGTTTCATCTTCCAGGATGACAACGCAAGATGTCACAGGGCCAGGATCGTTACAGGTTACCTCCAACAACAGAACATCACCACATTACCTTGGCCAGCACTGAGTCTCGACCTCTCCCCCATCGAGCATGTCTGGGACATGCTTGGACAGAGGTTACGTCAACGTCAACAACGTCCTGCCAATGTCCAAGAACTTGCTGCTGCGTTGCAACAGGAATGGGACAATCTGGACCAAAATGACCTTAGACGTCTCATTAGGAGTATGCCACGTCGGATCAATGCTTGTTTGGCAAACAGAGGAGGATTTACCCGTTACTGACTTGGTTGTGATGCTGTGGTAACTTTGCTGTTTGACCCCGGGTATCATTTTACCCTTATAATGGTCAGTCTGTGCCTTACTTAGTCTAACGATCATTTGGAATAAATCGATGAATGTGAACTTCATTTCATTTTGTCATTTGTTTCTTCGTCAGTTTCATTAGGTGACTTTAATAACACTTAAAAATCAAATATCCCCTACTTTTTTTGAATAGTATAGTTAAAAACTAGATAATGTAACGGGAATATTCTGAAAATTTCAGTCATATTACTTCAGTCTAAGCTGAGAAATACTCATTTTTAAAAACCCTGTAGTCTTGATTGTCATTGTTGATGTGACGAAATTTAAAAAAAAGTCTTGATTATCCATTTTGGAGTTTAATCACCGAAGGATGTTAAACAGCAGACTGGATTCAAATCTAATGAAAATCTGAAGCAAATTAGGTCATTTCAGGACTAACACATGATTCTTTATTTCAATAATTCGCTTGCGCGTAGGAATCTTTAACGATGGGAGGGAACCTGAGAAAACCCATGAGGTTGGACAGGCGATCTTACTCCTTGTCACATCAAATGGGTAATCAAAACCAAACCACTTGACTCAATAACAGACCTTTTGATCTAAAAGATATGTCAAACTTGTGTACAAGGAAACATACCTGGATGTTCTGAGCTAATGTTTTATTTTCCACATCTTTTGATATTTTCTCGTTAAGTTGATCTCGTTCTATTTGTTGCTGATTCAATTCGTCCACCATTTTACGTTGGTTCTCTTCGTTTATCAATGCTTCTTTTGCTCTCCTTCGTTCAGCCAACTAAAAAATACACAAGTTATACATTCTAACGGTACAACCCATGAAAACTGAAATGGAGCCTCCCCTCCGCCCCACCCCCAAACTGTCTGAGAGGCACAGATTTTACCCAAACACTTAGAGATGGTGCTGGCGTCTGCAGATTAAAAATTCACAAGATTGAAGTTCGTTAGGGATTCAAAATCTCTCAAATGATTACAAACAACCTTAAAGAAGTATTTGAATTTGTGGAAGGATATTGTTGAACAACAGGGATATTTTGCACTCAAACATATTGTGATTTTTACGAGACAGAGATTTAACGAACCTTTTGTTTGAGGTTTTGATTTTGTCTTTCTCTTTCCGTGTTCAGATTTCTTTCAATGGCTGCCTTCTCTTCTTTGTGTTGACGCATCAATCGTTTATATTCTTCTTCGGACAATTTGTCTCCACGTATTAAAATATCTCGTTCAAACTTCGCTTGATGAGCATCCAACGCCTAAAAAGAAGAATAAAATTTATGTCCAATTATTGTGATTGCACAAGACTTCAGCAAAACTCATAAATGGTCCTGGCTTGTGTTGATAATATTCTATATATCGTCTGCAGACAATTTTGAATTCATCATATTTTTGTAAGTACCAAATAGAAATGAACCATTCTTGGACTCACTATCCTTTTAGAGATTCAATGTGTTCCCTATTGAAATAAAATGAGGTTTAATGTCCTACTGTTCTGCTAATGAGAACAGTCTTACATAATACAGCGTGCTGACGGAAATTTTGCCCGGACAGCAGCGCAATTGCCTAGTCTTATATCAAATTCAACCTGCCAAGAGATCTTTTACTTGCACGCCATTGTGGTTCAGCCTATTGTAGTTTGCACATGATTAACAAACCCTCCAAAGATGATCAGTTTTTTATTTTGTTTTTTTTAACTCACCAGTTGTTTTTCTTCGTTGATCTGTTCCGTGATATTTTGTGAATTCTTGTTGAGTTCCGATTCAATCTCATCTTCTATTTTACGCTTGTCTTCACGTTGTTTCTTCTCCAATTCCTCTTGTCGACGCATCTGTTCTTCAACCAACCTTTTCTGTTCTTCCGTTAATTCTCCGTTCAACTTCTGACTTATTTCACTGATAACGTCGGCAGATTCTATATCAGATTTTGAGGCCTAAAATACAATATTTGGAAATTAAAGATTCATTATGTAAGATTTAGATAAAGAGCTGACAGTTCTTGCTATAATACTTACAAATCGATAATGAAAGGAAATATGTCGAAAATTTCAGTCAAATTACTTCATACTGAGCACTGTTATGACCGTTTGAAGAACAGTGTAGTGTCGAATGTTTTTGCTACTGGTTTTACGATAATAAACCAAATTATCCATTTTTAAGTTAAACCCGTTCAAAATCACAACCATCCAATGGTGTAGAGGATTGATTATGGTCATGTGAATAAAGTTCACATAACATTTGAGGCAAGAGAGAGAGAGAGAGAGAGAGAGAGAGAGAGAGAGAGATATATGGTTTAACGCCCACGACACAAACTAGGTCATTTTGGGACTAACATATGGTTCAATTTTAATTCAATAATTCGCTTGTGCGTAGGGGTCTTTAGCAGTGGGAGGAAACTGGAGCACCCGGAGAAAACCCACGAGATTGGACAGACAACCCTACCCCTTGTCACGTACAACCGGGGAATCGAAACCACGTCATTTGACTCAATGACAGACTTTATGATACAGCGCACACTTGCTAACCATTCGGCCATCCAACCCCCCTTGAGAAAAAAACAAGCCAACAGTGAGGCGCTGATGTCCCCCACAAAAATCCCAAAATAAATACATGACACATGTATTCATCGCACATTTATTTTTTTCAATCAAACTATACTTACGTGTGATTTGGTCACGTGATCAAGTTCTGCAGCAACGGCGCGGTCTTTCTCTAACTGCTCGTTCATTCTCTTTCTGGCAGCAAGTTTTGCGTAAAGCCTGTCCTTTTGACCTTCCAGTTGGTGCTCTCGCTGTCTGTTGATGTTTTTGATATCCTTTTTAAACTGGTTCATGATTCGCTCTCTCTCTTCAGACGTCTTGTCTTTTATCATATCTTGAAGAGCTATTTCCTGAGCTCGACGTTTTTCCTCCTGAAATATCAACAACAGAAATACCATGTCATTTTATCTGTATATTAGTGAAAAAAAGAAGTTGCAGAGAGAGAGGATAGTCCTGAGGAACTTCTCAGTCAACACTAGAATATTAAGGAGGTGGCATTCGCGATAGAGAGAGAGAAATGGGGTTTAATGTCCACTCAACATATGGGACTAACATATGGTTAAATTTTATTTCAATAATTCGCTTGCGCATAGGAATTTTTTGCAATGGGACAAGATCGAATGACTTGGATAAAACTCTCGAGCTTGGACAGGCAACGCTACTCCTTGTCACATGCAAGTGGGGAATCGAAAAAACGTCACTTGACAGCACACAATGAACAAATTTGGCCAATCGACCCCTAAAGTGACGTTTGTCCAGTTATTTTTGATTTCCCGTTCAACAACCTACCTCCTCCATCTTCTTCCATTCTTTCATCAAAATCTCGTCAGTCAAAAGATTATCTGCGTTCGTCTGTTTCTCGCTGACAGACTTCATTAATTCTACTTCCTGTTCTGTTAGGCCCTTCAAATCAGACGGACTCAATTCTCTCCCTTGATTCTTACTCTTCTGTTTCAGTTTTTCAAGAAGTTTTTGCGACGTAGATTGAAGTTGTTTATTTTTGTTGTTCGTTGTCTGGAGAATCTGGTCTATCTGTTCCTGCGTTAAGCCGAGTTGTTTCAACTTCACGGCCAAATCTCCGTCCGTGAATTTAATACCCTGGACATCGCCCCGATCAACCGTATCCAGGTCAACGTGTAAATCTTCTTCTTGTTTTTGTAACGCCAACAAATCATGGTTCAACTCTTCGTGGGACTTCATCTTTAAAATAAACAGAAAAATATTTGGTTTATGGTTTCCTTTTGATTAAATTCATCTGATATATATAAACCTGAGATTGTGAGACAATATAATAAGCCTTTGTGTTACAGAGGTGAGAAAGCTAGAGACAGGGGTGAGAAAGCTAGATACAGAGGTGAGAAAGCTAGAGACAGCTAGAGACAGAGGTGAGAAAGCTAGAGACAGAGGTGAGAAAGTTAGAGACAGAGGTGAGAAAGCTAGAGACAGAGGTGAGAAAGCTAGAGACAGAGGTGAGAAAGCTAGATACAGAGGTGAGAAAGCTAGAGACAGAGGTGAGAAAGCTAGAGACAGAGGTGAGAAAGCTAGAGACAGAGGTGAGAAAGCTAGAGACAGAGGTGAGAAAGCTAGAGACAGAGGTGAGAAAGCTAGATACAGAGGTGAGAAAGCTAGAGACAGAGGTGAGAAAGCTAGAGACAGGGGTGAGAAAGCTAGATACAGAGGTGAGAAAGCTAGAGACAGGGGTGAGAAAGCTAGATACAGAGGTGAGAAAGTTAGAGACAGAGGTGAGAAAGCTAGAGACAGAGCTGAGAAAGATTAAAAGCTCGAGACAGAGTTACGAAATGGGCCTTAAATTCCACTCAACACTAACTCAGTCAGATTTGTTTCTTTCCCTTGTGCACAGGGGTCTTTCAGCTGGAAAACCCATCTAGGCAGACGACGGTACTGATCGTCATGTAAAACTGTGAGATTGAAACCACAAGACTTCAATCAATGACAAATTATTATTTATTGTGCACACTTAGATCACCATAACCATAGTTTTAGAGTCTTTTACCCAGTCTTGACGGGTCTCAAATGGAAAAAAGTCAAGTGGTTCCAATGCTATATATACTGTTCAACCAAAGTCAACCATATACAGTGGCCCAGATACCATATGCTACAAGTATGTTCCATTCAGCCTAATATTTCTTGGGACATCTAACGATATAAATATTGGGATCTGTGCTGGCACAGGATCTGCAGCATCCAGAGCTTGCTTTTAAGGGAAATACAATCATATTTTAAAGACCTATATTTTCTACCAGTACATTTCAGGACAAAGTATAAAATTTTGTGCTTTACTTTTCGCTGCATGAATGACAGTGCACTAAGATACCAAGAAAAATCTTCTTGTGCCAAAAAGCCAAAACAGTTTGTTTCGGTCAGAAGTGTTTCTCACATGTTGCTCCAACAGAATGGAATGAATTACCAATCGATGTTAAGAACTCACCTTCTTTAGAAGTATTTAGATCTACACTGAAAATATGCTTTTTCACAAAAGCTTTCACCATGTGACAGAGTGACTCACTTTTTGGACTGCACTTTGAGCATTTTAGTTATGGAAACAGCACATTATAAATAGACTATTATTATTATTATTAAGTACAAACCTTTATATCTGGTACCATATCTGGTGATACTCCAGCACCTTGTGCCTCAGTTATATGTTCATTATGGAGTTCTTTCTTCTTCTTTCTCCGTCTCTCTAACAATTTCTCTCGTAGTGAGTCAAGTTGTTTCTGCTTTTGTTTCTCCATTCCATCAACCAATCGAGTCAAATTGTTGGCGTACTCCACCATCAGTTTCTCCTTGTCTTGTTCAGTTTTAGCTTCAGCCATCTTTTTACGGAAAACCTCTCCAACATCCGACATCATGGTCTTCTTCTTGTTTTCAAATTGATCCAGGGTGTCGTTCATGTCGTTGATTTCGTCAGCTTTCAGCTTGCTTTCTAACTTTGCAGCTTCGTACGCCTGTTTCTCAAAAAGATATTTTTCCTGCTGTTGTCTTTCGGCGTCTGACATTTTTCCCGTTTTTAGTTTTGATGGATCCCCGATAACGACTGTGGTATCTGAGACATCAGTCTTTGTACTTGACGGCATCGATTTCGTCAGATGCTTAACTTTAACCTTCTTCTTTTTAGCTTCATCTTCAGATTCGTGGTCGTCATTCTCATCTAAAGATAAACCTGACAAATCCTGCTTGGGTCTCAAACTTTTACCTTGTTTATTCAAATTAGAGAGGTCGTCACCACCTTGACCTGAGTAGATGAGGTTAAGAAGTTCCGGGGAGAGATAAAACGGTCCACCGGATTCCAACATGGCTATCAATTGCTTCAACAAGGGAACTAACTCTGAATCATCCTTACTTGACTGCTCAGCATCTCCGTAAACACCACCCAACGAGGAGTCAAAATCTCCGGCCAGAAGAGCGCTGCGAGTCAACAAGATCTTAGCTTCAAGGGCAGACAATTCTGAAAATTGTCTAGCGTACTCCAATGTTGAGTGCTCTTGATCAAGTTTCTCCATGCGTGAGTTGATCTGATTGGCCAATTCTGCCTGAAGTCGTTTCTTGGCTTGTTTGTATCTCTGAAGAACCGTATGTTCAGCTTCAGGATTCATGGCGCCCTCCAGTTCACCAATTCTGTCTTTGTATCGCTTCTCTTCCTGCTGAAGTTTAGTGAAGAACTTCTTCACTAAGTCTGCAAATTTGACATGAGCCACGACGTGTGATTCCTCGACTTCATGTTCACGTTTGTCACCTGCTGTCAAGATGGCTGTAACAGCTGGTGGAAGAACAGCAACAAAATCTTGTTCAGCAGCTCCGCGTCTTTGAGCTTCGTGTTTTGTATTTTCGTTCAGATGATTTGCGAGACTTTCGACATCTTCGATATATTTGCCGACGTTACGAGAACTCATGGTATCAATGCTGTACAGAAGTTTCTGGGTCAGTCCGTGCTCTCGTTTCGTCAACTCTTGTTCCTTCTGTCTCTGCCGTCGCCAGAATGCTCTCCTGGCAACCAGTTCCTCTTCTAACACTGCTAGAGCACCAGGTGGAGCCTTCTGTTTCCTGTGACCACCTGATGACAGGGTGACGGGGAGTGTTTGTTTGGTATCTGGATTTCTACGAACAGAAATGATGGGACTGAGATCCCCAGTCACCGGATCAACCGCCTTTCTTCCAATCATTATCGGAATTAAACCTAAAATACAAATAATATGTTTTATCATTCAAAGACAATGATGGACCAGGTTCTGCTTGTTGGGGGTCGACGCTCTTTGAAAAAAGGCCCATTCAAATACAATCAACTTGCTTGTTCCTTGGACAATTGCACAATTTTAAGATGGCTGTGATGACATCATACTCGGTTCCTAGTCCAAAGTATGCTATTACTTGTCTACAATCATTTCCAATGAACTAAGAGGTTCTGCTCATAGACAACTCAAAAGTGCAGGAACATTACCTGAACAGGGCCAAAATGAAATATCACTTCAATTTGCCCCGTCGGCATATACCAATTGAATCCCACAGAACTGAACAGTTATTTACCTTTGCCTTGTGGGTCCTCCATAGTTCCACCAAGGGGAATAACTCTATTTGTTTTCATGTCTCGTTCAGCACCAAGTACAGGTACCAGTTTCCCAGAACCAGCAGGATCCAACATGTTGGTACCAATTAATATAGGTAACAGTTGCCCAGTCTTACTGTCTTCAAACATACCTTCACAAAATATTTAAAACAAATTGTCATATACCAGTCATTTGTTGTTTTTTTTTAAAAAAGAGCGATCACTCTTGAGTCCCTGTCGCTCACCTGAATGTCGACCGAGGGGAGATTTTTGTCCCTCCCCTTCACAAAGTCATGGGGGGTTTATTATTATTTATGAAACCTGGAATGACCCCACTAACATGTAGTTATTGATCTTCAGAACCATTTCCCATACACACAACTATTCTCTCTCCTTAATATCAGGTCACTCTCCTTAATTTTTAAATCACTCTTCATATTAAAACTGGGAGAGCTTTTTTAGGGGAGGGATTTTTTCAATTTGTCGATTAAGGGGAGCTTTTTTCGGCTCTCCTCTAAAATACAAACAACAACGACTGATACACATGTTAAATAGTAAGTCCTGGAGGACAACACTTCACACAATTAAAACCAATTAGATAAAACCTGTGGACAATGGGACACACAAATTACACGTTAGGTAATTTTGAGACCAACATATGGTTCAATTTTATTTTGATAATTCACTGGTGTGTGGGAGAAAACCCACGAGGTAGGACAGCCGACCCTAATTCTTGTCACGTACAAGCTGGGAATTGAAACCACGCCAGTTGACTCAATGACAGACCTTATGAGCTAACGTGCACGCCACCCTAAAGAAACAAACCAAATCTTCAACTTACCTGGGGAACCACCTGTTACTGCTAATAGTTCCACCTTTTCTTTACGCCTGGAGATATCGTGGCGTAATCGTAGAAGATGAGCTCGCATTCTGGTCTGAGCTTTCTCCAACTCGCGTACAGCAACATTTAAGTTGTTTTCTTCACGACGTAAGTTACCCACGTCACCTTAAAAATAGAGACAACCATAATATTATGGGAAGTATTTAATCCAGATTACCAAAGAAATCAAAATGTAGCCTACACCCAGTATAAAGCATAAAGATACTTTCCCTGAAAAGTATTTATCGGGTGGTTATTTCCAATAAAACTATGTCAAATTTGGTATACATGGAAAGTATAGACACCCAATCTTACTAGAAAAATACTGGATTACCCGAAAAATGCCCATGGGGCAAGCACTGGGCAAAATTGTCAGGGTATCACTAACTGGCAACCCGACTGTTATCTTCCAGGTTATTGTGTGCCAGCTTGAGTGAGGGAGCGGTTGTTATTTCTTGATCAAATGGTTAGGCGGTTTTGGGAACATTATGAGGAGTGTCAACGTACAAAAGACTCTGCAATTAAACGGCGGAAAAAGAAGTTGACAGAAATAATTAAGGATTTACTTAGGCCTCAATATGTATGGTAAATGTACAGTAAGTAATGATAAATACATTCTGAAAAATGGACCCTCCCATAATGAAGCTAAGTTGACAGACATTGTTTCTAACAGCAGCTTACTTATAGCTATAGGTATCCCCGGCGATTAGAAAGTTTTGAGAGGGAATTGAAGCAAATTTTTGATAGATTGGTTACTTTGTGGATGTTTTTAGTCCAAATACTTCATCAAATCACAAAGTTTGTACGCGGGTATCTTTAAGTAACACTCCTAAAATAAGACAATATTACACGATAAATGAAGTTATAAAATCTCACCTGAATTCAAGATGGCGTCCTTGTATTCTTTGATAGAATCAATGACCCTCGCTTCACACGCAAGGAAACTAGAATCTAAGAGAGCTTGGTAACCACCAGCAGATGGCAGCACATCAGATTTACCCAGATATCCACTCTGGACACGGACAAGCTTATTACTTAACGAATCGACATACGAGTCAAATGGCATGATGGGAATGTTGCCATTGTTACTGGCTTTGGTGCCACCTACAGGTAGAACGATGCCCGTCTTTGGGTCAAGTGCCACAGATAAAATCGGCACTGTTCGTCCGCTATTGGGATCAATCATCATGGAACCTATCTCTATAGCAACTGGTAGTCCTGTGACAGGATCAGTATGAATTCCACCAATCGGCAACAAGCTTCCAGTTTTTGGATGTATTGTCATGGCAACTATTGGTACATGCATGCCTGTAACGGGATCTGTCATTGGTTGTCCGTATTTCAAGTTGTTTTTATTGTCTACAGGTTTAAGATTTGTAGATATCGGTTCTCCAGTGTCTGGGTTGGTAGGATGTCGGACAAACGGAATCAAACATTCGTCTGATCTGGCTGCTTCTCCTTAAAAATAAAACCAAATGTTAAATTTATCTCAGAACAAAGAAACAGTCAGCAATTCTACATCAAGAACGTCTAATCTTTGCCCAAAAATTGTAATTTTACTTTGTAAATGGTTACCTGGACAACTATAAATAAAATGATTGAATGAACTGTAATGTGGTTTAATGTCCTATTTTTGTGGACCGACTGGGCTAATGAAGACAGGCATACGCTATGCAGTGTAATATAGATGGAAATTTTGACAGGGCTGCAGTTGAATTCCTACTGTCAAGGATTCTTTTATGTGCACAACAAGGTGTACACGGAACCTCAGTTTAACATCCCATCCGAAGGACTAGTCACTCTGTTCCTTGCCACGCTGTCTTTGTTCTGCACCACTGACAAGGGTAAAACACGCCAAACTTAATCGGCTAACACAGGATCGAACCTTGGACCTCCTGCTTATTGACCCAGGGTTAGGGTTAGGGTTGTGGCTCCCAATATTAAATTAAACAAATGAAATGGGGTTTAACGTCCTACTGTTCTGCTCCTATACTGGGCTAATGAAGACGAGCATACGCCATACAGTGTGCTATGGGGGAAATTTTACCCGGGCAGCAGCACTACGGCCTACTCTTATATCAAATTCCAACTGCCAAGGGATCTTTTATGTGCACACCAATGTATACACAGGACCTTGGTTTTTCATCCTATTGTAACAACTAGACAGCTGTCCTGCACCACTGACAAGGGAAACCATGTTGGAAAATCCTTAAATTAAACAAGGGTTCTATGATCTGAGGGACGTGAGTGCTAAATAATTGCGATGGTTAGTGAGCCAGGGTTAGGGTTGTGGCTAGCAATATTAAATTAAACAAGAGTTCTATGAACTGAGGGACGCAAATGCTAAATAATTTCCATGGTTGAATCTCTCACCTGTAGCCGAATCTATAAGAACTGTGAGTTTATTTGAGATGGAATCGTAACCAAGGTTACCCTGTATAGGTAGACAATGACCTGTCTGTGGGTGTATGAAGTATTCGGGTGGTACCCTGACCAAGGTATCGTCTGCTAGTATCATCTGACAATCGTCTTTTGGAAGATATAAACCTGTTTTATTGTCTAATGTTATCAGATCTGTGGCTTTAACAGTCATGTCACTACCTGAAGAGAAAGAGAGAAATGGGGTGTAATGTTCACTCGACAGAAACTAGGTCATTTCGGGACTAACATATGGTATAATTACATTTCAGAGAAAACACACAAGGTTAGGCAGGGGAATTGACGCCTCGTCACAAGGTTAGGTAGGGGGATCTACGCCTTGTCACGAGGTTACGGAGGGGAGTCTATTCCTCATCACGAGGTTACGCAGGGGAACCGACTCCTCATCACGAGGATTCACATACTATTTGCGATTAAAACCACACCATTTGACTCAATGACAGACCCTTGGATCTAAAGCGCACAAGTTAGACCAACTGACCAACCAATACCCCTTCAAGGATTCAAACCCTGGATTATTTATGGCCTTATTGTCCCAGGATTGTAGGTTGCAATAATGATACCCCTCCCTTCCCCCTGCTCCAAATACAAAAGTTTGAAATAATAAAATCTGACACCTACCAATCAGTTCTCCTCTTGTCATTGGTGTCCTTGACCCAGATTTAACAATACATCCTCCAGTACCTTCTCCCGTGATTCCCCAAGCCCCGACACGATGACATTCTAAATTCACATCTTCAGACATCTTCTGCAGTAGAAGCGAAACTCGTTTTTCTATATCTTTGTGTTGCGTGTCGTCGTGGTCACCTTGTTGTGTTTTGGTAGCGTAGTCTGTTAATATTCTCGTTGATTCTCTCATTGACGCCTGGTATGAAACCTAAAATAATATGGATACATGTATAATATTCACCAATCTGATTAAAATACAGATCTATATTTCGTTTCATTTTTTATACTTTCGATGGCCTACACTACATGAAGATCTGACAAGTTGTACTTGAAGGTCGTGTTAGGGGTCGTACGAGCAGCTTTTGACTCTATGTAAGACACTGATTAATCAATCAGCGTTGATGATTCCTGGGGTTTACCACAGTTCCATGCATCAAACCCCAAGAATTTGCTCTCACATTAACCAGAAGGCGGGTTATATAACAACTCTTCCAGATCCTAGTTTTGTGAAGACTAATTGAACTAATTGACAGGCTTCAGGATTATCAGCTAGTTTATTAACTGGTGATTGACACTCAACATAATGGTCAACTGAGGATGAATACGATTAGCTTCTCCAAAAGAAATACAGGTCCCCAAAAAGTTATTGCCAGAATATTGTCACATTCATCTTTTTTTATTGCACGTGGCGACATTGGCAACCCACTCTTTTTTCAAATTCTAACTTTTCTTTTACGAGCATAACAAAGTTTTCACAGGGCCTCTGTTAAAAGTTCTTTTGTGAGTTTAACAAAGCTTTCACTGATCCTCTGTTTTTAGACCCATCTGAACGACTTGCCAGACTCAACATCATTTCAAACTCAAAGAGCTAATCTCACACTCAAATGAGCTTGACTATATTTTAACAAAGATAAAATTCAAAATAAACTTTTGTCAATAAAACCACAAACCTGGTGATTTTCTCGTCCAGCTTCATCATCCATTATCAGTTCTTCCTGTCGACTTAAAATCGTCTCAAATTGTCGACCAATATCTTTTCTTCTTTCAAGTTCGATCTCCAGTTCTTCCAACTTGGCTTCATAGCCGGCCATGTCTTCTTGAGTGACCGATGTGCTTCCTCCTTTCAAATTCATCTTGGCTGCCCACAGACCTTTCAATGATTCTGATTGGTTGGATATTCGTTGGTACATCTGTTTGACGTCATCTTTCTGCTTACCGATCGTCTGTGTGACACTGCGTGATTGCTGAGATAAAGTGTCGTACAGAGTTTTGACGCTGAAGGCCTCCAGATCCAGTTGCCGATCGTAATCCCAGAAGTCATCATTCTTGACATCAATCGTATCAGCTTGAAAAAAAAAATCAAAATGTGAATATTTAAAATAACTATTTCAATTTAATGTTGACCGAAAACAAATTTCTGAAATTCTGAGTTAATCATCAAGGTATAGTTTGTCAGCAATATGGAGTCACGTCGGAAACTCAAATAAAAAAAAATTCTAAGAATGGACCAATTTCATTGGCTGAGAGCTACTATTTGTGCTGTGATTATAGTTCTCAGCCAATGAATAATCAGTTTCCAAAACGGAAATATTCTAACAGAGTTTTATTGGATTTTTTTCAATTGATTAAACAGTGGTATGTCCTAATTCGGGTGAGGACGGAAAACTAGATCCCTTGGAAATCTAAACTAGGTAACATTACAAATCTTTGAAAAATTTGAATGCAGGTAATCTTACTTATTAGAACTGTTTCTCTAAACCTAAACTAGGTCACATTAGAATTCTTTGAAAAATTTGATAGTGTTTTAACCCAAAATCTTATGAAGGATGAATAAACCACCTCTCATTGCAACCTAAAGTCTGTTTTTGTATTGCTGTTGAGCGGTGATTTTTAAATATCTATTAATGCCTACTCTATCTGTTGGTATCATAGTGTTTGATCCAGCTGTTTGATCAGACCTGTACAGCCTTTGTTACGCTTTTAAGGGAATGTTGCTGTTTCACCTCTAGTTTCCGAAATTTGAATACCAATACAATCTTTTTAAGAGCTGTTTCTCAGACGAAAAATAAAGCAAAAACTATTTTGAACCCACCATCCAATATGTTTGCCTGTGTTGCTATAGATGAATTTGGTCCTGCATCAGCAATGGCCTGTAGATTTCGATGGTATTTCTTCACTGGATGAACTGTTGATCCCTTACTGGCGTAATCATCGAATATAAACGTCTGGGCAAATCGACGATATAAGGGATAAAGATAAGAGGTCTTACTCCAACCGTATTTACGGAACAGAACCTAAAATACATCAAAACAGATGATATCAAGTTTTAAAGAGAGAGAAAGGGTTTAACGTCTACTCTACATCCAGTAGACGTGGTACAAGGGTTAATCAGCGAACTGGATGTATGAGATGTGTTGTAGACGTTTGGGAAAGTAGGACGAGGGGAAATGTGTAGGGAGTGAAGTGCTGTAAAGGGATAGTTAGATGTATTATGAATGGTTAGAGTGGCTGTGGTGTTACGGTGAAATACTATGCCGCCACCGTAACACCACAGCTTTATGATTTGTTAGACAGGAGTGATGTAATGGGTGTCAACAACTGGGTATGCTGGTACCGTCGCAACGTAGCCGTGACATATATATTGTGGGGGGGAAGGGCGGAAACGGAAAAATATACAATGTTGACAGTATGTGCCAGGCATGAGGCTGCGCAGACCGAGCGGCAGCTCGATAGGGAGTGTGTGGGAGGGTCACCCTCATAAAAAAATTTTTTTTAAATTTCAGTTTTCTGTAAGCAGTGGAAACACTATTTTGGCATTGTTTGCGGGGTTAAACCTAAAAATCACATTAATACACCTATTGCACAATATTGTGAAACTAGCTGACGAAGACAGCTCGGGCGGCGATTGTTCAACTCGGGGCTGCTCTGTCAGTATCTAACAAACGCATTTAGTTCGCGTACAACTTTTAAAAACCGAATGTCAGTATGGTATTTCTCACATAATTGGTTATCGCAAAAACAGAGTAAATTGAAAGCGAGTAATCTCGACTCAAACCTATAGTCTACTTACTACACTCGTCACTAGGCTTCCTATATTATTGTTTGTGGACGGTTTACTACTCAGTGATAAGCCTGCGCCGCAAAAAGAGGTCTCGCCTTTTATTATTAGTATAATGACTTCCTCATGTGCGGCAGCTTAGTTTGCTTCTAAAAACACTGTTTTCCGTTCCAAAAAATACAAAAGTAATTTTCTACCAGATGACCATGGTTCTTTTCACCGAGACTAGATAATTTCTCTCGGTGTAAGGATATAGCTACGGATAAGTTCATACAAGGTCAATAAATCCGCGGTCACTTCGGGTCATACTGTTGAGAAAATAAACCGATGGGTTTGTTTAGTAGCAAATCGAGCGTGAATCAACTGAGTTTGTACTGAAAAATTTTTGAGTGATATGTATGAACTGTCTTCACACATTCGGTTTATAATTAGCGATACACAGGTACAGTAGCAAGTGTTGTACTTCACAGACTGTTTACCTCCGAACTACCTCTGCACGAAATCCCCGATTTGGGTACTTGTTAAAAGAAAAAGAAATAGTACCTGTGCGCATGCCAGTAAAAAAAACCTAAGAGTTCGCGCATAAAAATGCCCGAACGTACCAGGCGCCAGGTCATCAAGTAGGTCATAGTGAGACGAATATATGGTTCAACTAGCAGGATACCCGGCTTCGCTCGGGGGTCATAACTCCTAAACCGGAAGTGGTAGACTAACGCCATCTGGCCTATGTTACTCCCTAGTCTGATCTACCCCTATACCCCAAATTTCAGACTCGGGGCATATGTAGCCGCCAACCCCGAACAGTCAGACTTCGCTCGGAGGTCATAACTCCGAAACCGGAAGTGGTAGACTAACGCCACCTGGCCTATGTTACTCCCCGGTCCGAGCTACCCCTATACCCCAAATTTCAGACTCGGGGCAGACCTAGTGTAGCCGCCAACCCCGAACAGGCCGGCTTCGCTCGGGGGTCATATCTCCGAAACCGGAAGTGGTAGACTAACCCTACTTGACCTATGTTACTCCCCGGTCCGAGCTACCCCTATACCCCAAATTTCAGACACGGGGCAGACCTAGTGTAGCCGCCAACCCCGAACAGACCGGCTTCGCTCGGGGGTCATAACTCCGAAACCGGAAGTGGTACACAAACGCCACCTGGCCTATGTTACTCCCCGGTCCGAGCTACCCCTATACCCCAATTTTCAGACTCGGGGCAGACCTAGTGTAGCCGCCAACCCCGAACAGACCCACTTCGCTTGGGGGTCATAATGCCGAAACCGCAAGTGGTAGACTAACGCCACCTGGTCTATGTTACACCCCGGTCCGAGCTACCCCTATACCCCAAATTTCAGACTCGGGCAGATGTAGCCACCAACCCCGAACAGACTGACTTCGCTCGGGGGTCATAACTCCGAAACCGGAAGTGGTAGACTAATGCCACCTGGCCTATGTTACTCGACAGTCCGAGCTACCCATATACCCCAAATTTCAGACTCGGGGCAGACCTAGTGTAGCCGCCAACCCCAAACAGACCGGCTTCGCTTGGGGTCATATATCCGAAACCGGAAGTGGTAGACTAACGCCACCTGACCTATGTTACTCCCCGCTCCGAGCTACCCCTATACCCCAAATTTCAGACTCGGGGCAGACCTAGTGTAGCCGCCAACCCCGAACAGACAGACAGACAAACGACAGTCACAAATATATATATAGATTTCATTTCAATAACTCGCTTGCGTGTTCTGCTAAAATGTACTCAGATTGATTACGTAATGTTTAAAGCAAAATATCAGTGCTAGATTATCTCCTCGCTTGCATTCAATCAAACAACTATAGGTGGCGCTGGCTGGGATGATCCATTCATCCATTGTTTGATAACACTGAACATAATATACATGACACATGGCACTCAATTTACAAATATCTTCCATCAGACTTTATGTGGTAATGTAATTTGATTTCCAATATTAAAATATTGACTATACTTTTATTATTAAGATAGGGTTTTGTCCTCTCGTGACCACAATGCTTCACACAAAGTTTTAAAAGAATCTGTTGAAAACTTTAGCCTATATGCATGGCGTTCACAAGGTTTTTGGCAAAGAGGATATAACTCTGGAATTGAAAGTCATGAAGGTGGAAAATCTCATGACCTCAATGTTTCGAACCAAATTTAAAAATATAGCTTCTATTGTGTTCACAAGCCAATTCTTGATGGTCTGATGGCCGAATCGACAGACAGGGTGACGACATAAATGTGGGTGTATTAAAATAAATATTCTATTTACCAAAGCTACAATAATCAACGCCATTGCAAGGAAACCAGCCGCCAAGAGAATAAAAATAATAGCCCAATCTGGTGCTTTGAGTATACTTTGACTGACTGCGATGCCGTTCTGTATGATGTATCGCGGGGTTGTCGGGAAGAAAGGTCCGTCTTCTGTACACTGTTGATCAGGATCCATCACACGGATATACTGAAATATATACATAGAGAGAAATGGGGTTTAACGTCCACTCGACACAAACTAGGTCATTTTTTGGCACTAACACATGGTTCAATTTTATTTCAATAATTTCCTTGCGTGTAGGTGTCTTTAGCAGTGGGAGGAAATGAAATGAAATGAAATGTTGTTTAAAGGCACGTCAGCTCCAACCGGGCTATATTGCGCCAAACATATGGTGAATTTCGCGAGACAAATTAAAACGATATCATTCACAGGGATGTATTCATATATGTTAATAAAAACAAATATCACAGAAAATATAATTAAAAATAAATATATCAATTCCTTTACATATATAAATATTTAAAACGCAATATATGATAAATATATACAATTAAAATTTTAAATAAAAGTTTGTCTCTTTTAAAAATGCTAGCAATTTATCATGTAACTCTGGTGGAGCAAATAGCTGATGTGGTGACTGGCAACGGTAGTATTTAGTTATAATAACCTTGAGATGTGTTTTACTGTCAAAGGAACATGGCAGTGAACACATTCTGGTTGAGGCTCTCGCTTCAAAATGAAAATATGAGTTAAAAAGGTATGACCAATGCGAGAGCAACACAAAACAACTTCATCCCTCCTGCTGGTTCTATAGGAGCTTGACTCAATGATAAACCTTATGATCTAATGAGCACCCGTTAAGCAACTAGATACGACTCCCACGATTATCTATTTCAGTCAGTACGCTAAAAGAGGGAGCCATGTTTGAACATGGAACTGGCTGACCAAAGGAAACCCCTCACAAGGTTGAATAGTCGATCCTACATCTTGCCACGTACAAGCGGGGCGTCAAAATCACAGAACTTGACTATTTGGCTAACAAACTCCCTTGCAGAATGAAAACTCACCATTTTTTTGTTTGAATCGGTACTGAGGTAGAAAACGTAAACACCAGGATCCGAGAACTTATAGGCAAATAATGTGGTTGCCGTGGCAATCTGTGATTGTGCTTCAACCAGAGCTCGGAATCCACCATAATCAAACTGATCATTGGTGTTAAATAAATTATTTCTGGTAAAAGAAAAGTTAACAAAAACTCAGATTAAAATACAATGCAAGAAATTACATATAAATATTCCAAGTCGAGAAACCATATTTTGACAGAGAACGCTAGATCGGAGGCAGTCCTGCGCATTTTATGACGTCATATGTGGATTTTGGGTTAGGATAAGAGTTAGGGTAAGGGCTAGGACCTGCAGATTTCGTCATAGTCTCGAGATGTAGACAGGGCTAGCCCTAACCCTAACCCTGGGCAAAGCCTAACCCTTACCTTAATCCATAATCCACATATGACGTCATAAAATGTGCTAGACTGTCTCCGATCTAGCGTTCTCCTATTTTGACAGAATAGTTTTCTTAGCACAGTCTTCCAAATTGGGTCATGTGATTGGCAGTCAGTCATTTTTGTCAGCTCTTCCCATTTAGCATAAACAATGATAATAATGATAATAAATATGAATTTCCATGTGGAAATTTAGGTAAAGTACTGTTAAATCTGTCTGTGGGGAAAATGTTGACTGTACAGAAGTGTTTCCAGTTTCTTTTGTTTAAATTCCAAGTGCCTATGGATCTTTTATGTGATATTTTGTCTCATCTGAACATAAGAACATACTGGATAATGTGTGCTACTAATGAAGAAGAACATCTGGATATTCTAGTCTACATACCTGTCATATATTGGATAATGCGTGTTACTAACGAAGAAGAACATCAAGTCACCAAACGACAGACAGACGGTTGGGTTCAAAACACCAGTAAATAAAGATCCTGTATTATTGGACGTGGCTAGCAGACGCCGACGCGAATAACTAGTAGAATAATCGGTATCCACGGTGATATTTCCAGTATAATTTCCCTTGGTATTATCTTCAACCAGTGTGACCAGTTGGGAACTCGGTGGATTGTAAACTCCCAGGAAACCAGTGCTTCCCATCTCCACGATATGAATGGCCAATGATGCTCCGTTAAAGTTTTCACACTGATCTGCCGTGATGGCGTTACGAGAGTTGATGGCCGTAAGTAAGTTCTTACTGGGTATCTGAATCTAAAAAAAAAATATTCCCAAAAAATAATCAAGGAACAAATAAAACAATCAATCTTGTGATTGGCTGCCATTCGCACAGTCAGCCCCTTTTTATGTCCTACTTTTCTTTACCGAAGACGGGCACACACCATACCGTGTACTATGAGGGAAAGTTTGCCGACTCTTATATCGAATTACAACTTCCAAGGGATCTTTTACTTGTACTCCAATGTGTACACAGGACCATCTGAATGACTATGCCTTATCCCTTGCCAGGCAAGGCGGAAACATGCCGGGAAATTCTGATGAACCTGATGAACAGAATATCTTGCTTTTCTTAAAGTAAAAGATATAATAATCCTAGCAGCAAACATATTTCCCCCGATAGTTTGAATGTATTTTGAAATATTTAACATCTGGGAAGAGACAACACACCCTTTAAACAGTAGTAGAGAGAGGACGGTAGATCTGTGTAGCTGCTGGATCAGAAGCTGATGAAGGCAGATAAACCATGAACAGGAATAGAGCAGGGTTTATGAATCATGTATTTCACATACGTTGCAATATATCGTTTGGAGATTAATTCTAAAGGAGAGATTTATCACGTTTTATCACAATTTATCATGATTTAATCATATGAAAACTTACAGCAGTCGCTCCTGTATCATCCAGAATATTGATGTATGGTTCTAGTGGTTTCTCTGGACAGACAAATGTTACCGTGTTTCGTTGTGCTTTACGACATTCCAGGTTACACAGTACTTCCAGATCATCAGCCTTACACAGACATAAACCGAGAGATCCATCATAACCCTTGTAATCATTGGTTCCCAGACATACCTTGATAAATACAATAACAATAATATTACTTTCAGTTTCAATAACAATTTACATGTGAAAGAGAGAGAGAGAAATGGGGTTTAACATCCACTCGACAAAAGTCATTTCGGTACATATGGTTTAATTTTATTTCAATAATTCACTTGTGTGTGTAGGGGTCTTTAGCAGTGGGAGCAAACCAAAGGACCTGGAGAAAACCCATGACGTTGGACAAGCAACCCTACTCCTCGTCACGTACAAGTGGGGAATCAAAAACATATACGCCAAGAACAGACCGTTTCATTGGCTAATCCCTCACTTCAACCAGAAGGCCAATAATATAACAACTCTTTAAGATCCTAGTGTAGTAAAGACAAGTAAAACGAAATTTTGAACTATAAAAAAACGAAACGAAAAGAAATAGGATCTGTGTTTTAATCAGTTTGGGTCTTTAGCAGTGGGAGGACACCGGCGCCACAAACATTTTCACTGAGGCAAACCACAATATTGTGAAAGTTAAATCTCTGATTGGAATACCATCAGTTCAAAAATAGTTCAATTCTTTTCACAAAAAACAAAACTTACGTATTGTGAACAATAAATCTGCCATTCATTTTCGTTGAGACATTGTCCATTCTGAGCTCGGTATGTGCCTTCCAGACACAGATCGTAGACTTTCTTACTACAGTCCTGTCCATTGCTTGTTTCAATATAACCCACAGCACACGGGCAGGTTCTGTCACTCGGCTAAAAAAAATAGAAAATGATATGGGGTTTAACATCCTACTGTTCTGCACCGACTGGGCTAATGAAGACGGGAATACACCATGCAGTGTGCTATGAGGGAAATTTTGCCAGCACAGCGGCAATACAGTCTATTCTCATATCAAATTCCAACTGCCAAGGGATTTTTTAAGTGCAGCCAATGTGTACACGGGACATCAGTTTTTCATCCCATCCGAATGACTAGACAGCTGTCTCTTGTCAGGCCTTCTGCCATCTTGCACCACCGACAAGGTTGAACCACCGAAAATCACAATGGACTTTCTTGGTCAACACAGGTATCAAACACAAGACCTCCGTGTTAGCGAGCCAATGTCTTACTCATTCTCATTCACTTACAACATGCTGCTTGAACAATTTAAACTTTATGATGTTTGTGGAAGGTTCCTCGAATGTGATAAAATAATCCTGGAACAAAAAAAAATCAACTAACCTGAAAATCGCGACCAGCTCCGAGACACTCGCAAGTTGTTGAACCTGTGTTTGTTTGAGATGCTTCCGATCCACAATAAAAACATCCAGTTTGAGCTTCCATATTATTAAAATTATTAACGTGACAAGGTGTACATTCTCCGATGCTTCCTGCTTCTTCTACGGAGTTATATGTTCCAACTGGACATGGCGTCGGTAGGGAACTGTTCTGCGGACAATAGTAACCTAGCAACAAGAAAACAAGAACTACTGATACTAGCTTATGAGAACATTCTGAAGATTGATAACAAACAATATTTTCTGCACACACATAAAAAAGAATCCATCCTGAAATTATCTTTGGTCTGCTTCTAAATTGATTTTACACGATTTCTCGAAAAAAGTGAAAACTGAATCTTACCTGGTGGACAGATGTAGGAATTGGTCGCTGGGTAACCAGCTACATATGCTAGAGAACTAGCATTAGCAACAGGTCTATCAGTGGTTGCCATGGCTTTACAGACAACTCCAGCACGACATGATTCACAGATAGCGCGATCAGGATGAGCTCCGAAAGTTCCTGGCAAACAGGGGTCGCACGTGTCTTCAAATGTTCTTCTAGGGGATCCGTTGTACTCTTTGTAACCAAGCGGACATTTCTTGGGTTCTATGGCACCTGTAAGCAATGGAAATCCATATGAAATGGGGTTTAACGTCCTACTGTTCTGCTCCGACTGGGCTAATGAAGTGGTCTGAGAGGGAAATCTTGACCACAGTTCTGCACCACTGACAATGGACCTGAAAATCTCTATGAACTTCCTCGGCCAATGTAGGGTTCAAACACGGGGCCCCAAGCTTAGCGAGCCAACATCTTATACACTGAGCCACAGTGCCCCACCCCACCTACCTGTACACAACTGATGGCAATAAAATTAAATTTTCTTCACCAAGCTACATACAACTTTAGTAAAATATGTTATCTTTATACCTACTCTAGACAGACATAGCATCCATCATACATAGACATAATATCCATTCTATGATAGACATAGTATCTGCTCTAGATAGACATAATATTCACTCTAGAATAATATCCATTCTATGATATACATAGTATCCACTCTAGATAGACATAGTATTCACTCTAGATAGACATAACATTCACTCTAGATAGACGTAACATTCACTCTAGATAGATGTAATATCCACTCTAGATAGACATAATATCCACTCTAGATAGACATAACATTCACTCTAGATAGACATAACATTCACTCTAGATAGACATAGTATCCACTCTAGATAGACGTCACATAAAGTAAAATAGGTTTTCTCTATATTCACATAGACATACTATTCACCATAGACATAACATCTACTCTAGATATTATCCAGCCAAGTACTAACTTTTAAAAGGGCACCTGTTAACATGGACGTCTACAACATATTTATATCACCTAGTTAAATAGGCACGATGACATTAAACAAGTTGACGAGATAAATTAAAGTGGCATTTTAAGATTCGAGATAGATCTATGTTTAAGAAAAGAGCGTACCTTTTAAAAGTACCCTTGTAACAGACTTTGTGATCTAAAAGCACCCGGTAAACCATTCAGCCATCCAACAGCCATAAAACTCACAGTAAAATAAATCAAACTACATACCTGCATTTGTTGAGTTGCAGTCATCGACGGCGCCACAATAATGACCTTGAGGACATGGGATGGGGAAACTGGAAGCTTCTGGACAATAATAACCTGGTGGGCATGGTAACTGGGCCATTGACATGTTACAATAATAACCTGAAATCAAAATGAAACCCAATATTAAACAGGGGGTCAGGTGAAACCCAAGGAAGAAATGCCAATCTACATGTATGTTACCAGTATTCACTCTACAAAAAAATATTCATACAGACTGAGATTCAATGTTAAAAAGAAAAATAGCTGTAGATTGAAGAATTTAGAAAAACAAAACATTGTCTTTTAAATTTTGTCCGAAGAGCGGAGCTGCATCCTACTCTTATTCCAACACATAGTTTCATAAGGTGTTGTTAAATAACTACACCCTGTCATATCATTACATCAGTTGCTGTAGAATAACTACGCCCTGTCATATCACTATATAAACTGTTATTTTGCAAAAAGATGTGAAATTAATAGACATCCCGTTTAAAGAAACAAATTACCTGCATGACAGATGGTCTGATTTTGAGCTCCGTTTGGACAATGTTGTCCCAGATCACACTGGATACCACTGTAGGTCATATTAAACTCTGGACAATAATATCCCGCAGGACATAACGTACAATCATCTATAGAACCTGCTGCTATCGTATCCCTAAAATATAACATAACATCATTTATAGCGTACAATCATCTATCACGTGTAAGCTGATACCGTTGACTAATGAAACCAGGCCTTTTAGTAATGACAATTTTTGTCATTAAATTTTGTCATTAAAGTGGTCAGTATTCTAACCTAATGTTTAGTATGTATAGAAAGTGGTTAGAAATTATACAGTTGTCATTAATTAGCAAGTGTGTAACTAGCCGTAAAAAATGTAAAAATGTCTAATGTCTAATGGTTGTACCATGGATCATGAGGTCTTCCATAGATTTAGGCATCATTTTCATGAACACATCTTTGTCTAAACTTTGTGGGTTTTATCTGATTTCTTTGTGAGCAAGTGATACCATTGAAATGAAAATACACCATATTAGTCTGGCGGATACCAAAAGCCATTTTTGTCCCTCATTTAGAAATGAAGGACAGTACAAGCACTGGCCATCGTATTATTAAATACAACTAAAAGGAATCAAGTTCATGTTTTGTCAAAACAAATTGGTACAGTTTTTCAAAAATATTTGTCATAGCTCTGAACAGGCGATATTGTGTTATCACAATAGCCTTATTAGGAGTTGTAACCATGGTTTCATACCTGTAAGTTCCTGGTGGACAAGGTCTTGGAGCGTCTGTAGCATTTGTACAGTAAAATCCTGGAGAGCAGGGATTGACTGTATAGTTAGCCATTCCCTCTATATTACACCAATACCCTTCAGGACACGCTTTACACCAACTGATATCTTCAGCTCCGGGGATATCGTTGTACGTCTGGGCCGGGCACGGCTGCACAGGCTGTGACACTTCACAATAATAGCCAGCAGGACATGGCTGCGACACAGTGGAATTCGCAGGACAAATTCTTCCAGCAGGACATGGCTGACATTCACTACTGGTGGCAGCACCTTCTTTATCAATGAACTTTAATGGTGGACAAGTCACAGGTGCTAGAGTTCCTGAAAAATTGGACACAGATAAAACTCAACATGCATGGAAACAAACGTGTTTTCCAACATACTTTTTATCATCATAGTATGCAGATTCCTGTGTTCCTACTGACAGCAACATAATCTTTATTCTTTGATATTGTATCAAAATGGTGGTCAAAATTTTTATAACATAGCGAGAGAGATGGAGTTAACATTCACTTGATACTTACAAGGTCACTTTGAGACTAAAACATGGTCTATCAGTACTTCAAAAATTGGCATGCCAATATAGGGGTCTTTATAAGGAGGAAATTAGAGAACTATACTCTTGACTTGGTCACCAGTCGATACTAATTTATAACCAATGATGTACTCACCTGCAGGACAATAGTAACCATAGGGACAAGGTCCGCCGTCTGGTCGTAGAGAAACATCAGGATTGGGTAAACTCATTCCAGACATACAGAGGTAACCGGCCGTACAATCACCTGCTACACGTCCACCGCTACAATATTTACCTACAAATATAAACATTGTTTCAGTAGTGGCCTATAAGTGTACACATTGTTTCAATGGCATTTAGCTAAGGTACCATATCAAACATACATAGCATCAATATCATTTAACTAAGGTATCTTATTAAACATACGTAGTGTTTCAATAACACTGGAAGCAGCCAGGACATAACTTTATGGAATACGATTACCGTTTATTACTGAATTACGTTTCAATTGCTTGATAAAGACGAGAAATGTTCCGTTGTTCCTTAATAAACAATAATTGTATTCCATAGAAATGTGTACAATAAGAATAAAGCAATTCATAACTTAAGATAGTTGAAGCAAGTTGCAGAAAGTTAAAAATGTGCAACTGACTGGAACTAGTGCTTTAAGTTGTAAGAGGCACACAGATTAACCTTTTTTCAGTTGCATTCAGTTGAAGCTAGTTTCTTCTAGTTGTTCTCAGTTGTATGAAATGTTTGAGATAAGACGACCATGCAAACCCGAGGTCAAACTCATGACTTGCATAGATAACAGGTTTTATCATCTACAATAACATGTCCTTTATAGACAGACAACTTAGTCACATCCCCTCGTCAGATACAAGTAGAAGTCTTCACACCTTATTTTTAAAATTTTTTTAAAAATCACTATTCTTTTTCATTGGACGAAAGTCTAAAAAATTTAGGAAAAATGAACTTCCTAACCAATGAAAAGGCAGCATCTTTAAATCCAAATTAAATAGTTTACCCGTTGTCATGCTTACCAGTGATACAAGTAAAACAGTCCGACTCTTGAATTAAACCAGTTGTAGTGGGGTCTGTGTATGTTCCATTGGGACACAGAACGGGTTCTATAGTGGCGTTTGGACAATAGGAGTACGGGGGACATGGTTCCGGAACAGAGGTATTGTTTAGACATATATATCCAGCTGGACAGGGTAGACAATCTATAGATCCATTGGATGGTTGATAGGTGCCTGGAAAAACAAAATGAAGATCAGAAATGAAATGGGGTTTAACGTCCTACTGTTCTGCTCCTATACTGGGCTAATGAAGACGGGCATAAGCCAAACATTGTGCTGTCAGGGAAATTTTGCCCCATCAGCGGCACTATGGTCTACTCTTATATCTAATTCTAACTGCCAAGGGGTCTTTTACGTGTACGCCAATGTATACACGGGGCCTCGGTTTACCGGACCATCTGAACGACTAGATTGCTGTCCTTGTCAGGCCCGCCGTCCTGCACCACGTCGTAAAATCCTGATGAACTTTCTCGGCCAATTTGATTTACATTAAAGCCATGTTTCATTTAATCTAATTTCAAATAGTAAACCCATGAGTATTGGCCGACGACTTTACTCATTGTCATGCACAAGTTTGAGATCAAAAACGATACAAATCAACCCCACAGACTTCCTGCCCTTCAGAGAGAGTAAGAAAACCAACTTACCTGGAGGACATCCAATGGGAATTCCCGTCTGCTCTGGACAGAAATAGCCTGGAGGACAAGAGAACGCTGATGGAGCAGACGATTCAATTCTAGCGAAATCAGGACAATAATATCTTTCTTGACAAACACCTGTCGGTTCTAGACCACCTTCTACGTCACAATAAAATCCAGCAGCACATGGCCAACAATCAGCCTCACTAGCTCCACCTGTCTGATTCCTGGTTGTTCCCCTTGGACATCTTGTTGCCATCACAGAGCCTGTGGATACATATATCGAGTTATTGAGAGAGAGAGAAATTGGGTTTAATGTCCACACGACACAACCCAGGTCATTTCAGGACTAGCATATGGTTCAATTTTATTTCAACAATTCGTCCGTGCGTATGGGTCTTTAGCAGTGGGAGGAAACCTGAGGACTCAGAGAAAACCCACGAGGTCATGTACAACCGAGGAATCGAAACAACGGCAGTTGACTCAATGACAGGCCTTATGATACAGCATGCATGCGCTAACCATTCGGCCATCTACCCCCCTAGTTACAATTCTAACAGGAACCCATTCACAATTTTTGTATAATAAAAACACATTTTACGATTCATCAAAATCGAATAACATTTTTGACCTCTAGAGTGTCCATAATCTATGTAGGTGATTTTCTTATAATCTGGGGCGATATTTCGGAAAGTCCAATATGTGCCAACTGGATATAAACATATATTTCAAGTTTCGTCAAAATCAAATGTAACCGATGATTAAGTCTTATAAAAATTGTGACCACAAACAAATGTGAACGGACATCTGGACGGACATGGGCAACAACAAATGGATATTTACCTTCTAGACAGTAATGTCCAGCCGGACAGAGTTTATTGATACTATCACTAGGTGAAGGACTCGTAGAATTGGCTAGACATAGATAACCAGCCGAACATTGACCACTTATTGTTGACAGACCTGATTCGTTACAGAATCTACCTAGAGGACATCCTAAACATTCATCTAAACTCGTTAATCCTTCAAACGGGCTGTACGTACCTGGTCAATTAAAAATCGATAACATTCACTAGGTTTATTAAAGTTGTCTGTTATTATATATTGCCAGGCGCGGAACCGGGGGGGGCCCTGGGAGCCGTGACCCCCCCCCCCCCCCTCGGCCCCAGTGAGACTGGTCATCACTGTTCAGACCAGCACCTGCAGCCAGCAATGGGATTCCAAGATTTTAGTTTCTGTTTAATGAGGCCGCGACGAAGAATCTGGGGACTACAGCAAACCACTAATGCATGCGGCACTCTTATGATTACCCTTTACTCCAATGTATGCCCCCCCCCCCCTCGACAAAATCCTGGATCCGGGCCTGATTGCTTTCATTAAATGCCTTTTAAAGACAGATTATAGTAATTACTGGTTGACAATTAACACTATAAAAAAAAAGTCTTGTTTATTTCAAGGCTAATTCCTGGATCTTGATATATTTTATTCGCTGCACGACTATCACATTCATACAGATTTATTTCATTTTTTGAACAATAAACAAGGATTTAAAATAAATTTAACAAATTATTTGTGAGAGCATCATACAGCACTACATCAAAAATTATTTTATAATTGTCTTTGGTAATAATTGGTAATTCCAATCTCAAACCTACCTCAAGGCCAATTGTTTTTTGTTTTTATTTTGTTTTAAACAAATTGGCCAAACCATTTTAGACTTTTTAATGTTGGAGATTATTTTTTATCAACAAAAAAAAAAATGGATTAGAAATGACATTTTTAGCCATCTGCTCCATCGATACTAGATTTAGAAAATATGGAACTACCCATCTTCAATAGAAGGCTTGATCTCGCTTTAACTACGTACATCTTATCAAGGCCTTCACGTAATACCATGGATATCTCTGTGTTGTTTTATAAACCATGTGTTTATCATGGAACTACAAACAACAAAAACAAAACTTTCCTTGTAATAAATTTAAAATATACCTAAGGGACATGGATTTCCGTTATCTGTTGTACCATTTAGACAGTAATATCCAGTCGGACATACTATTGTATCATTCATCCCTTGATGTGGACAAGATTGTCCAGACCCACATTCTAAACATTCACCTGGAAAGAAAGTCAGTTGCACACTTTGAGAAAAGGAAAATTTATAAACTTATCAACTTCAAATAGATGTTTAAGTCCACTCAACATAGATTAGGTCATTTCGGGACTAACATATAGTTTAATTTTATTTCAATTATTCGGTTGTGCGTAGGGGTCTTTAGCAGTGGGAGGAAACCGGAGGACACAGATAAAACCCAAAAGGTTGGACAGGCAACCCTACTCCTTGTCATGTAGAACAAAGGAATCGAAACCACGCCAATTAATTCAATGACAGACCTTATGATACAACACACACGAGCTAACCATTTCAGCCATCCAACCCCCCTCATTTGGATAGGATGGAAAGTCAAGGTCATGTATACCTGTTGGCATGTTCATACAAGAAAAGTTGGAATTTTGACTATATGCTAGATGGAAATGATTGATGCTGTCTGAGCATCGAACCCATGCCACTTGACTCAATGACAGACTTTATGATCCAACGTGCACGTGTTAAAACCATTCAGCCACTTACCCCCACCCCCCTGTAAAGAAAAAAAGATTTTATTTAACTTACCTAACCCTTCATGTGGTGAATACGTTCCTTTCTGACATGGTATCTCTTTAACAGCTCCCTCTAGACAATAATGACCAGTTGGACAGATATAACCTTTGATCCCATCAGTTGGGTTGGGCAGGTTGGAACCATTTAGACAAATATATCCAGCATTACACGGTAAACTGAAACCTGTAATATAAATATTCAATATGATCTATGGAGTTGACCGAGAAAAGGTTCTTTGGGATGTTCCAGCATAGTTTACCCTAGGTTAGAAATGTAGTGGCGAGATCGGCCGCTCGGTACTCCAGCCAAGAAGCATCCGCGGCCGGTCGGTCTTTCGGCCACTCGGGACCTAACATACACCCGGTCATATCGTAACTTTCCATGTGATATAATTTTATTTCAATAATTCGATTGTGTTTAGGGGTCTTTAGCAGTGGGAGGAAACCAGAAGACCCTGTGAAACCCATGAGGTAAGGCAGGCAACCCTTACTCCTGGTCACAAGTGGGAGATCAAAACCATGAGAACATACCTTAAAATCTAAAGCGCACCCCCTCCCCCCCTCTATCCCCAGGCAATTAGAAATAAACAGTAATTCTATTGTATGAATCTGATTAAAATACAGATCTACATTTCGTTTCGTATTTTTATACTTTCGATGGCCTACACTACATGAAGATCTAACCGGTTGTACCACGAGGTCGTGTCAGGGGTCGTACGAGTGGCTTTTGACCCTATGATGTCAGACATGGATGTTTCTAGTGGTTTATCCATAGTTCTGTGCATCACATGCCAAGAACTCACCGTAAAAGACCGTTTCGTTGGCTAATCCCTCACTTCAACCAGAACGCCGGTAATATAACAACTCTTCCAGATCCTAGTGTAGTATAGACAAGTAAAATGAAATTTGGAACAATAAAAAGACGAAACGAAATAGGAACTGTGTTTTAATCAGATTGCTATTGTATAGAATTGTTTTTGGTGTTTGCGGAACTCACCATTTTTGGAACTATCTGGGGTACAATAGTTTCCAGGTTTACATGGATCACAATCGTTGATTTGGGTGTTTCCGATACTACTGGACATAGTACCATCTGGACATGGTAGAGGTTTGTAACTACCTTCTGGACAATAGTTTCCTATTGGACATACAGCTTCTGTTGGGTTCGGATTAATTGTACTTCCATTACAATAATATCTGAAACAAATTAAATACAAAATCAAATGAGCTTTAGTATACTACTTTTCTGCACAAATCGTGGCAACGAATACAGGTGGGAGTGAAATTTTGCCAAGACAGTGGCGTTTCCACCTAACATTCAACAAATTACATCTTATAAAGGGTAAGTATTGTAGTTTAAAACTGTATATTGCGATTTATTGTATCCAATTTTGAACTCTCGCCAAATAAATGAAATGAAATGGGGTATAACAACCTCCTTTTTTCCACCATTTGGGCATATGCTATACAGTGTTCTATGATTTAAATTTTGCCTGATCAGCATTTTTACCTCCTACTCTTCAGTTAATTCTAACCGCCGAGGGATTGATTACTTGTACGCCACAGAGTACGATGGTATTTTGTCCTATCAAAGACTTTCCTAGCCTTCGTCAACCAAGGAATTTTTACTCCAAATCCTAAAAAACCCTAATCATAACCCTATAGACAGTATTTAGTAATTAGATAGAGCAATAATTACTAATTTATTTTAAGGATGTTTCAAAGAATATTCTCTCAACATTTGTTACTTTACTTGTCTGAAATTATTGAGAGAATACTCTTCGAAACATCGCCCAAATAAATAAGTCACCAAAATATAAAAACTTACCCTGGATAACAGAGTCCTTCAGGTACAGTTAATCCAGTTGATTGACAATAGTAACCTGGACTACACGACTGACACTCTGTGATATTTGTACGTCCTGTTTTATTATTAAACGTTCCACTGGGACAGGGCCATTGATTGGCTCTTTCTGTTTGAGCCGGACAGTAATATCCTTCCGGACAAGTGAAATTCCCTAGATCGCCGGCTGTCGAGAAACTGTTATCACAATAGTATCCTGAAAATAGAATTCAAAATATTTTGATGGAAAGAAAAAAATTGTTGTAACATATCTCTAAGCCAACATGTCTAATGAAGATGTGCATACACCATACAGTATGCTATGAGGGAACACTACGTCCCACCCTATTTAAGAAATGCATAAATTGTCAAGATATACAGGTTCTCAGTTTTCATCCCATTCAAATTACTAGACAGTTTTTCTTGCTACACCCTTAATCTTGCACCACTGTCCTGGCCAGGGAGCCAATGTAGCTCGGTGAGTAAGAAGTTGGCTCGTTAATCTGAAGGTCCCATCTTCAATCCCTATGTTTACCGAGAAACGTAAAAGATCCTTTGGCAGGTGGAATTTGATATAAAAGTAGGCCATTCCGGGTAAAATTTCACCCATAGCACACTGTATGACGTATGCCCATCTCCATTAGCCCAGTCGGAGCAGAAGAGTAGTTCTGAAGATTTACACCGCAATCTGAATAATAGTTTTGAAATCTCTTCTACACAAGTCAATGCCCATTCTTTATACAGGGCATTTTTTCTTTCATGTGCAGAATTGACGAACTGAAACATGTTTTGATTCATAAAATAATTATGGAGCATCAGTTTCTTTTGGGATTTGTTTGCTCTAAGATTAAGTATTTACCTTCCAGATAAGTTTTAAACTCTGATCTCCAGGACAAGGTTTAAAAGTCTGAACTTCAGGACAAGGTATAAAGTCTTACCTTCAGGGCACTGTTTACACTGTATCTGTCCAAGTTCATTCTGATAGAAACCAGAATTACATCTGGTGGGTGTGGCACTTGCTTCCAGACAATAATGGTTTTCTGGACACAGATATTCAAATGGTGTGGGTGTTGATTGGCCAGCAGGACAATAATAACCTGAAATTATAACATATCAACTATTAGGATACTGCATTGAGAGAGAGAGAAAAGGGTTTAGCGTCATTTCGGGACCAACAAATGGTTCAGTTTTATTTCAATGACTCGCCTGCGGGTAGGGGTCTTTAGCAGTGGGAGGAAACCGGAGGACACCGAGAAAACCCAAGAGGTTGGACAGGCAATCTAAACCACACCAGTTGACTCAATGAGACCTAATGATACAGCGTGCACATGCTAACCATTCGGCCATCCAAACCCCCGGATACGGGATTGACCAGGACACTAATAACCTGTAATTATGTATATACCAGCAGGATACCCAGCTTTGCCCGGGGTAAAAAATTTTCCGAGGGGGCCAATTCGCCCCGGCCCAAATAATTTGAAACAAGTAGATGGAGTTATGTGCATCCTTAGGGAAAATATCAACAGTTGCCTTGGTTTCTCGAAATAACGACTGCTCTTACCTGCATTACAAGGTCCGCTTACAGCACTCAGACCAGTTCCGTTACAATAGTATCCTCCATCACACGACTGACATTCTCCTTCCGACGATAGACGAGTCACTGGATTATAGGTTCCATTAGAACATGCTTCTGGTACAGCCGTTCCCATTGGACAATAATGACCTATAGTACATTCTAATTGATTGGATAAACTTGACCCTAGAGGGCAGTAGTATCTGGGGTCACAGTCACCAGTTGGTGCAGGAAGTCGTGGTGTCTGGCAGTATTTTCCAGGAGTACATTTTTCCATGGTAACAGATCCTTCAGGGCAAAAATAGCCTGGCTGACATTCTCCACCGTTTGAGCTCGGCTGTTTAAAAATTAAAATATAAATTTAAACAATACATGAAATAATCTCTTTACATGTACACAAACTCTGTGGCATCTGCTTTGTACATCAAAGACAACTTCATAGAAACCCTTCTATAGAAAATATAACCAGCACCTTCTACTGAGTATACCTATCTGGTTAGAAGCACTTCGAGACGTTAAAACATACATTATGCAAGAGCTAAATCTGCCTATTGTAGGTCTTTCTTTAGGCCTGAAATGTTATATACTATTCAAAAAAAGTAGGGGATATTTGATTTTGGGGGCATAATACTAAAATATGCAAATGACTACGAAAAAAGTCACTATAGAACCTAACTGAAGAAACATTTCCAGTTACATGTGACGCCCAAACGCACCAATAGCTACCGCATGGAATGCAGGTGATGCTTGGGATCATCATGGGGGTCCAACCCAAGATTTGCACGACTCTGACTTTGAATGTTACAGTCATTGTGGCATTGAATTCCAGGGTGGAAACATCAGTTTAATTGTTTTAGTGACCAGAAAACAAATTTTGATATGCGTCGGCTTACCCAAAATGAAAGGTTACGTGCCCTTGGCATGCTACAGATCGGCACAACACAGGCGGTTGTGGCGCGGACGATGAATGTTTCTCAGTCTGTCATAAGCAAGCTATGGTCCAGATACCGTGATACACAATCTGTACAGGACAGACCACGCTCAGGTCGACCAAGGGCGACAACTCAAGCCCAGGATCGATTTATCCGTACCTTGGCCTTGAGAAATCGAGTCATCACAGCAAATCAGATCAGCGCTCGTCTTCAAACAGACACTGGTGTGAGAGTGAGTGGCCAGACGATTCGGAATCGACTGCATAGGGGTCACCTTCGCGCCCGACGTCCTCGCGTGATCCCTTGTTTGAGAGATCATCACATTCAGGCAAGACGTCGTTGGTGTAGGGATCGTCAACACTGGGATAATCGACGCTGGAGCAATGTGATGTTTTCAGATGAGTCAAGGTTCACTGTTGATTTTTCGGACAGACGTAGGTGGGTGTGGCGTCGTCGAAACGAGCGCTTCCAAGACGTTAACGTCATCAGACATGATCGATTTGGGGGTGGTTCTGTTATGGTGTGGGGAGGCATCACTGTTGCTGGAAGAACGGCTTTACATGTTGTTGCAGGGCGTGTTACAGGCCAGTACTACCGGGACAACATCTTGGCAGTCCATGTTGTGCAGTTCGCACGACGTCATGGCCGCCGTTTCATCTTCCAGGATGACAACGCAAGATGTCACAGGGCCAGGATCGTTACAGGTTACCTCCAACAACAGAACATCACCACATTACCTTGGCCAGCACTGAGTCCCGACCTCTCCCCCATCGAGCATGTCTGGGACATGCTTGGACAGAGGTTACGTCAACGTCAACAACGTCCTGCCAATGTCCAAGAACTTGCTGCTGCGTTGCAACAGGAATGGGACAATCTGAACCAAAATGACCTTAGACGTCTCATTAGGAGTATACCACGTCGGATCAATGCTTGTTTGGCAAACAGAGGAGGATTTACCCGTTACTGACTTGGTTGTGATGCTGTGGTAACTTTGCTGTTTGACCCCGGGTATCATTTTACCCTTATAATGGTCAGTCTGTGCCTTACTTAGTCTAACGATCATTTGGAATAAATCGATGAATGTGAACTTCATTTCATTTTGTCATTTGTTTCTTCGTCAGTTTCATTAGGTGACTTTAATAACACTTAAAAATCAAATATCCCCTACTTTTTTTGAATAGTATATAAATTATTAATTAGACATTAATTAACTTATCCAGATGTTAATCAATTCTCGATGTCATCGGTAGCCTGTGATATTTACTGGATTATGATCTGTTTTGCTGCTCAACTTTCATTCCTGATTTAATCATGAAATGGATAATCGAGACTATATTTTCTATCATACTGACTTTAGTAATGATGATCTAGGCTAGGTCGAAATTTCAACCGCTTAATTCTCGGTTCATAGTGGATCAGTTTGACTGAATTTTTCAGCAAATTAGCTTTATATTCTCTAGTTTTTAACTATTATATTGAGAACTGCCAGCTCTTTATCTAATCTCCCATAATGTATCTTTAAATGATATGGTTAGAGGACCTCTGATAAGGTAAATGATCTGGTTAGAAGCACTTGATAAGATAAATTATCTGCTCAGACTCACTTCTATTGGGTAGATGATCTGAACATAAAAACTAATGGATCATTATCATGTCCAACATCTTGCTTTAAGCGAAACTGTTAATTTTGTCAAAATATATACAATTTATGTGCTGAATAGGTGTTAAAACTTCTTTTAAAGTATTTTTAATATGACCCACTCACCTGTGATGCTGATGATCCATTAATACAATACCATCCTGCAGTACAATTCCCTGTAGGCATTATATTACCATTACCTTGACAATACATGCCTGGTGTACAGGGGAGACAACTCGTTATATCTTCCTGTGTTGTCACGTTGTTAAATGTGCCAGCCGGGCAAGGGTTCAGGTTGGGATCAGTTGTATTAACGCCACAGTAATGTCCAGCTGGACATTCATTGGTGGTGTAGTCAGTTGTGTTGGCATAGCAATAATATCCTCTTGGACAGCTCTTACACTCTTTTTGATTGGTTAAATCTTGATAGGTACCAGCAGCACAACCAATGGGAAAGTCTGAACCTTGCGGACAGTAATGACCAGTTGGACAGATATTGCCAACAATAGGATGAACAGTGTCCGTGGGACATTGGGTGTCGTTAATCATTAATGGTGCAGGGGAAGCAACTCCTGAACTACAGTAATAACCTTCTAAACAAGGTCCTGTAGGAGATGTTAGATTCGTTCCTACAAGAAGAAAACAATCGACAGATTTAGTTTCAGTCAGAGTGGTGAATAAAATAAAATGGGGTTTAACGCGTCCTACTGTTTTGCTCCGACTGGACTAATGAAATGAAATGAAATGGGGTTTAACGCGTCCTACTGTTCTGCTCTATTTAAGATTGTCATGCTATGAAATATCGATGTCTATTAGGCATTTTGAAATATCATTTATAACATTCATTCAAATTCTGATATGTGCCTGATCTATATTTGCGATTTTTGTTTGTCCGTTTAGGGTTTGCGGAAAACTGGATGTTAAAGCCCATTTCCTTTCATATCACTATCGTTAATCATGTTCTAAATTTTAATCACAAACTTTCAAATAAATCCTATTTCATTTCTTCAACCCCCTTCATTTCATTTCATTTCTTAAAACTCATTTCATTTCATTTCTTAAACCCCATTTCATTTTTTAAACCCCATTTCATTTCTTAAACCCATTTCATTTCATTTCTTAAACCCATTTCATTAAGCCCATATCATTTCTTAAACCCCATTTCATTTCTTAAACCCTATTTCATTTCATTAACCCCATATCATTTCTTAAACCCCATTTCATTTTTTAAACCCCATTTCATTTTTTAAACCCCATTTCATTAACCCCATATCATTCCTTAAACCCCATTTCATTTTCTAAACTCTATTTCATTTCATTTCTTAAACCCCACTTTATTTTCTTAAACCCCATTTCATTTAATGTGATAAAGTACATATACCAAACATACCTGCACAATATTGACCAGGACTACATGTAGTACAGTCTGATGATGATCGTAAACCTCTGTTGTTACTATAGCTACCAGCAGGACACGCCTGCCAATCATGTCCAGTACCATTAGGACAGAAGAAACCTTGAGGACAGGGATGTTTAGATGTACACTGGTTGCCAATGATTGACAGCTCGGGTATACAATAATAACCTAAATATATAAAAATATATATCAGAGGGGCTCGGTTTAGCCATGATTGACAGCTCAGGTGGACAATAATAATTTAAATATATAAACATATAGATCTGGGGGGCTCGGTTTAGCCATGATTGACAGCTCAGGTACACAATAATAACCTAAATATATAAACATATTAGTAGGGGTTGGTTGATGAGTGGTGGTTAGCAATGATGGACAGCTCTGATAAACAATCGCCATTACATTTAATTGTATATGTTACAAGTCCCTGTAGGTTATAGGTCACTTCGTTCAATATCAGTTTTCATGATACAAGACATCTGGGTTATCTGTCGATTAAAGTCATCAACAGAACTTACTGTCTGTGTTTGTTCCTGTAGTGCTTCCTACATATTGAATACAACCAAACATGGATATAAAGTATAAACAAACATATCACAGGTGCTTGGTTGTCAGTCCACAATTTATTGAAGTGGTTTGTTTGCTTTTCGGAACAGTTGCCATATGGCACTTGGGACGTCCACAGCAGCTCATAACTACAGCTTTTAAGAGAGAGAGAGAGAGAGAGAGAGAGAGAGAGAGAGAGGGAGGGTTTAACATCCACTCGACACAAACTAGGTCATTTTGGGATTAACACGTGGTTTAATTTCATTCCCATAATTCGTTTGAGCGTAGGGGTCTTTAGCAGTGGGAGGAAGCCAGAGAAAACCCACAAAACAAATTCCCAGTGTTTCTAACATCGGAACTGATACCCATTCTGGTAGCAATAATAGTTTTTACCTTCAGGACAAACAAGACATTCGCTGGCGCCATCAAAATCAACGTACAATCCTGCTGGACACACTGGTGGCACTGCAGTTCCTGGTGGACAATATCTACACGATGGGCAGATAACTTGATTCTCAACACTAGATCCTTCTGGACAGTAAAATCCTATTAAAGACAAATTTCAAAATGCTATCTTAGCTTCGACAACAAAATAGAAATTTCAGATATAGACACCAGACGTTTAGCAATTGAACAAAAAAAAAAAAAAACCCCAAAAAACCCAAAAAACATCATACCTGCTTTACAGGGTCCGCTTACATCCGACAAACCGAATCCATTACAATAATAACCTGGTAGACATTGACTACAGTCACTAGACTTGGTTAACCCAGTCTGATTAGAATAGGTTCCATTGGGACAAGCAGCAGGGGTCTCAGTTGCAACGCCACAATAATAACCAATAGGACAGACCAGTTCACTGGAAGTACTGGACTGTACAGGACAATAGTAGCCTTCATCACAAGGTCCTGTTACTGATGTTAAACCTGTATGTATAAATAGAACAGAGTTAAAGATGATTAAAGATAGAGAGAAAGAGAGAAAACTGGGTCATTTTGGGACTAACACATGGTTCAATTTTATTTCAATAATTCACTTGAGCGTAGGAGTCTTTAGCAGTGGGATGAAACCAGAGGACCCGGAGAAAACCCACAAGGTATGATGGGCGACCCTACTCCTTGTCACGTATAAGCGGGGAATCAAAACTGACTCAATGACAGACCTTGTAGTTTCATGCAAAAGCATTAACCACTAGGCCACACAACCCCCCTTTAAATAGCAGACTGCTTGCTATAAAATCTACATTTTATTGTTAATTTCGACACTGGCTGGCATGAGATCAAACTCGGATAATCCCTGTAGCAAAGAAGTGGGATATCGGAAACCATGGGGCCTTAAATAACAATGTTCTATACAATCCTGGATATATGTCTAGTTTTCCATGTTACCTGTTTGGTTACAGTAATATCCACCAGTACAGTTGGTACACATATCGACACTCCTCATTCCCAGAGAGGGACTGTAAGTTCCATGGGGACAGGCTAAAGGTTCACTAGTAGCTTCTGGACAATAATATCCTCTAGGACAGACATCTGCTTCAACACCTGAATAATATAATAAACATTTGTATAACGATGAGTAAATTCCTCCGTTTTCTGAATTCTTCTAACACTCATGTGCCACGGGTCTTGTTTTGTCCGATTTGCGGTGCAACGACCTACTCTTATTTTGAATTTCAACTATCAAGAGTTCTTTTACGTGCACGTCAACATGTACACGGGACTTTGTTTTTTTTGTCCTATCCGAAAGGCTGTTCATGCACCAGTGATGGGGAGGGGACAAGATTGTTAATGATGTGGAGATAAAGACAATCTTCACAAATTGTAAAACTGTTCACTTATCAACCAATGACTTTTACTAATGGGGTTCAACGTCCCACTCACCACAAACTCAGTCGACAACTTTCACTAAAGGGTTTTAACATCCACTCACCACAAACTCAGTTGACGACTTTCATTAATGGGATTTAACTTAGATTCAACACAAACTCAGTCTATGACTTTTACTAATGGGGTTTGAGGTCTACTCAACACAAACTCAGTCGATGACATTTACTAAACGGGGGTTAACCTCCATTCGACACAAACTCATTCGACGACTTTCACTAAAGGGTTTTAACATCCACTCAACATAAACTAAGTTGATGACTTTCACTAATGGGTTTTAACATCCACTCAACATAAACTAAGTTGATGACTTTCACTAATGGGTTTAACATCCACTCAACATAAACTAAGTTGATGACTTTCACTAATGGGTTTTAACATCCACTCAACATAAACTAAGTTGATGACTTTCACTAAAGGGTTTTAACATCCACTCAACGTAAACTAAGTTGATGACTTTCACTAATGGGTTTTAACATCCACTCAACATAAACTAAGTTGATGACTTTCACTAATGGGTTTAACATCCACTCAACATAAACTAAGTTGATGACTTTCACTTATGGGTTTTAACATCCACTCAACATAAACTAAGTTTAACTTTCACTCATCACAATCTAAGTTGATGATTTTTACTAACGAAATCGTTTCGCTTTCGGTGCTACAATATTATAAGAAGAACGATTGTTTATACCTTGTGTTGGTGTGGTTGATATAGCACCATATCTACAATAATATCCAGCTTCACATGGTCGTATAGGACTGAATAATCCTTCTACATCACATGACATACCACCAGTACAAGGTGTACATTCACTGGAATTCGTTAATCCTGTGAAATATCAGAATCATATAAACACATGGAATAAAATCATAGTAAGTCACGATGTTGATATAGCGCACAGACAAAAAATCAATCTTACTGTACCCAAAGCTGTAATTCATTGAAGACCAAAAGGTTAAATATCGAGACTGGGACCATAAACAAAAAGTTGCATTTTAATAAATATTAAAGATACATTATGTAAGATTTAGATAAAGAGCTAACCATTCTTGCTATAATAGTTTGAAAATAGATAATGTAAAATGAATAATTTGAAAATTTCAAATTACTATCTTCTGGGCCTAATATTATGAGTGCTTGAAGTCTTGGTAATCCATTTTAATATTAAATTATTAAATGACACAGGTGTTCTGATCTATTGAAATTTGCGACCATCCGATGGATTACAGGTGATTATGGTCTTGTCATGTGAATAAATGTCTAATTGATAACTAATATAAGATTTCAAGCTCTATACATAATGAATTTTTAAAAATTCAAATCTAAGAATCAAAGTTTCCTATCGAATGAAAGAGGAATATCCCCTCCCCTAAACTACTGAATGGCACTTAATTACAAATAAGTACAATTCCCAGTACCAGGCTTTCAGATCGAAAGTAAAAATCAGTAAAATACGATTAAGGCAAAAATGATAAATTATCCAAACGTACCAGTTCTATTGTTAAATGTACCGCGAGGACAAGGATATTGGGCTGGATGTTCTGTTCTATTTGGACAATAATAACCTTCCAGACATACGTAGATGTTGTAATTGATGACGGGTGTGAAGGTGGCGTTACAATAGTAGCCTGCTGGACAGATTTTACAATCACTAGCTCCGACAGAATCCTGTAAAATGTTTACATTAATACATTAAACTTAGAAAAAAATAGAGATATTTTCTGTTGCAGCTCTGTATCACAAGATATTTTCTGTTGCAGTTGCATCAAAACATAGTTTTTGTTGCAGCTGCGTATCACAACATCGTTTTTGTTGCAACTCCGTATCATAAAATATTTTTTTTTGCATCATCATATCACAACCTATTATATGCATATTATTAAAGCATTAGAGCTTACAAAAACAAAATATTGTGGTTCTCAGACAATCCTTACCAAATATTCTGACACAGGAGGAAGGTTTTTTTTGTCAAAGTTTAAAGGACTTCTCATAAACATCACATTACTTGCTGTAATTAGTATTTAGTTTTTAAAAATAAAAATAGGTTATGCTGCCCTTTTTAAGTGACGTAGGATTATTTGAGAACCATATGTTTTTTTTTCAAGTGGCCTAAACAGAAAATATAAAATCAATTATGACAAGTAACACGTGTAGTTTTACCTGATGGGTTCCTGATGGACAAGGTTCAGCAGCTTCTTTACCTCCGACACAGAAGAAACCTTCAGGACATGTATGATTGGCTGGTGTACTGGTCACCTGACCAGAAGGACAATAATACCCAGCAGAACAATCACCTTCTGGTGTCGGCAAACCCTCGTAACCACAATATTTACCTGATAAAAGAATATTTCAATCAGGTATGATATATGGGGTTTAACATCTACTCGACACAAACTAGGTCATTTCGGGACTAGCATTTGGTTTAATTTTATTTGAATAAATTGCTTGCGCAACAGTGAGAAGAAACCAGAGGACCCGGAGAAAACCTACAAGGTTGGATAGGTGACCCTATTCCTTGTCACATACAACCGGGGAATCAAAACCTCACGACTTGACTCAGTGACAGACTTTATAATACAGAGCACACGCGTTAGACCCTTCGGCCACCCAAGTCCCCTCTTTAGCAGTGGGTCTTTAGCTGTGAGAGGAAACCTAACGACCCAGAGAAAACATATGAGGTTGGATAGTGGGAGATCGAAACCATTTGACTTAATGACAGATCTTATGATCTAAAGTGCAAACCATTGCCCCCCGCTCCCCGCTCCACTCTCCCTTTCAATCAATTACATAGTTACGAAGGGTAGGTTGCAAAAAGCACTTGTAACACAATAACAAATATCTATGCACGAGGTCCCTATGCTTGTGCCGCACCCTCTCCCCCCAGGCAGATTTAACTCTCACATAATGCCTGTTTAAGTAGTAAGAATAAATATTTGTATAAAATTATTATAAAACCAACAAACCTGGTGTACATATTTTACAAGATGATGGAGCACTGTTTCCAAGTGTATTCAGATAATATCCTATAGGACATGGTATAGGAGAGATAGTTGCTACTGGACAATAGTGACCAGTTGGACACCGACTTCCAGTCACTCCATCAAACGGACTGTGAAACGTGGCACCAAGAGTACAATAATAACCTTCAAAGGAAAATAAATTATTTTAAGTATTTTTCACATTGCTTTTGTTTCCAGGTGATTAAAAAGTTTTCATTTAGGTTGTAAAATGGGTTTTAATATCCTACCTTTCTACACCATCCAGCCTGGATTCCCTTGTTAGTGGTGCAGCATGGAGAGTTTGGCAAGGAACAGTGTTTGGGGCACAAATACTGTTTCGCCTGTATATGCTGGACATGTCCTATTTTAGTTGGCAAACGCCAGACTGAGAATATGCCCAAACAGACATCAAGATAATGTGAATCACATTCAAAATTCTAAAAAATATTGACTGTAATACTGAGGGTAATAAAAATATGGTTTAAAAAAAAAAAATAATAACTATTACTAATCTCGACTGCCGTTAATAATAGATTGACATGACTTCTGGCGACATAATTCTGACCTCTATTAACTCCAAATAAAAATGGCTGACAAGCAAAATTTTGAAACAGCATCTCCGGTTTGGTATGGCACGAAATACCATTGGACTGATTGTTAAAGAACCGTTAGCCAAAACACAAGTGTGTAGGTAAAAATTTACCTTCCAACACACCACATGGAATACGACCATCTTCATTAACCCAGTTGTCACAGAAAGGTAGGACAACATTTCATTTTACTTTCTGCACCAACAGCATATTGTATAATAGCTACACACCAGTTCTTTAACGATCAGTCCAATTCGTATTTCGTGCCATCCCAAACCAGGGATATCAATCTTTACTGTATATTCACAATGTATTCTTTTGAGTTTTAAGGAAGAAGCATGCCAAGATGAGTTACACTTTAAATTGTGATCTGTTCCTAGTCAATAAAGATGACGAACCTGCCGTCAAAGTAGAATAAGATAATTAAAAGAGCTATATGACTGAGATTCAGCGCTCGTTCGTTCTGCATCTTTGATAAAAGTTTTCTACGTACCTTGTGAACAGTTTCCTGATGGTTCGGCCAATCGTTCCGTGGCACAGTATTGACCTCCATCACACAAAGTTACATTCTCACTTCCTTCGGGACAGTATTCACCTTTACGACATTTACCTCCCTTTGTGGGATCAGTCGGCATCGATTGGGTAGCTCCACCCAGACAATACCAACCAGAACTGAAAGACAAGTGAATAATGATCAAGAATTGCATGATCAGTCGGCATCGATTGGGGTAGCACCACCCAGACAATACCAAGTGAATAATGATTAGGAACTGGATGATCAACGATCAAGTGTGTCGGTTAATGATAAAGGGCTAAACAAAGGATTTATGCTTTGTGTTTTGTCAACACAATATTTTGATAATTTTTGGTCTAATTGCACTGGGATTAAACCCAAGACCTTCTCCATTATCCAACCTAAGTCATTTTGGGACTAACATATGGTTCAATTTTATTTCTAATCGCTTGCACACAGGGGTCTTTAGTAGTTGGAGCAAACAGGATGACACAGAGAAAACCCACAAGGTTGGACAGGCGACCCTACTGCTTGTCACGTACAATGCGAGCAAGCTTCATCATCCCCCTTCATTACGACAGATACATACCTGCAGTTTCCTGTTGGAGCAGCCAATCCCGTCGTCTGACAATAAGTGCCAGGTGTACAGGAGAGACAAGCTGTTTGATTGCTCTGTTTTTCAGCGGGGTTAAAAGTGCCCGGTGGACAGGGTCTTTGATCTGCTTGTGGTGTATTGCTTGGACAATAGTGACCAACTGGACACGGTTTATCCACAAAATCTGTTGAGTTGGTTGGGCAATAATATCCTGAAAATAAGAAATTTACAGCCATGTTAAATTATTGAAAGCGACTAATAAAGATTATGTATATAAAATGACAACTGAGATCTGTTAAATTGTTGAAAACTTGAGGCAATCATTTTATATATATAAATTGACAACAGAGATCTGTTTCTTGCAGATATTTTTATTAGTGAAAGTAATTTGTTCATAAATGAATGCTGTCAACTTTACAGTGCTTAATGCTGGACTAACAGATAAATCAGCATTTTTTATGTGATCACTTGTTTGGAATTATATTTCAGAAGCCTAAAAATTGTAACTTTTAGCACTGTAACTATTTTGTTATGAGATGCTTTAATTTTCATAATGTAAAACTTGTGGTGATTTTTGTCTAGAAAACTTTACCTTCTGGACATGATTTACAAGTTGCTTGGCCAATTTCATTCTGGTATGTTCCTGCTACGCAACTGATTGGTTGTTCACTACCCCGAGGACACATATAGCCGATAGGACAAATATTGCCGTAACCTGTATATAAAATATATAACATATTGGACAGATATCACCATATTGGACAGATATCAACATATTGGACAGATATCACCATAAACCATGGTATATAAAATATTGGACAGATATCACCATAACCAGTATATATAAACATATGTAGGAATATAAAAACATATAATGGGACAGATATCACTGTAACATGTATATAAATATATAACATATTAGACAGATATCACCGTAACCTGCATGTATATAAAAACATTAACATATAGGACACATAAAAATAAACACACATATATAGATATACTACTTCTGAATTTTATTAACACGCTACGTTTCAATACTAATAGATTCGTGAAATCTTCTGAATTTTATTAACATGCTACGTTTCAATACTAATAGATTAGTGAAATCTTCTGAATTTTATTAACATGCTACGTTTCAATACTAATAGATTCGTGAAATCTTCTGAATTTTATTAACATGCTACGTTTCAATACTAATAGATTAGTGAAATCTTCTGAATTTTATTAACATGCTACGTTGCAATACTAATAGATTCGTGAAATCTTCTGAATTTTATTAACACGCTACGTTTCAATACTAATAGATTCGTGAAATCTATTTCTATATGTCTGAATTTTATTAACATGCTACGTTTCAATACTAATAGATTCGTGAAATCTTCTGAATTTTATTAACACGCTACGTTTCAATACTAATAGATTCGTGAAATCTATTTCTATATGTCTGAATTTTATTAACATGCTACGTTTCAATACTAATAGATTCGTGAAATCTATTTCTATATGTCTGAATTTTATTAACATGCTACGTTTCAATACTAATAGATTCGTGAAATCTATTTCTATATGTCTTATAAGGAGTATATAGATTCGTGAAATCTATTTCTATATGTCTTATAAGGATTATATAGATTAGTGAAATCTATTTCTATATGTCTTACAAGGATTATATAGGACAAATATATTTGTCTACGATATCACCCTTGGTGGAACTGGACGTAAAACTCCAGGAACGAACGAGGACACATATGTTATACTTGCAACTATAGCTGGTTAATTACCTCTGGCTCGTGGTTTCGAAGACTGGTGTGAGTGTATGTGGCTCGGAGATAAAGATACCTTTTCAACCTCACTACTCCAGGTACTAAATCAACTTACCGATATGATTGCTTAATTAACTTACCTGTATGATTGCTTAATTAACCTACTCGTCTGATTGCCTACTTAACCTACTTGTCTGATTGCTTAATTAACCTACCTGTCTGATTGCTTAATTAACTTACCCGTCTGATTGCCTAATTAACCTACCTGTCTGATTGCTTAATTAACCTCGTATGATGACTTAATTAACCTTGTATGATGAATTAATTTACCTACCTGTATGACCACCAATTAATGGACAAGATGGTGGATAGGAACTGTTAGTTGCCGAGTTATCAGGGTTTGATCGATCTACACCAGATTGACAATAATATCCCTCATCACAGACACCTGTCACGTTGGTGGCTCCTTCTATAGAACAATAATACCCACCATCGCAATCCTTACACTGTGATACCTACAGGTGAACAAATATATTTCACAATCATAATTATTAATATTATTATCATTACACATTTCTAAAGCACACAGCAACCAATCTGATAGTTCAAAATTTCTTTTTACTTGTCTTTACTACACTAGGATTTGGAAGAATTGTTATCATTGATGTGTTCTAGATAATGTGAGCAATTAGCCAATGAAACCGACTGTTACGGTGAGCTTATGGTGTGAGGTGCACTTTACTGTGGGTAATCCACTAGAAATATCAATGTCGATTGGTTAATCAAATGTCTCATGTCATAGGTGAAAAGCCGCTCGTATGACCTCTGACGCGACCTGCCAAAAAAACTGGTCAGATCTTCATGTAGTAGAGGTCATTGAAAGTATAAAAAAATGAAACAATAGAAATGACATTATAAATTTGAAATAGTAATTTATTCCATTACAAGGGTGCTTGTGAACATCATAATATGCAGCCAGATTAAATTCATATTCCAAGTTTGTATTCATGGTACGGTATCGTGATGTCATGTACGTATGGTATAAACAATAAGTTTTACATCAGATAGACAATATGATAATCATCTATTCAAATATGACCGGTTTACCATGTGACCAATGGGTGCCGAGACATGTCATTCAATTTTTAATACAACAGGTCAAGACCAGCATACATTTCCAAGCTGGAACCCATGCCTAAAGTATCAATACCAAGTGTTGTTTTAAATGAAATGAAATGAAATGGAGTTTAACGTCCTACTTTTCTGCTCCTAACCTGGGCTAATGAAGACGGGCATACGCCATACAGTGTGCTATCAGGGAAATTTTGCAGGGACAGCGGCACTACGGCCTACTCTTATATCGAATTCCAACTGCCAAGGGATCTTTTACGTGCATGCCAATGTGTACACGGGACCTCGGTTTTTCGTCCCATCCGAACGACTAGACAGCTTTCCTTGTCAGCCCCTTCGTCCTGCATCACTGACAAGGGAGAACCACGCCGGAAAATCTGGATGAACTTTCTCGGCCAATGCACGGATCGAACATCCGACCTCCAGGCTAGCGAGCCAGCATCTTACCCACTTAGCCACGTGATCCCCTCGTTGTTTTAAAAGAGAGAAATGAGGTTTAACATCCACTCAACACAAACTATTTAGGCACTAACACATAGTTACATTTTATCTCAATAATTCGCTTGCGCGCAGGGGTCTTTAGCAGTGGGATAAAACTGGAGGATCCAGAGAAAAACAATGAGGTTGGACAGGCAACTCACTCCTCATCGCGTGAAACAGCGCCACTTGACTCAATGAAAGATCCTATGATCTAAAGGCCATCCAATCCCTCTGAGTTTATATAAATAAAAGTTTCAAACCTTAAATAGATTAGTTTGTTGTGAATATGTTCCTTTAGGACACGGCTGCCAGTCTAATCCGGTTCCGTTTGGACAATAATATCCTGGTGGACAGTTGAAATATCCAGACGTCGGGTCACCAGCTGTTACATTCTCAGGTAAACAATAAAATCTACAACAAAAGAAAAACTTGTTATTGGAATGTGAAAAATATTTTATTAAAGGACAATATTAATGTTGGTGTCAGTCATTATCACATGTCTTTATTAAGTATAGAATGAAAAAAAGCAAGGAAATGTACAGACTATTTCTAATTTTCTCTTATCTAATGACATTCAATTACTTTTTTGAATTGTCAGATATCCTCTCACAGTCTCGCATAACAACTTTTGGTCTTCGAAGGAATTATTAGTGAGCAGAAATTCACCCGTGAATCTGTTATACAGAAGGATAACTTGTGTTTTCCTTTTGCGTTCGTCACTTCCTTTTCTGGAAATCTACATTATGTACACATCTATCGTAGCAATGATCTCTGTGTTAAAATTATATTTGGAACATGTTTAATCAGTTCTATCACATATGTGATAATGATTGACACCAATATTGTCCTTTAAGTTGAATTTGCATTTTTCGAAAAAAGTCCATGGCTAAAATGTAATCAGGTTGATTATTCTACATTAAATTAAGAAACCAATTTGCTTTGACTATATCCCACATATGTCTGCCGAGGATGGTAAATGTTGACTTATTTTCAATTAATCATGTCTTTGTAAAAACTGAACGGAATTGAACCATTTTTGAACCGATATTCTAATCAGAGGTCGGAACAAGTCGCAGGACCTTGAGTACCAAGTCGCTGACTTTAGTACCGAGTCGAGTTCCAAGTCTTCACAAAGCCTGACACCAGTTTAAGTCGCCAGTTCATCAAATGAGTTAGCAATTCATGGCAAATAAGGTAAGTAAGAATCATGCCCCCTCGCCGCGACTTGAGTCCTAAGCTCTTTCAAGCTCAAGTTGTCACACCTGCTGAGTCTGAGTCGAGTCTTGAGTCGCATTAATTGCAAGTTGGGTTATTGATGTGACTTAAGTCAGACTCGAGTCAGAGTCGCGAGACTCGAGTTCCTACCTTTGATTCTTATTAGAGATTCAACTTTTACATTGCTGTATAAGGGATTCCTAAATTGTTCAAATCCTGTTCAGGAATAACAAAAGACAATATGACATTCCTGGTTTGTAATCTTTATACGATACATCATCTTGTCATCCATTATTTTATTAAGACGATATTGTCCACACCATTTCCACTCTACTGCTGTAGAATGATATTGTCCACACCATCTCCCTTCTACTGCTGATAGTGGACAAACGGTGATTAATTAATTTCTCTTACTCACCCATTCGGACAAATATCACAATCCCATAATCCTGTTCTGTTGGTGTAAAAACCAGGCAGACATGATCTAGGTTCACCGGAACTGGCTGGACAATGGAGTCCAATAGGACAGATTATACTAGTCGCAACAACAGATCCTATATTGAAATTGGAAGAGATATTAATAAATCATTCAAATGATTATAATATGTTATAATTTTATTTCAATTATTCACTTGCGCATAGAGATCTTTAGCAAAACTTTAAACAGTAATAACTTAGCTCATATTAAAAGTAATTTGAATGAAATTTTCAATATATTCATTTTGCATTATCTATTTTTGAGCTATTATAGTGCGATCGACCAGCTCTTTATCTAAATCTTACATAATGTATCTTTAATGATATTTATTTTACCTTCTGGACAGTAGTATCCTTGTTGACATGCCCCTTCTTCCGTTGTTAGTCCATTATTCTGACAGTAAAAGCCAGCTGTACAGTTGGTACATTCAGTTACAGCGGACAGTCGTGTTGCGTTAGAGAATGTACCTGACGGACATCTCACAGGTGTGTGAGTACCTGAGAAAATACAGAGAGATTATTAGGAATTTGTGAATTTTAATTAAAACTTCAAATGATAAAATATCTGACTAAATCCTTTAGGGCCTCCATAAGCTGAGGGATTGAGAGAGAAATAATCGGGTTTAACGTCGACAACGTCCACTCAACACAAAATAGGTCATTTTGGGATTAACATATGGTTCAATTTTATTTCCATAATTTGCTTGCGCGTAGGGGTCTTTAGCATTGGGAGGAAACCGGAGGATCCAGAGAAAACCCATGAGGTAGAACAGATGACCCTACTCTTTGTCACATACAACTGGGGAATCGAAACCACAACAGTTGACTCAATGACAGACCTATTGTTTCAACGTGCATGCGCTAACCATTCGGCTAACCAATAGGCAAAACATAATTTTGCTTTAGAACGCAGTAAGAGTCCTCCTTTTGCTGTATTATTTTGGAATAAGACTGCTGGTTAAATGAATCAAATTTAACTCAGTTAATCCACAAGTCATGTTTTTGGAATATTTTTAATTCCTTTTCATTAAAATCAATTTTATTAACTGATGTATTTACCTTTAGGACAATATCTGCCTTCAGGACAAATTTGTGGAGCAGAATTACTTGAACCTTCGACACAATAAAATCCTGGATCACATTCTCCAGTAGGTTCTGTTAGACCATAATCATCACAATACCAGCCTATGTAACAATATTCATTTTATAATAATACTTGCTATAGAAGTTACAATGATTTATAAACCAGAGCAGAGAATCAATGACACAAGCATACAATCAGATATAGAATACATTGAGATGCCCCAATCACCCACAGAAATTAATAAAAACATCAGTGGCTTTAGAACGACATCCTCAATTGGGACAAAAAAAAGGGGATCAATTTCATCGAATTTATATTTTGATTTGTTTTGTGGGATAGCAATGTGTCTTCATGGAAAATTTTAAGCCTATAAAGACAATTTCTGTTTAATCTTTCAAATTTTTTATTCAACCGTACTAATATATGGTACAATTATATTCCAATAATTGGCCTGGACATAGAGGTCTTTAGCAATTTGAGGATACCAAAAAATCTGATCAAATCTTCAGACATTAATGTGTCCCTGAAAATAAACTCAACAAACCTTTAGTACAAGATGTGCAATCTGTCAGATTCATCAACTTGGTGTTATTGGAGAAGGTTCCCGGTGGACATTTGATTGGTTCTGTTGTTTGTTCTGGGCAGTAATGGCCGACAGGACAACTATCGGCTACAGATCCTTGCTGGGGTGCCGCTGTGGTCGCACCAGATCGACAGTAATAACCAGCTGAACATGGCATGCTGGGATACACGGTTCCTCCAGAACAGTAATAACCACCTGTCAACAAATCAAATTTTATTATATAAAATTAAACGTAAAGATACATCTTGTATTCATATACCGGTATATGTTATGTCTTGCAATGTCTTTGTGTACGTGTTTGGTTTGTGTACGGTGCTGTCTTCATGCACTTACTATTGTAAATCAAATACAATTAATCCAGTGGGGTAATCAAGTAAAAAGAATCTATTAAACGGTAAAGCAAAATACTGACAACATGGTCTGTCTATATAAGAAATTAACTCATTTGTGAAAGATGAGGGCCACAGTAACATCAAACTCAATCCACCATAACAGATGAGAACTATAGTAGCATCAAACTCTAGCCACAATAAATTGGAAAGACAACTCATATCTTTAGAGATTGTGTGTCATTAACAATATAAACAAAGAAAATCAAAATTTGTGAAGTCATATTGATATTATTATATATTGCTTTCACTAACTGTCCTTCAAAGATATAATTTTAAGTTGTTCTTACCTAAGCATGGGAAGCAATCAGAAGCAGACTGTATACCAGTTATATTATTAAAGGATCCAGCAGGACATGGAAACTCTCCAGATACACGCGTTCCATTTGTACAATAATGTCCTGTAGAAAAATAAAATCATAAACAGTACACTAATATAACAATACAGACAAGTTAACAAGACAGGGCATCACACTACTGAACTACTTCTTTAGAGATTAGGGAGTCTACTAGTAGTTTGCCCTAGGGAACAAAGGGCAACTTTGAAAATGATGGGTTGCAAAGCAATGAACCTGCGGTTGCCATGCAAGATAAACCCACATTACCAAGTGGAGGATGGAGAACAAAGAACTGTGAAAATTCAAATGGATTCTTCCTGTCGTAAAATGTGACTAATGTCGCTAGTGTGAATTATCTATTGTGATTCTGGACAGAAAATGGTCAAGTTCATAGTAAGGGATGGCCTGTAAAAAAAATTATAAGGATAAGCGAATTCAAAGGATGCAATTTATCCACACATGCACCCCAAACTTTGTTTTTTATTACAAAATATTACATTTAATTCCTACCTGATGGACACGTGTAGAGGGTGTAGTTGGTGATAGGACCAACAGATGAATCACAATAAAAGCCTGAAGGACATTCTGTACAAGCTGATTGAGCTGGTTTATCTTGATAGTAACCAGATGGACACTGTAGACTAGAACTCGTGCCACCAGGGCAATAGAACCCAGCAGGACATTCATACATGCTCGGATTACTGGTAGTCTGACCTTCTGGACAGAAATAACCTAAAAAAAGGATAAAATTTGAAATAAAAGATGAATTTTGAAAAGAAAAGAATACATGTAATATAATAACATTACCAGGGTACAAAAATGAAGAAGTCTGTAAACTACGACAACAATCTTACCTGGACTACAATCTCCATCTGGCGTTGTTAATCCAGAAGAGTTACAGAATTTACCAGCTGTACAGATGATACACCAGGTGGCATTTTCGGCTCCTACACTAGGTTGATAGGTCCCAGGTGGACAAGGTGCTGCAGAAGCTGTACCAGGAATACAGTAATGACCAGTTGGACATCGATCACCTGATCAATACAAGAAAATCAAAATCTGTTGACAATGAATAGCACAGATTCATCAAATTTCCCCCAAAGTCTATTGAGACAAAACTTTAGTTTCAAAATTAAACTGATATATTACAGTATTCATATAAATTTATATCAAAATAATTTTTCATCAATTAATTGGATGGAAATGAATTTAATTTTTCAGTGATATTAACCTAAAAATCAAACCTTCAATTTTATTTCTAATTATCTGGAAAAAAACAAATTTCATTTTTCAATGATACAAAGTAACCCAATTTAACTCCCCAATAAAACAATGTATTACCGCCTACTCCTGTTGGTCTATCTGTAGTTGAATTATTATCACAGTAATATCCAGCCATACAATCACCCCTTGGTGCTGGCATCATATCAGCATCGCAATACTGACCATCATCACAACCCACTGGTGCAGTACTTCCAGTTGGACAATACGTTCCTGAAGCAGAAACCAAATCAAGAAACAATAACCAATGTAGATGACCAGGAATCTTGATACCACATGTGCCATGCAATGAAGTTAAATACCCAATAGGTTATGAATCAGATATAAAGCCCTTTTAATATAGAAGGGAGGGTTGGGTGGTCGGGTGGTCAAATGCATGCGCTTTATAATTTAAGGTCTGTCATTCAGTCAAGTGGTATGGTTTCAATACCAACCTCAAATGTGACGAGGAGCACAGTCGTCTTCCTATCCTTATAGGTGTTTTCCAGGTCCTCTGGTTTACTCCAACTGCCCCAGACCCCTATGGGCAAGCGAATAATTTAAATCAAAGTGTATTAAGTGTTGATCCCAGAAAGACATTTTCTCTCTTTAATACAGATCTCCCACCCTCTTGATGGGCTACTGACAAGTTATCATAGCCCCTCAAAATGACAGGATAGGATAAATTACCATGGAAGAAGCAGCCTTATATAATTAACTAAATTTTGCATGGTGTCCAATTGATTTCATTGGTTTTAATGACCCCTTAGAAGAATGAATTGTGTACAACCCTTGTATGGAGTAAAACTAAACAAAAACTATTACATTACCTGCTAGACATTTTCCACCTTGATCTGGGTTTGTAGGAGTTTGTGATTCTGCTCCTGATCGACAGAACCAACCAGCTTGACATTCACCTGTTGGCGTCTCTAAACCAGGTGAAGCGCAATAATAACCTGGACTACATGAAGCACATCCAGTAACATTATTTTGTCCTGTAAAAAAAAATAAAGAACAAGTGATGTAATATAACGATTTAAAACCCATGTAGAGATACAGTTAAGATAATTTCTGTATATCTAGTTAAAAAGAGTTTTGATTGCTAGATTCGCATTCTAAGAGGAGAAGATGACTCTTTTGACTTGCTGCCTTATATCTATAGATTCACAGAACTATATATTTATTATCACACCCATACGCCATTACAACACACAGACGTTTATTACAGGTACCAGTAGGACAGGTTTATTGCATGTGACCTACCTGTGTCGTTTATACATGTATATTGTGTGACCGTCTGTCATGTTAATAAAGATACCAGTAGGACAGGTATATTGTATGTGGCCTATCTGTCATGTTATTATAGGTATCGATGGGACAGGTATATTGTATGTGACCTACCTGTAATGTTATTAAAGGTACCAATCGGACAGGTATATTGTGTACTATACTGGGTTCCATCAGGGCAATAATGACCAACCGGACATGGTTTATCGATATAACTTGAACTGTTAGAAGTACAGTAATATCCACCTGGACACACATCACAACTACCTTGGTTAGTTTTATCCTGTATAATTTAAAAAAACAGGTGTTAGTTCTATCCTGTATAAACTAAAAATACAACAGAAGCTCTTAAAAATTATTACTATTGAAAAATATAGACATTTATAAACTTTCTCTAGATGAAATGAACCAGGCTGAAGAAGACAGGCATGTACCATCCAATGTGGTATGAGGGAAATGTTGCCTGGACAGCGGCACTACGACCTACAGGTTCTTTTACAGGCACACAAGACCTCAAGTTTTCCATCCCATCCGAAATAAAATAAAGACTGTTCCTGACAAGGGGAAACTGCATCATTTCCTGTGCAACATCAGGAGCAAAATCCAGACTTCCTGAATAGCGAGTTATCTCCCATGTACATTTTCTTATATCATTGAATAATATTCAAATTCTGGAAATTATAAATGACCGATTTTATGTAAAATTGATAAGCCTGATAAGTGCATGGAAAGCTGTGCATTTTCTAACTCATTGAATAATATTCCCACATTCAATCTAAAAATGTTAAATAACTGATTTTATTTAAAACTGAGAGTATTCTACTAGCCTGATAAGTTCCTGGTGAACATCCTAGTGGTACAACAGAACCTTGTGGACAATAATATCCTGGAGGACAGATCCCTCCTTCTCCTGTATTATTACCAGCAGGGGTGGGGATATCGACGCCCAAGGTACAGTAGAAACCAGAATCGCATTTCCCAGTAGGTGCCGTCAGGTTGGTTCCATCACAATAATCTCCACCTGTACATTGCTGACATTCCATGACATCACCGAGACCTAGCTGATTGCTATATGTTCCTCTAGGACAAGCAGTCCAGTTTCTACCAGTACCTGCTGGACAGTAGAACCCAGATGGACACAATCTATGACCTGATGTAGAATTTCCTGTAAACAAGAATTATCAGATTGCATTTATTTTAGGATTTAGATATTACTTTCACCTTTGAACTATTGCCAAGTATTGTTTATATATAGATCCTACTGTTCAGCTCCGACTGGGTTAATAACAACGGGCATAAGCCAAAGACGTGCGCACAGGACCTTGGTTTTTCGTCCTCTTTAAACGACTATAAGTTTTCCCTTGCCAGACGTTCTGTCTGAATGCATTATCGAAACTGGTAAGTCATTCCACAATCGCGGACATTCTCGGATTGTATACACTAAAAGCTATATCATTATATCAGTGATATTTTACTCTCTGAACTGAGTTGTCAATTTGGTGTATAAGGCATCACAAGTGCTGTAAGATACAGGTATTTTAATGTTTATTACCTGCTATTACTTCTTCTGGAACACAGTAAAACCCAGGAGGACATATATCACACAACCAAGCTTGACTGTAGTTAGCAAAACTTCCAGATTCACACGGTTTAGGTAGACCACTTCCGATTGGACAGTGTAGACCAATCACACAAGGTGTTTCATTTGGATTAGAAACATTATTACCTCCTGGACAATAAAACCCAGCATCACATTCTCCAGATGGTGCTGTTAGACCTGAAACAGAGAGAAAAGGGGTTTAACGTCAACTCTTCATATGGCTCAATTTTTTATTTCAATAATTGGCCGTCACGTGGGGGTCTTAAGTTGTTGGAGGAAACCAGAGTTTGAATAGACTACCCTACTCCTTGTCACATCCAAGCGAAGAATGAAAACCATGTCACTTGACTCAATGACAGACCTGAAAACCTAACACTAGATCACCTACCCCCTCCCCTGATCACAATGTAAAAGTAGACATATCACAGGCAACAAACAAAATAACAATGGTCAAAGATATAAACCACCACGATTTGTAGTCCCACCATCAAAACTACCCTTTAATACCTAACGGGGAAAATTTCCCATCAAGATTTTAAAGACAAAGAAAGATTACATCTTGAATTTACAAACATTGTACAATGATCCTGAATTGAATTATGGTATAATACCCAGTTGATTTATGACCCAGTTGTTTGCAAAAAAAAAGCCAAACCTGAATGGATTAAAACATAAAAATATTGTTCAGTATTGTTACAGTAATTGTATCTTATATCCTCTATACACTGTGTGCCAATGCAACATTTGGAGTGACTTGAGAGTGTATAATTATGGTTGATCTTACAACATATGGTTTTACATTAATTGTATTCTAATCCATATCATGAACAGATAACTGACCAACAGAGCATTTGGTCAATTGTTGACGCATCGAGCGCGATTTCATTCGACTACCATAAAGAAGGCATCTTGTTACTAACCTGTATTATTACAATATTTGCCAACATCGCAATCTGTACATTGTGTTATAGTAGCCAGTCCCTCTGTATTACTGTATGTTCCTGATGGACAAGGGACAGGTGTTCCTGTTCCAATAGGACAGTATGATCCTCTCGGACAGATCAGATGGTCTGAACGATTGGATCCTGTCTCACAGTAGAATCTACAATAAATTACTAATTACTAAACACCACCTTACTATGGAAGTCTCCAATGACCTGGGGACAAGAACACAAAGGGATTCGAACCTAGAAAATTCAAGTTTTGAATCTAGTCTCCAGTTCAAAGGAGAAATGGAATTGCTCCATAACAGAGAGAGAGAGAGAGAGGGGGGGGGAGTGCCATGGGGTTTAGCATCCACTCAAGTTAGGTCAGATAGGGACTAACATATAGTTCAAATTTATTTCAATATTTCCCTTGCTCATAGGGGTTTTTAACAGTGAGAGGAAATCGGAGGGCCCGGAGAAAACCCACGAGGTTAGACAGGTGACTCAACTCCTTGTCACGTACAAGCTTTGACTCGAAACAATGGCACTTTACTCAATGACAGACCTTATGATCTAAAATGCATGTCTTAGACCATTTCCAACTCAATAACAAAGACACATTGTTGATCATAAAATGCTATTATTCTTTCCCAGAATCACAAAGGGATTTGAATCTGGGAAAATTCAAATTGTGAAAATATTTTATTTTTAACCATCAAATTAATATTGTAACAGTTATATCACAAGCACAGAGATAATTTCCTCAGCTACATACAGGGTCCAATTGCTGCTGGCGTTCTCATTTTATGAATGCAACTCCACTGGAAACCACAACGCTGTCAATTATCAATGTAGAAAACTGAAAATTTGCCGATTTACTATTATTAATCTTACCCAGCATCACATGGACCAGATACTTCCACCATAGCCGTCTGCTGACAGTAGGAACCAGCCGGACAAACGGTACAATCAGAAGATGATTCTAATCTAGTCTGGTTGCTATAGCTACCTTTAGGACATGGTACCGGGTCTGCAGTTGCTGCTGGACAGTAATGGCCAATGGGACAACCATTGGCATCAGAGCCTGAAAATTAACAAATTGGAGTAAAAAGAATCAACCAGGATCCTAAGGCCACACAAAAAAAATTCTGGCTCTCAGATACCACTGTGTCATCAAAAATGGGCTAACATTTCCATACGTTAATATTTCCCACGATAAAGGTAATTAACTCTATTAAGCATTAATTGACGAGGAACTGAACACTACACTCTGCTATCAAGTAAGTAAAAATCACGAAAGGCACTGTATAATCGATTGTTAATTTGTTATTCTGCATTTATGACTGTGAGAGAGATGACAAAAAGTATTCTCCGTGGGTAGATTGAGGGTGCAGACTTTGATTTAAATTGACAGCAAAATCCATGCTTTAACTTAACTAATTTAATCTAGATGAAGTCATGGAATTATTCGGCCTGTATTTCAAATTTTTTTCTTATTTTTGGTTTTTCTTTACGATTAAAATAAATATTAAATTTATAATAATTTTGTGTGTTTCTTAAAAATGAGGGAACTAGCTAGATTTTGACAAAATACAAAAAAAACCCATGTCCTCCTGTGTCAATTTTGTTAAAAGAATTGTCTGAGAAGCAGAATAATTTGCATGCATGTATGGGTCTTTTAGCAGTGGGAGGAAACTGGACGATGCGGAGAAAACCCACGAGGATTGACAGACGACCCTACTCCTTTATCACATACAGAGAGAGAGAGAGAAAGAGAGAGAGAGAAATGGGGTTTAATGTCCACTCAACACAAACTAGGTCATTTCGGGACTAACATGGTTAAATTTTATTTCAACAATACGCTTGCGTGTAGGGGCTTTAGCAGTGGGAGGAAAGCGGAGAACCCGGAGAAAACCCACGAGGTTCAACAGACGACCATACTCTTTTATCACACACAAGTCAGATATTGAAACTATTCATCTTTACTCAATGACAGACCTTACACACGTTAAAATATTAGGCCAGTGATCGAACCCTACAGAAATATGCTTTAAAGTAATTTATGACATTATTTACCTTGATCAGGTGTTGATATATTGGCTGATTGTTTACAGAAATATCCAGCATCACAGACATCTGTAGGTGTTACCATGCCGACCATAGGACAGTAGTATCCACCTAGGCATGGTGTACAGTCACTCACCGACAACAAACCTATAATATAGACATTCAATCATAACACTAACATTAAAACTACACAATCTGAATCTGTTTTAATCCACAGGTAAATAAATAAATCATTTTGTGCCTGCTTGCAAATGAAATGAAATGCAATGGGGTGTAGACGTGACCTCTGTTTTTCATCCCTTGGTCCTGCACCACTGACAAGTGGAAACCAGGCTGGAAATTCGTGAGGAAATCTCAGCAAATACAAGGACTGAACCCTGGACATCCTTGTTACTAAGCTAGCACTGTACTCACTGACCCATCATGGTCTCGTGTTGTCTATTATTTAGAAAGTCAAAATATCTCCCTATTTTAGTATTTGACCAATTCAACCCCCTTCACAATCAACTGTAGTCCATATCGGTTATTGAAATAAATCAACTAGCTAATGATTTTTGTCCACTGGTTCCCTAGTCCAACGCCAACAAAATAATATATTTGTGTCAAAGAACCAGAAGGACCTAATGAAGGTCTATCATGATTTGTCAAGGTCAAGAGACAAGAGACGGCTGAACCACTACAATAACTAGTGAACCCACGGACTAATGACTGTTCTTTGTTTTCTGATTTATTTTTACCTGTTCTGTTGTTGAATGATCCTATTGGACACGGAAATTCTTGACTGAATCTTGTTCCTTGTGGACAGTAGTATCCCATCGGACATAAAGTTGTTGAGTTGTCGAGGAAAACAATCCCCATGGTGTTGTCACAGAAATAACCAGCAGGACAAATCCTGCATTCTGATTGGGTGACGGTGTCTTGATAAGTACCATTCATACATCGTACTGGAGTATCAGATCCCACTGGGCAGAAATGGCCGACTGGACAACTGTAATCAAAAAATATTTAAATAGTTAATTAAGCTATACAAAATAGTTAGGCCATACAAGTAATATCATCTGTAGAAAATGCCAAAGGTTGATAATTTGTCAATTCATCATATTTTTGTAAATATTGAAAGGAACTTAGACTTTTCTGGACTGATAGTGTAGTTGACATGGTATTCAAAGTCTCTCAAATAACGATCGGTGGTTTTAAAATACTTATCGTAAAACTTACTTAAATTCTGATGGTGTTGATGTATTTTGACCACCGGGACAATAAAACCCAGCACTGCAATTACCGACTGGCAATTCATCTCCGACTCCCGGACAATATTTACCAGGTGAGCACAATTTACAGTCTGTCTCTTCATCTTGTTGTTGGACGTCCAGATAATATCCTTGACCACATGGTGTAGGGGAGGCGCTGGTCTCGGGACAATAATGGCCGACAGGACAGATGTTTCCAGTTGTATTGTCTCCAGGTGCGGAACTCGTGGATTGTAAAATACAATAGTAACCTGTAACACATGGACAAAATAAACACATGGACAAAATAAACACATAGACAAAATAAACACATAGACAAAACACATGGACAAAATAAACACATGGATAAAAAAATAAACACATGGACAAAATAAACACATAGACAAAACACATGGACAAAATAAACACATGGACAAAATGAAGATATCGACAAAATAAACACATTATGATAAATATTTCAAATTCCTGTTACCATATACATGGTGTGGACACACAAATCACTGTTTATTAAACTGTTTTATTAACTAATAATACAGAGAGGCCGATGCCATGTTCCCTTCTCAAACCCTCTAGACAGAAGTGCCTTTTCCCACCGTGAACACTGGCATGTATAAATACATATTTATATAAGGTAAGTAACAGTAAATATTATGATTATGATTACAATAAAGGCTAACACGTGGGACTCATTGATTGTAAAATACCATAGTTATCTGCAACATGCAGAGAAATATTATTAAAGATACATTATGGGAGATAAGATAAAGAGATGGCAGTTCTTGCTATAATAGTTAAAAACTAGATAGTGTAAAGGCAATTTGCTGGAAATTTCAGTCAAATTGATCCACTATGAGCTGAGAACGAAGCGGGTGAAATTTTTGCATAGTCTCGGTCATCATTACTTAAATCATTAATATAAACAGCCGAGTCTCGATTATCCACTTTTTCTGATTTAATTATCAATAGCCGTTAGCGGCATATAGGAATCTAATCCAGCCAACAACGAAGGCTAGCCTTGACATCGAGAGTTTATTATGGTCTGGATAAGTTAATTAATGTCTAATTGATAATTTAGATAACATTTCAGGCCTAAAGAAAGACTTGTAATAAGCAGATTTTGCTCTTGCATAATGCATGTTTAACTGTTGGATGACACAGCGCTTCACTGGCTGAACGTATAGTATAACACTGAAACAGGAAGCTGTAGTCCAATGCCACCTCGCGCTCCGAGCTACCCCTATTCATTGAATTTCAGCCTCAGGACAGTCCTAGTGTAGCTCTGAACAGACAAACGGACAGACAGTCAATATTAGTATAGTCAAACTCATTAATTTCCTGCGATATCAGCATCACAGTCATTTACAGAGCTTGACTAATCCCACGACAGATTAGAACATAACCCTAAGCCAAGGGATTTTATTGTGCTGTCACCACGATCTGTCAAGATTTCTTTTGGTGTCCCGTAGCGGCAAATTATTTCTGTAAACAGGATCTTGGCAATTACTGTATATGACTAAGGCCATATACTGCCAATTAAACATCATCACTCATAAGTTACAGGTAATATACATACAATAAAACATAGTATTACACTTAATTTAGTGTGGTAGCCAAATAATTAGTCAAACCAATCAAGATTTTAACTAAATCGTGTATAAAAGCCATACTGACAATGATACATACTTAGATGGAGAATTAATAAAACAATTTACTCAGAATAAGTCATTGTCACTTAGTAAGATAAAATTACTAACCAAAATAATGTAGTAAGTATAGGGTAAAAATGTGGTCAAATAAAACATTCAATGATAATATTAATAACAGATTTACTCATAGTCATATGACTGAGTAATAGTCTTAGTTTGAACACTAATGCCAAGTGGAAGTGTGATCAGTCTTAGATACCCATAGAGAGGGAATTGTAGGGTCTTGACAGATCGTGGTGACAGTGCACGCCAAATAAATACATAGGACCTCGGTTTTTCATCCTATCCAAAAAACTAGACAGCTGTCCTTGTCAGGCCCTCCTTCCTGCACCACTGACAAGGGGAAACCATATCGGAAAATTCTGACGAACTTTCTTGTCCAATGGAGGGACCAAACATGCGACCTCCAGGCTAGCGAGCCAGCCTCTTACCCACTTAGCCACCATGGCTCCCCTGTTTAAGTCCATTTAAGAACAAAGCTAGCTAGCTACCTAAAGTTTCAAATAATTTCTTTCCTATTTGAAAAAGCTGTCTAGATGTTATATTATCCTGTCGAAAATACTTTTATAAGGTAAAAATATAACAAGATTTTATGGAACTTACCTGCAGAACAGTTTCCGGTTGGTTCTGATAAACCGGCCGTTTGACAATATTTTCCTGGGTCACATGGTTGTGGAGCAGATGATCTGATTGGACAATAGAAACCAGGTTGACAATAATCGCCCTGCGGAGGGGAGGGTGTAGGACTACTGGAGTTTGATGTACAATACCATCCTATAGAATAAACGAAATGTATTTTTTGTTCAAGATGCATTATGTAAGGTTTAGATAAAGTGCTGGTCGTTCTCACTATAATAGTTATATTAAAGATACATTATGTAAGATTTAGATAAAGAGCTGACAGTTCTCGCTATAATAGTTCAAACATAGATAGTGAAAATGAATATATTGAAAATTTAATTCAAATTGCTTTATCTTAAGCTAAGTTATCACTGTTTGAAGTTTTGACAAGATGTGGAATAGATTATCATACCTCTATTCTAACAAGTGGGAACAGCTTGAAAATAGTAGAGAAAGTTCTCGTGGTAAATGCAAAGATATGTTCGTGTGATATTCCAGTCTTTAGTGTCCTGTAGTCGTGAGTCTAGTGTCCTGAAGTCGTGAGTCTAGTGTCCCATGGTCTGGAGTCTAGTGCCCTGTGGTCTGGAGTCCAGTGCCCTGTAGTCATAAGTCTAGTGCCCTGTAGATGTGAGTCTAGTGCCCTGTAGCTGTGAGTCTAGTGCCCTGTAGCTGTGAGTCTAGTGTCATGTAGTCGTGAGTCTAGTGTCATGTAACTGTGAGTCTAGTGCCCTGTAGTTGTGAGTCTAGTGCCCTGTAGTTGTGAGTCTAGTGCCCTGTAGTTGTGAGTCTAGTGCAGGGATCTTAATCGGCTGTTTTTTGTTGGCTTTAACCGCTTGAAGTTCAATCAAGCCGATTGGTAAAACAATGAACCTACCACTATGGTATCATAAATCAATCTACTCTCGGCTAAATTACAACTGGTTAATTATTGCTTGTTGAATAATAAGTCAATCAACTTGCTTGTCGACTACAAAAACAGTAATACCTTCGTGAGAATCAGCCATTGGTTTATAATCCGAGTAATTAGCACATAATTATTGGTAAATTTGATAATCGGCCAGTAAAATAACCAAAACAAGCTTGCTGACTATTCATAACAGCCACGCGGCAACCGAAGGAAGACGATCTCGGCATGGATTGTGCATCTATCGCGCGCCTTCGAAGCTTTGTATGAATTCCAGGTGTACCGCTAGATATTAAAATAATAATTGGATCATAATTTAATGGTTTCACTGACCAGTTGTTAGTTAAATTTAAATCTTAGTAGAATATAATACTCGGATAGAACACCGAATACACCGAGAAACAGTCATTAATAATATATCATGATTCTCCAATGCTGGATTCTCGATGACACGTGATATCAGTTGGAATTAGGTCAGTAAACCAGCAATACTAGTTTTTGTTTTAAATAGCGTTTACCATTATGATTTTTTATTTTATACACATGCTGACAGAGGCTTATTTTCAAAAAAAATATTGTTGTTATTGTCATTGAAAGCTTTATAGCACAGTTGTATGGAATTTAACTTTAAAGCCATTTCAATTATGGTTGTCACATGATCACTGTGCCGCAAAAAATTTGCAAGTTACATGATAGAAAAAAACCTTACAAATTGTGTTATGAAGAAATACCACGCAGTAATTTATTCAGGAATATTACTGACATGAATTTCAAGCCAGTACGTGAATTAAATATGGACAATTTTCGGAACGATATAGCCTATTACCTATTTGTCATTATATTTGTGCTAATTACATACAGTAGGATACAATATTCCTCATTACAAGAATTATTTTTGTTTAAGTCTGGTTATATTAATGAGAATGGAAGCTTAAAATTTTAAAACCCAGTTCCTACCCGGACATCATTTGAATAAGTACCTTATATGAAGGTGTCTGCTGGTGTATGCAGGTGTCGGCTGGTATGTGCAGATATCCCCTGGTATGTGAAGGTGTCTGCTGCTATGATCAAAGTTAAGAGATAATATTAATATATAATATATACCTTGTGTACATGCTCCTGTTGGTGTTGATAATCCATCTGTTTGACAATAATCTCCTCCGGGACAAGGGAGACAATCGTTGATATCTCTGGCCATGGTAAGGTTATAATACGTGCCGGCTGGACAAGGGTATTGATTGGCTGATTGGGTACCTGATGGGCAGTAGTGACCAGACGGACAAGGTGTATTGATATACGTCTCAGCTCCTGAAAAGATAAAATAATATACATTGAATATGAGAGAAGGGGGAAAAATTGGGTTTAACGACCACCTGACACAAAATACATGTAGGTCATTTCGGGACTGAGAAAACACATGAAGTTGGACAGTTGACCCTACTCCTTGTCGGGTACATGCGGGGAACCACACCGGAAAATCCTGATGAATTTTCTCTGCCAAAGCTGGGATCGAACCGTAGCTCCATAAGAGTTGAAATATTATTACTGTACTCACCTTCTAAACAATAGAAACCTTGAGGACATTCGTAGCACGAGTTTAACCCTGTCACGTTTATAAAGGTACCAGCCCCACATGGCAACGGATCAGTTGTTCCTTCTGGACAATAGAAACCGACGGGACATAATCCACCATCACCTGTCTCCACACCTGTAACACAATCGTACATCGTTATCAAAACAAACATATTAATAAAATCGCGCCCATAAATGTCTTCATTAGCCCAGTTGGAGCACAAAAGTAAGAAGTTAAACCCCATTTCTTTCTGTCTAGCCTTATCCAACGGTTAATGAAAGATCTGGTCAAATATTTTTGTGGACATTAAAAGTAACCCAGGACTACATTGTTTTTCCAACTGTCTATAAATTTGAATCAGGAGTCAAAATACAATCTCCACAATGATCGGCAAAACACGAGTTTTGTCCATAAAATACATTGGTCATTCTGATATAAACATATTGTCAATTTCAAATCTACGGTAATGAAGGGGGTTGGGTGGTCTCTTGTGAAATCATAAGATCTGTCATTGAGTCGAGTGGCATGGTTTTGATTCCCAGCTTGTGTGTGACAAGGAGTAAGGCCGCTGGTTCAACTTCAAGGGTTTTCTCTGGGTCCTCCGATTTCTTCCCACAGCTAAATACCCTTTGCACAAGCGAATCATTGAACGAAAATCATTGACTGCCCCCAAAACACAAACATTTAATGAATTTAATATAAACACTTACCACTGAGAAGACAAGATCCATTAACCAGACTTCTGTTTCCTCCTCCGTTAGGTCGCGCTCTGTCCACACCATATTTACAATAGTAGCCTTGATCACATAGTCCTGTAGGTTCAGATAATCCTTGTTGTTCACAATATCTTCCTCCAGTACACGGTGTACACTGATCGGTACTGGATAATCCTGTCTGATTGTTGAATGTTCCGCGTGGACATGGTGACCAATCAAATCCTGTACCGGATGGACAGTAGAAACCTTCTGGACAAGACTGGACGATGTTTCCATTTGTACAATACCTGCAATATCAACCAAAATATTCTCAAACTTTTATTTGTTTCAGAACAAGGCTCTGACTTCAAAATTTCACAGTGGAGATAACAAATGAAATGAAATGAAATCGTGTTTAATGTACCACAGTTCTGCACCGACTGGGCTAATGAAGACAGGCATATGCCATACAATGTGCTATGAGGGCAATTTTGCTTAGACAGTGGCACTATGGCCTACTCTTATATCGAATACCAAATACCAAGTGATCTTTAAGGTACATGGGAACTTGTTTTTTCCTTCCATCCGAACAACTTTACATGTCCCTTGCCGTCTGCCCTGCACCACTGACAAGGGGGAACAATGCGGCAAAATCTTTCTCTGCTAACGCAAATATCAAACATGGGACCTTACTATACACCACAACTAAACCTTTCCAAAATATCTGTAAAGGATGTGAGGGGGGGTTGGATGGTTGAATGGTTAGCGTGAGTGCGCTGTATCATAAGGTCTGTCATTGAGTCAAATGATGTGGTTTTGATTTGCCGGTTGTACCTGACAAGGAGTAGGGTCGCCTGTCCACCCTCGTGGGTCTTGTCAGGGTCCTTAGGTTTTGAACCATGTGTTAGTCAAAAATGACCTGACAAGGAGTAGGGTCGCCTGTCCTCCCACTGCTAAAGACCCATACACACAAGCGAATTATTGAAATAAAACAGAGCCATTCGCTAGTCCTGAAATGACCTAGTTCGTGTCGAGTGGACGTTAAACCCCATTTCTCTCTCTCTCTGTGTAAAGGATGTGAAACTTACCATCCAGGTGGACAAACATAGCATTCTTCAGCCATTGTATGATTCATATAGGTGCCGTTTTTACATGGGTTGGGTTGAGATGAGTTGAGTGGACAGTAATGAGCTACAGGGCATGGGTAATCAGCTGGTCGAGATGAATTCTGACCTCCAGGACAATAAAAACCTGCTTCACAAGATCCTGTTGGTGTTGACAAGCCATCTGTTTGACAATATTCACCTTCCGTACATGGCGTACACTGGTCCGAGGAATTCAATCCTAGATATGGGTTAAACGTACCCTGAAAAAAATACACAAAATAATTAGCTGACTGGGCTAATGAAGACATACAGTGTGCTATGAGGGAAATTTTGCCTGGACCTACTCTTATATCGAATTCCAACTGTCAAGGGTTCTTGCACGTGCACTCCAATGTGTACACAGGACCTTTTTTCATCCAATCCGAACGACTATACATTGTCCCTTGCCAAAACTGAAAAAAGTAGAAACACATCCGAATGTCTCGATGAACTTTCTCGACCTACACCGGGATCGAATACGGGCTTCCTGGTTGGCAAGTCAACATCTCACTGAGCCTTCACGGATCCATCCCCCCCTCTATTGAATGAAGGATGTTATACTTACTCGAGGATTAGCACGTGGAACAGCTGAGCCTACAGGACTGTAGTTACCTATGGTACATAGTTCACTTTAGTTATCACCTTATACACCCCCTCCCACCCCCTCTATTGAAAGAAGAATGTTATATTTACTCTAGAACAAGCTTGTGGAACAGCTGTGCCCACAGGACTGTAGTTACCTATGGTACATATTCACTCTGTTTTCACCTTATACACCCCCCTCTTTTGAAAGAACAATGTTATACTTACTCTAGAACAAGCTTGTGGAACAGCTGTGCCTACAGGACAGTAGTTACCTACAGTACACAGTTCACTCTGTGGTGTTGATGAACCATTTACACAGAAATAACCAGCCAAACATAAACCTACCAAATATCAATTCATCAGTGTGTGGCAAATATCAAATCATCAGTGTGTGGCAGATATCAAATCACATTTCAACAAGTTAAATATCAAATCATCTTATTTAAGTATGTCAGATATCAAATGATATTTCAGCAAGTCAAATATCAAACCATCTTAGTTGAATGCGTCCAAAAAGTAATCACCCAATCCGGCATCTAATATTTAAACAGAACCAATAGGTTACATATCAAATTAAAATTCAAGACAAATTTTAGCCATTTTCAACAATTTGACGTTTCTCACCTTCGTTATCTGTTAATCCTGACGACTGGCAGTAATATCCTGCTAGACATGTTGTACATTCTGTGATGTTTCTCAATCCTGTTGTAGCACCATAGGTTCCTGGAGGACAAGGTGATGGATAAGCTGTTCCTTGCTCACAGTACGATCCTGCAATAATAATAATCCTCTATTTATATAGCACGATTATACCAAAACAGAAGTTTCTATTGCATTTTCAAGTTTTCTCCATCGAACTATGGAAACGCTTCTGTAAACAGGAACATCTTTAGCTGAGATTCAAATTTATTCAAGGAATCAATGGTTCTGATGTAGCAAGGTAATGAATTCCATAAGAAAAGAGCAGAGAACAAAAAAAAATTTAATTTCAAGATTCACTGATGGTTGATGCAGAAATAAATATTTTATTGTAATATTTTACAGGTTAAGAACTGTACTGGAGAGAGAGAGAGAGAAATGGGGTTTAACATCCACTCAACAATAACTAAGTCATTTCGGGACTATCATAAGGTTTAAATTTATTTCAATAACTTGCTTGTGCATGGGGGTCTTGAACAGTGGGAGGAATCCAGAAAAAAAGCCATGAGGTTGTCACGTTCAAGCGGGGAATCGAAAACATGTCATTGACAGACCTTGTGATTTCACGTGTTAAACCACCCAACCACCTGCTATTCTGATATACCATCACATCTTTATAATCTCTAAAAAAAAACCACTTAATTATTTCCCTTGTTTGTTACCTTGTGGGCAGATGTCAGCATCATTGGTTTGATTGGGTGTCGACATCATTGCAAATCTCTTACAGAAATATCCAGCTTCGCATGGGCCCGTAGGTGAGGCTTTTCCCACCTCCCCACAGTAAAAACCTCCTAGACAAGGGCTACAATCTTGACTAGAGTTGAGACCTGTAGTGTTACTGTATGTTCCAAGCGGGCATGGATACTCATCACTCCGTTTGGTTCCTGAAAATTAAAGCAAACATTTCACAATAAATATTAATGTTTTGTTTACCCTGGTATTATCAAGAAACGGTAAATTCAAAAACAGAAATTTACAGTCTTATTAAAACTTATTGTGAGAGATTAATGAGGATTAACATCCACTCAACACAAACTGGGTGATTTCGAGACTAACATATGATATAATTTTAGGGGTCTTAACCAGTGGGAGGAAACCACATTGCCCGGACAACAGTCTACTCTTATTTCGATTTCCAAGTGTCAAGGATTCTTTTATGAAATGTAATGATGTTTAACGTCCTACTCCGAACTGGGTTAATGTAGATGGGCATACGCCATACAGTGTGCTATGAGGGAAATATTGCCCAGACAGGGTCGCCACAGCCTATTTTTATATCGAATTTCTACTGCCAACGGCTCTTTTATGTGCACGCCAAAGTGAAGATGGTACCTCAGTTTTTCATCCTTCCCACATGACTATATTATGCTGTCCTTGCCAGGCCCTCTGATGAACTTTCTTGGCCAATGCAGGGATCAAACACACAACCTCCAGGTTAGCAAGCCAGTGTCTTACTCACTGAGCCACCATGGCTCCTGAATCTTTTACATTCATACTAATGTGTATACAAGACCTTGGTTGTGCAGCCAATTTGATGGATTAGACAGACCCTAGGCCTACTCTTACATCACCAACAAGGGTTAAAACCCACTGGAAATTCTTGAAGAACTTTCCCAGCCAACACAGGAATCGATCCTGAGCAATGACCTCCCAAAATATTTAACGAAAACATACCTGGTGGACAATAAAATCCCTCTGGACAGGTGATAGTGTCATTGATAACTACCACCCCTAAACTATTATCACAATAGAATCCTCCAGGACAGATCTTACATGCTGATTGGCCAGTTTCATCTTGGTACCAACCACTAGGACAGAGAATAGGTGTTGCAGTATGTTCTGGACAGTAGTGACCAACAGTACAGAGTAGCGAGTCTGGGGTTCTCTCCCCTTGTGGACAGTAGTATCCAGCCGTACAATTCCCTGATGAAAATAAAATTAACAAAATAAGTTATTATTTCTAACTAGCAGGATACCCGGCTGCGCTCGGGGGTCATAACTCCGAAACCAGAAGTGGTAGACTAACGCCACCTGGCCTATGTTACTCCCCGGTCCGAGCTACCCCTATACCCCAAATTTCAGACTCGGGGTAGATCTAGTGTAGCCGCCAACCCCGAACAGACCGGCTTCGTTCGGAGGTCATAACTCCGAAACCGGAAGTGGTAGACTAACGCCACCTGGCCTATATTACTCCCCGGTCCGAGCTACCCCTATACCCCAAATTTCAGACTCGGGGCAGACCTAGTGTAGCCGCCAACCCCGAACAGACCGGCTTCGCTCGGGGGTCATAACGCCGAAACCGGAAGTGATAGAATAACGCCACCTGGTCTATGTTACTCCCCGGTCCGAACTACCCCTATACCCCAAATTTCAGACTCGGGGCAGATGTAGCAGCCAACCCCAACAGTCTGACTTCGCTTGGGGGTCATAACTCAGAAACCGGACGTGGTAGACTAACGCCACCTGGCCTATGTTACTCCCCGGTCCGAGCTACCCATATACCCCAAATTTCAGACTCGGGGCAGACCTAGTGTAGCCGCCAACCCCAAACAGACCGGCTTTGCTCGGGGGTCATAACGCCGAAACCGGAAGTGGTAGACTAACGCCACCTGGTCTATGTTACTCCCCGGTCCGAACTACCCCTATATCCCAAATTTCAGACTCGGGGCAGATGTAGCAGCCAACCCTGAACAGTCTGACTACGCTTGGGGGTCATAACTCAGAAACCGGAAGTGGTAGACTAACGCCACCTGGCCTATGTTACTCCCCGGTCCGAGCTACCCATATACCCCAAATTTCAGACTTGGGGCAGACCTAGTGTAGCCGCCAACCCCAAACAGACCGGCTTCGCTCGGGGGTCATAACTCCGAAACCGGAAGTGGTAGACTAACGCCACCTGGCCTATGTTACTCCCCGGTCCGAGCTACCCCTATACCCCAAATTTCAGACTCGGGGCAGACCTAGTGTAGCCGCCAACCCCGAACAGACAGACAGACAGACAGTCACAAATATATATATAGATTTTTAAATTTCAAAGACGATTCAAGATTGAGACAAAATGAAATGACATGGTGTTTCACGTCCAACTTTTCTGCCCGAATCAGGCTAATGAAGAAGCTAACATGCTACTGTCCTGCTCTTTTATGTGCACGCCAATGTATACATGAGACCTTGGTTTTTCGTCCCATCTGAACAACTAGACAGATTTAAATTTACAGTGTGCAAGAGAATAAGTAATTTTTCATTTTTATGAGGATGCGCTGCAACCTACTCAAATTCCAACTGCCAAGGGATCTTTACGTGCATGCCAATGTGTAGACAGGCCACAGAGCCTCGGTTTTTCATTCCATCCGAACGACTAGACAGCTGTCCTTCTCGGCCAAGACCATTTGAAAACAAAGGCATAAAAGATTTATTTTTCCATAATATTCACTCAGCTTAGCCACTGTAACTCAGCCCCCATCGATTGCAACAACAAAGATACTTTTATCAGAAGGATAAGAGGATTACCTGATGTTCCTGTTAGATTGTAGCCACCACAGAATTCACCAAACGAACATGGCAAACAGTCGTTCGAAGCTAGATTTCCTTCATTAGGACTGTATGTGCCTGGTTGACAAGGACTAGGATACGGAGCTCCATCCGTACAATAATAACCACTTGGACAAATATCTCCCATAACTCCATCTGTAGGTGTAGCAGTTGATGATTTGAGTGTGCAGAAATATCCAGCTGAGCAGTTTCCTGTTGGAAGGTCAAGGCCATCTGTTTGACAGAACTGACCTGGTGGGCATGGCAACGGATCGGAGGAACCTACATAAAATGAAAAGATACATGTATAAGATGGCACTTCACAAACTGATAACTGCAACCTGATTTGAATTGAAATAAAATACGGTTTAACGTCCTACTGTTCTGCTCCAACTGGGCTAATGAAGATGGGCATATGGCATACAGTGTGCTATGAGGGAAATTTTGCCCGGGCAACAACGCAACGACCTACTCTTATTTTGAATTTCATCTGTCAAGGGTTCTTTTACGTGCACGGCAATGTGTTTACAGGACTTCAGTTTTCGACCCATCAAAATGAATAGACAACTGTCCTTGTCAGGCCCTACATCCTGCACAACTGACAAAGGGGAGAGAGAGATAAATGGGGTTTAATGTCCACTCGACACAAACTAGGTCATTTCGGGACTTATATATGGTTTAATTTTATTTCAATACTTCGCTTGCACATAGGGTTCTTTAGCAGTGGGAGGAAACCGGAGGACCCGGAGAAAACCCATGAGGTTGGACAGTCGACCCTACTCCTTGTCACGTACAACCGGGGATTCGAAACCTCCCCAGTTGGCTCAATGACAGGCTTTATGATACAACGCGCGCGTGCTAACCATTTGGCCATCCAACCCACCCCCCCCCCCCACTGACAAAGGAAAACCATGCTGAAAAATTTCTTGGCCAACACTGGCAGCAAAAACAAGAGAATTCCTAGTTAGCGATCGAGTCAAGGTTCTCACACACTGAGCCACTGCGGTTTCTTAAACGAAGGTAGACACAGGATCTCGAAGAGAGAGAGGGAGAGAAATGGAGTTTAACGTCCACTTGACACAAACTAGGTCATTTTGGGACTAACACATGGTTCAATTTCATTTCAATAATTTGCTTGTGCGTAGGGGTCTTTAGTAGTGGGAGGAAACCGGAGGACCCGGAGAAAACCCACGAAGTTGGACAGGCGACCCTACTCCTTGTCACGTACAACCGGGGAATCAAAACCCTGTCAACTGACTCAATGACAGACCTTATGATACAGCGCGCACGTGACACTGGATCTTGGTTTGATGGAATAAATTAAAAGGTAAGCCATTCTATTAACACAGTTGTATTACTAAAACAAGAGACACACAAACCTTCAGGACAATAGTAGCCTGGTTGACATCTTCCTCCATTTGTTGTTGTGTTGGGTTGATCCGCACCGCCAGAACAATACCATCCGCTACTACAATTACCTGTAGCATTAGAGTTACCTTCCCCTTGACAAAACTGACCACCAGGACACTGTAGACAACTGGATAGTGATGTACCCTTCTCGCTAGGATTGTAAGTACCAGGCGGACATTTATATTCTGTGTCGTACTTCGTACCCTCCAAGCAGAAGTGACCTAGAATCAAAAAGACATTTTTTGAGTATTTAGCATATATTTTCAAAAGATTTTGATGGTTGAGCAATATTTTTCATTTTGATCAACTTGTTATAAGTATATCATTTTTATAATAACGATATAAGTTTTAATTTTGTGAGGCAACTCTCTTAGTATCTGGTACCTGATATTTAGAACTTTATGCCAGCACGGAAACAGACAAAACTGGTGTATAACAAAATGGTCTCAGACAGGGGCCGTACATCATAGTTAGTTGATAATTACCTGTTGGGCAAGGTGAAGACAGGAATTCTGTCGCATTGGCTAAACAATAAAATCCTTCTGAGCAGTTACTGCATCCTGATTGGGCGATTCTATCAGCGTATGTTCCAGCTTCACATGGTAGTGCTATTGTGCTGCCCTCTGGACAGTAATGGCCTAGAGGACAGATTCCACCAACTCCCGTAAAATACATTTGATTTGGGCATGAGCAGTTGGCTGGTGTCGTATCATTGGCTAATCCTGGAGCTGATCTATCCACACCTGATGTGCAATAAAAACCTGAAAATAACCAACACAGCTGTTTGAAATGAAAGAAAACATAGAAATATTCAACTCAGATGAAATGGAATGAAGGCAGGCATAGGCCATGAAGTGTACAATGACAGAAATTTTGCCCAGACACCAGTATAACAACATTTTGTTATTTCAAATTCCAAATATCAAAGTTTCTTCTACGTGCACAGCAATGTATACACTGGTTCCATTATATTGTCTCATACGATTTACTAGATATTATTCCTTGTCAGGCCCATAGTCATGCACTACTGTGACAAGGTGAAACCTTGCCAAACAATCCAGAAGAATTTCTTGGCCAACCCAGGGATCAAAACCAGGAATTCCTTGTTAGTAAATAATGTGGAAAATATATAGTGTTTCCATAGGCTTTACACCTCATTTAGATCACATTTACCATACCTGAAATTCACAATCATTTCATATCTGAAATTCAGAATCATTCCACAAAATTACCTGCTGTACAGTTTCCACTGGGAGATGTTAGATGCAGTCCAGAACAATACTGTCCCCCAGGGCATGCTTTACATTCACTAGAACTGGACAATGTTTCTTCATCACTGTACGTACCAGTAGGACAGGGCTTCCAATCAAATCCTGTACCTAAAAAATAAAGATATATCATAACAATCAAGTGAATATAAAGGAACGCTTTAGTGACAGTATTTAGACTTGGGCCATACAAAATAAATATTCTAGTTCTCAATCTGATGCGGGAGGGAGTTTTTCATTTTTGTTTTTTTTATTTTGTCAAAAGATCACTACTGGGCTAACATCACGTTTCATGCGGCTCTTTTTAAGTGAAGCAAGAGTATATAAAAACCAAATTTTTTTTTTCTTTGGCCTTATAATCATAATATTAATGAACAAGGCAACTGGTTCTCTCATATGCTGAAGGTGAGGATAATTCCTTTAGTTTTATTTCAAAATTAAATCCAATCAAAATTTGTATCAATCAATTACTAATCGACAAAATTCATAATCTTTTAGTAACTGGACAAAGCAATAAATTATAACATATTTAAAGGAGCTAAATCGCTAATATTTTGGACCTAGAAATTGGCACAAATGGGCCTCAACACATATAATAAATAATGTAATATACTATTCAAAAAAAGTAGGGGATATTTGATTTTTAAGTGTTATTAAAGTCACCTAATGAAACTGACGAAGAAACAAATGACAAAATGAAATGAAGTTCACATTCATCGATTTATTCCAAATGATCATTAGACTAAGTAAGGCACAGACTGACCATTATAAGGGTAAAATGATACCCGGGGTCAAACAGCAAAGTTACCACAGCATCACAACCAAGTCAGTAATGGGTAAATCCTCCTCTGTTTGCCAAACAAGCATTGATCCAACATGGCATACTCCTAATGAGACGTCTAAGGTCATTTTGGTCCAGATCGTCCCATTCCTGTTGCAACGCAGCAGCAAGTTCTTGGACATTGGCAGGACGTTGTTGACGTTGACGTAACCTCTGTCCAAGCATGTCCCAGACATGCTCGATGGGGGAGAGGTCGGGACTCAGTGCTGGCCAAGGTAATGTGGTGATGTTCTGTTGTTGGAGGTAACCTGTAACGATCCTGGCCCTGTGACATCTTGCGTTGTCATCCTGGAAGATGAAACGGCGGCCATGACGTCGTGCGAACGGCACAACATGGACTGCCAAGATGTTGTCCCGGTAGTACTGGCCTGTAACACGCCCTGCAACAACATGTAAAGCCGTTCTTCCAGCAACAGTGATGCCTCCCCACACCATAACAGAACCACCCCCAAATCAATCATGTCTGATGACGTTAACGTCTTGGAAGCCCTCCTACGTCTGTCCAAAAAATCAACAGTGAACCTTGACTCATCTGAAAACATCACATTGCTCCAGCGTCGATTATCCCAGTGTTGACGATCCCTACACCAACGACGTCTTGCCTGAATGTGATGATCTCTCAAACAAGGGATCACGCGAGGACGTCGGGCGCGAAGGTGACCCCTATGCAGTCGATTCCGAATCGTCTGGCCACTCACTCTCACACCAGTGTCTGTTTGAAGACGAGCGCTGATCTGATTTGCTGTGATGACACGATTTCTCAAGGCCAAGGTACGGATAAATCGATCCTGGGCTTGAGTTGTCGCTCTTGGTCGACCTGAGCGTGGTCTGTCTTGTACAGATTGTGTATCACGGTATCTGGACCATAGCCTGCTTATGACAGACTGAGAAACATTCATCGTCCGCACCACAACCGCCTGTGTTGTGCCGATCTGTAGCATGCCAAGGGCACGTAACCTTTCATTTTGGGTAAGCCGACGCATATCAAAATTTGTTTTCTGGTCACTAAAACGATTAAACTGATGTTTCCACCCTGGAATTCAATGCCACAATGACTGTAACATTCAAAGTCAGAGTCGTGCAAATCTTGGGTTGGACCCCCATGATGATCCCAAGCATCACCTGCATTCCATGCGGTAGCTATTGGTGCGTTTGGGCGTCACATGTAACTGGAAATGTTTCTTCTGTTAGGTTCTATAGTGACTTTTTTCGTAGTCATTTGCATATTTTAGTATTATGCCCCCAAAATCAAATATCCCCTACTTTTTTTAAATAGTATATTAATTTATATAAACTGTTTTACATTCAATTGTGTCCGTTTTACTGTGAATTGTCATCAGTTATGTTCGGCGAAATACGCCAGAAGTCTCAACCGCAAGTCAGTTTCTAGCGTCTGGTTATTCCAGTCAACACCGATATTATTCATTGCGCATGCTCTCCAAATAAGAACATGATATCACCGTTTGACATGACTTGTGGAATATGTCTAGCCTCATTCTTTGAGCACCTAGTTACAAATGGCGCTGAAACGCATTATTGTACACGATTCGTGTACCAATGGTAAAATGTTTATTTTGTGTTAAATATTGGATATCAGAAGCCCATCTTTTCCAGTTAAGATCACAACACCAATGCTGATTTAAATTGCAAAAAAAATCATGTTTTCAATGTCAAAGATTTTGGAAGATATTGAGTTACGGACTTAACTACTTTAAGGAAGAACAGCTACAAATCCATGTCCTTGGATCTTGTCGTGCATGATTTCAAGAATTATTAATATAACTTTTTTGTATATATTTGCCTCGCATCTTTTTATTACTGCATTAGCTTGATATGGTCGATAGAATACTCTTAAAATGACACCCAAATAAATTAGTAGCTGTTTTTCCATAAGTATGTGTTATAGTTTATTGACAATTTACCTGCTGGACAATAGTATCCGGCTGGACAAGACTGGATATTCAAGGTAGAATTTTCTGGTTGAACTGGTAGACAGTAATAACCAGGCGGACAGGTATCACAGGAACTAGCTCCGGTATAGTTGGTGTAGGATCCATCAGAGCATTCCTATAAATAAACAAACTGAAAGTTAACAATTCCATTCCATGAATTACTGTGATGTAAATGAAGTTTAAACATCAGATGGTTGATTATTCATCAGATGTTTGATTGTTCTTCAGATGTCAGAGTTTTACCATCAGATGGTTGATTGTTCATCAGATGGTTGATTGCTCATCAGATGGTTGATTGTTCATCAGATGCTTATTCATCAGAGTTTTACCATCAAATGGTTGATTGTTCATCAGAGTTTTACCATCAGATGTTTTATTGTTTATCAGTTTTATTTACCATCAGATGGTTTATTATTCAGAGTTTTACACTCAGATGGGTTATTTTTCATCAGAGTTTTACCATCAGCTGGGTTTTTTTTCATCAAAGTTTTACCACCCGATGGTTGAATGGACACCCAAGTTAAATCAACCATCAGATGATGGTTAGAAAATAGTTTGCTTGATCTTAAACAGTCATTAACGGTCAGAAAGTTAACCTACCTTATAAATTTCGCTACCATTTGGACACTGCAGACCTTGTGGACAGAGATATTCTACTGGATTAGGCACAGACTGTCCTCCTGGACAATAGTAACTACCCCAACACATGTTAGTCACACTTGTCATGCCTGAAATAAAACATTAAATTAAAATAGATTTAAAAGTCAAAGTTTATTTCTTGTGAAAGTTTCTCAAAAACAGAATTGAAATCCGAAATTTACAAAAATATTCTAGAACTCCTAAACATACTTTGGTCTATACATGTTGGATTTATTTTACAGATGTATGAACACTATCGTCTATAGAGGGGTTCAGCCACGTGCATCTACTTCAGAGGGGGCACGCAATCAAAGAGTGAAATTCAGTTCTTCGAAACTTTGGTGTACAATTAAGCTGCCCTTTCAATTATAAGTTTATATCATCTGTTTTTACATATCCATACTCGAGTCTTGGGGTCAAACAATCAAGCAGTTTGACTCCAAACCACTGCACCATATTTATATATATATATATTACATACCTGGGTCTGGACAATAGAAACCTCCAGTACAATTTGTACATTGAGAAACATCACCCAGTCCTGTAGTATTAGAGAAGGTACCTGGTGGACACTGGCGTGGTATATCTGACCCATCTGGGCAGTACGAGCCAACAGGACATAGAATAAAGTTTGTTACATCTGCTCGACTTGGACAATAATATCCTGAAATGAACACCATATTAACTTTTTAATATTTTATTTAGCTGATGAATGAATTCTTAAAAAGAAATTATTATAGTTAAAATCCATAGATTACCAAAATAAGCACAAATGTACTATGGATCAGGGACCGAGCACCTTGGAATTTTGATCGACATCCTAACTAACTTCACCAATCGATGCGCAATCATCCAAGGAACAAGTGTCATTTCTATTGTACTTAGGAAGATGCTTCCAAGAAGAGTAAGAACAAAAACAACAACAAAATACAGTACCATATACAGATTAGCAGTATCGTCAAACAAAGATTAGTAGTATCATCCAACATAACACAGATTTACAGCATTGGCCTAAATTGACATCATCAGTATTCTTACACTACAAGATGTTTATCGTTTAGTTGTGCTGTTTTAGCAGGAGTTACTGTGTTTTTTTAGCAGGAGTTACTGTGTTTATTTAGCAGGAGTTACTGTGTTTAATGTTTAGTTACAAACAACTTGTAGTGCTATATATATATATATATATATATGCCGATGAAAAATCACCTAACCTTTTAAAAATCGACAAACACAAAATACTGACCTTTTTGACACTGTGGACCAACAGTTGACATGTTCCATGATGGACAGTAGTTCCCGCCCGTACAGTTCAGACACTGTGTTTCATCAACTCTTCCCTCGCTAGGATTATATGTGCCAGGTGGACAAGGAGAGGCAACTCTACTTCCTTCAGGACAATAAAATCCTACTGGACAAACATCGGCCTCTGATCCTGAAAATATATTAAAGGTACAAACAGAACTATTAGTTATGTGAGAGAGAGAGAGAGAGAGAGAGAGAGAGAGGGCTTAACGTCCACTTGACACAAACTAGTACATTTTTTGACCGACACACAGCTCAATTTTATTTCAATAATTTGCTTGCGGGTAGGGGTCTTTAGCAGTGGGAGGAAACCGGAGGACCAGGATAAAACCCACGAGGTTGGACAGGCGATCCTATTCCTTGTCATTTACAACCGGGGAATCGAAACCACGCCAGTTGACTCAATGACAGACTTTATGATACAACGTGCACATGCTAACCATTTGGCCATCCTTCCCCCCCCCCCCTTCCTATTATCAAAATACTAACTAGCAATATAACGTTTCAATGATAGCACATCAATTACATGTCCACATTCTACTAATTAAGGTTGTGTCCATAGCAACAGAAGTTTCTTTCCCTCGTTTCAGTTACATATGCGTCCAGATATATCGCAAACAGAAGTTAATCTGATAGTCAAGACTGGGCATGTGTTCAGTACATCTGAAATAAACATCCTGTCATGTATAATTATCAACAATATCAGAATTACCTTGAGTTGGTGTTGAGCTGTTGGCACCAGACGTACAGAAATATCCCGGGGAACATTTACCTACGGGTTCACTTAATCCATCCCGATCACAATAATCTCCTCCCGAACACGGCATACAGTCTGACAGATCCGTTCGGTGAGTCAAGTTATTAAATGTTCCGACTGGACACGGGAACTGATCACTTCGTGTGGTGTTGATTGGACAGTAAAATCCAGGAGGACAACTGTTGTTGGATAAATTGATGACTGGATCGACGGTACTGTCACAATAATATCCGGGCAGACACGCTTTACAGACGGACTGTCCAATCTCGTCTTGGTAACTTCCGCTATCACATCGGACAGGGGCTGAACTTCCTTCAGGACAGTAATGACCGACAGTACAGTTAAACTCCAGGGGTTGTGGGTTATCTTGACCGCCTGGACAATAGTATCCTAGACGATACAATTAAAATGGCATAGAATAGATCAGAAATAGATAATGCAAAATGAATATGTTGAAAATTTCGTTCAATTTACTTTTTGAGGTTTTGACCAGATGTGACATAAATAGTTTATTATTATCGTAACAACTTTACTTGTCAATCGAGACTTAGCCTCGATTTGCCATTTTTAAATTAAATCATTAAATGGCGATCATGTTTCCATCTCTCCCATCCATGGATCGTGTTTCAATTTATTTAAATTTCTACCATCCGATGTCTAGAGAGTTGATTAAAGGCTTGTCAAGTGAATAAATGTCTAAATAATAATTTATATAGAACATTTGGAGCCAAACTAAAGATCTGCAATAGGCAGATTTAGCTCTTAGACAATGCATCTATAAATATAAAGTTTGAACAGTAGTTTAGTTTACATACCTGGATTACATGGACCATCAGGTAGAATGTTACCTCCACCATTACAATATAAACCAGGTGTACATGATATACAATCACCTACAGCATCGTTACCTGTACTATTCAGGTAATATCCTGATTGACATAAAGTAGGTGTGGTACTACCTGTAGGACAATACGAACCTTCTGGACATATATCACCTGCAAATATATAATAGGCTCATTCATCAAGTACACAAACCCTGATAAATGCTTATGACAATTATAAATGATACTGGATAATCAAACATTCCTATAAACAACAATTTAATGTGTATAGAACTCATTTAACCAGGTAGTGATATTTTGACAAAATAAAAACACAAAAAGAAAAAGCTCCATCCCGCATCAGACTTTAGGTCTGACAACCAGAAAATTCTGTTTGTATGGTCTTATAAGAATTCATAGATTGTTTGATTAGCTTATAACTAAAAATTCACACCATTTTTGCCACACTTACTCCTGGCAACATTTTGAAAGTAGATTTATCCCTCACCCTGTTCTGTTCATGATCAGTTATTTCAATTTACAATTCTACCATACATTATTGATTTCTTCTCAACGGTCATATACAATCACTGACCTGTAACATTGCCGTCTGTTGGGTTTGGTTTGGTAGCCATCTTTGAACAATAATAACCTGCTGAGCACAGGCCTGTTGTGTCGTTAAGACGATCTGTTGAGCAGTAATGACCTGGTTTACATGGCATGGGGAACCCAGAACCTTCAGGACAATAATATCCAGCAACACAGTTATCTCCCCCTGTTCCCGTTGGTGTCGCTGTAGCGGATCCATTACTACAATAGTAACCATGGGAACACAGACCAGACGGTTCGGATAATCCAGATTGTTCACAATACTGTCCAGCTGAAAATAAATATAGAAAGTTCATAAAGATTTTCTGGCGCGGTTCCCCCTTATTAGTGTTGCAGGGCGGAGGATCTGACAAGAGACAACGTATAGTTGTTAGGAAGGGACACAAGCCTGAGGGCCTTGGTACATCATGGTGTGCACATAGAAAAACTCTTGACAGTTGGAATATAAGAGGAGACCGTAGCCCCGCTGTCCCGGCAAAATTTCCCTCATAGCCTCTGTCTTCATTAGCCCAGCCAGGTGGAGGAGAACAGTAGGACATTAGGACTCTTTTCATTTATTTCATAAGACATAATAATGTGATAGTTTAACAATAGCTCTGATCCGATATGAAATGAAATGAAAAGGAGTTTATAATCAACGTCCTACTTTTCTGTTCGTCTTCAAGCGCCAACTGTCATAGTACCTTAGTTCTTCATATCATTTGAATAAATAGACGAATATGCTTGGTGCTGGGCGCAATTCCTTCGATCCAGTACCACTGAGAATAGGAAACCTTGCTTGTAAATCCACAGATCTTACCTTTGACCTCCTGATTAGTCAGCCAGTACCATAACCACTAGCCCAAGATCTATACAGGAAACTGGAGGACCCTGAGAAAACCCAAGAGGTTGGAAAGGCGACCTACAATCCGGGACTCAATGACAGACCTTATGATACAACGCGCACGCGCTAACCATTCGGCCATCCTCCCCCACCCAATATACAAAGTGAGGGACAAAATAATATTTCTTACATCCCAAGAAGCTTGATATATTGCTTATGATAAAATGAACAAAAAGCGAAGTTTACATCCTGAAATTTGTTTTTTCTAACGTTATCATTATTTTTGAACTGCTATTTAAAAATGAATTGAATTACCTGGACAAGGGAGACAATCCGATAGGTCTGTTCTAGTTGTCTGGTTGTTATAGGAACCAGCAGGACATGGATACTCGTTAAATCGTTGAGTTGACTGCGGACAGTAATAACCACTTGGACATGGGTTGATCGAATAATTAGATGTAGCTTCCAGACAGAAGTAGCCTGAAAGTCAAGATTTCCAAAAATGTAAATAAAACTTGGGAACAGATCCTTCTGTGGCAGGGTATTATTAGGGGACACTGGAATTCAAGTAACGCAATCCCACTAATAGGGAATGTCTGGCTACTACGCATACATGGACCGAATAAGAACATATCTCCACCAACCATCAGAGCTGAAATTTATTTGTTGTGTTTATGTCACGATTCTACTCACTCCACCTACAGTTGTCTGGACGGACAGAATTGTAACAGGACTAAATTCTCTGTCAATTTGGAATGATCCAGACTGACAATTGAGCACCCCCGTAATATTTTGCTGATCAATAACCATGGTCTATTTGAGGAATGATTGACTCATCTGATTGGTGATGATGTGTTTGTTTTGACCAATCATAGTCTAAGTCTAATGGATGGTTTAATTTAAACTTTTCTTTCCGACTTAAAGATGCATTATGTAAGATTTGGATAAAAAGCTGGTCGCTATCGCTATACTAGTTCAAAAATAGATAATGTAAAATGAATATATTGAATATGTCATTCAAATTGCTTTATTCTGAGAGAAATTTGAACATATAGCGCAGATCGTAAATTAATTATCGTAACAACATAACTTTACAACCAAGACTAACTCTTGATTGTCCATTTTATCGCTGAATTTTTAAAATCTCACAGATGTTTAAATCCATTTAAATCTCGACCATCCAATAATCTAATGAGTTAATTATAGGCCGGTCATGTGAATAAATGTCTAATTAATAATGTAGAAAACATTTCAGGCCTAAAGAAAGACCTGCAATTGGCAGATATAGCTCTTACATAATGTATGTCTATTAGTTGCTCACCTTGCGGACATGTTAAACATGCTGCTAAACCTTCTGAGTTGGCGTACCTTCCATTAGGACAGGGTAGAGGATAGGTACTAGCCAAGCCTCCAGGACAGTAATGGCCCACAGGACAGATTCCACCAAAACCAATCATTCTATCATCATAGCACGTATCATTCATGGGTTCTGATTGGTTGACACCATGAGGGAACTCTCTGTCATTGGCCGAAACACACCAATGTCCCTGACCACAATCAGCTAATTGTAACAAAAAAATAAACATGTTCAGTGTTAAACTATTAATTTCTCAAAAGTTTTGAAATATTTTACATTTTCTAAGGGGGCTATCACATAGCAGAATTAACAGGATTTATTTCTCAACCTGATCAGTTTTCAGATATGTATATTCAGCTTGCTGCAACTACTGCTTGTATGTTTCATACATGGTTGTGGTTTGTAAATTGATTTAAATGTAAATCGTACATTAGACCAAAGCAGATTCATTTTTAGTTTTTTTGAATCCTGATGAGAGAGGGAAATGGGGATTAATGTCCTAACTAGGTTATTTGGGGACTAAAAAAATATTGTTCAATTGTATTTCTATTTTCGCTTGCGTGTAAGGGGTCTTTAGAAGTGGGAGGAAACTGGAGGAGCCAGAGATAACCAAAGAGAGATAGAACAGGCGACCCTAGACCTTGACACGTATAAGCCAGGAATCGAATCCGTGCCATTTGACTCAATGACAGACATTATGATCTAACGCGCACATGTTCAACCATTCGGCCACCCAACCTCTGTGAACAATGATGGTTATTAAGTTATCTAGTCTGCCAATGTTTTAATTCAACAGAAGTCTGGCACATTTACACTTTGTGGTGACTATAATCTTTTCCCATGTCGATCATGTACTTAAACAGACGGGGTAATAGAATTAAACACAGATAAACGAAAAAAATGTAAATGAAATGGTGTTTAACGTCCTACTGTTCAGCTCCGAACTGGGCTAATGAAGACGGGCATACACCATACAGTGTGTTATGGACGAAATGTGGCCCAATCACTTAGTCACCTTGGCTCCCCAGGTAAACAAACCAGACAATATTTCTATATGGAATTAAACACTTACCTGTAGGTGATGTAAGATGGACTCCACCACAATATTTTCCAGGTGGGCATGGTTTACACTGGGACAGTTCATACAATCCACTTATGTCACTATACGTCCCCCTCGGACAAGCTATCCAATCTAATCCCGTACCAGCGGGACAGTAGTACCCCTGCGGACAAATCTCACTCTGTCCCTGTTGTTCACAATAATAACCCGCAGGGCAGGGGTAACATGTAACAGCATGGGTGTGATTCACCTGAAGCAAACAATTTCAATTAAATTAGTCATTTGGATGGGATGAAAGCCCGACTTCCACCGAATATATCTATTTGTGTGCATGTAAAAGAATTCTTGGTAATTGGAATTTGAAAAGATTGCTGTCTGGGCCAAATCCCCCCTTTTCATTTTGCAAACATGTCCATAGAAGGAAACCATATTAGTCTTACATGTTTGAAGTATTGTGTTAAACTGCTAAAAACAGTCGTCCCCATATCATCAGCCTTCGATCTTATATATTTATGTAATCATGTATAAATATATTTATACTTTGTACCTGTACCTAATCAGAGCGAGGGGTTACACATAACAATAACAAATTGAGTAGTGCTTGGAGAGTTACTGGTGCAAAAATATTATAAAATTACAAACGTACATAGCTGTTGTTTCTACAGGGCAGTGGTAGAGATGATCCTTCAGGACAGAAATTACCAATAGGGCAGAATGAGGCTACTGGTTCCTTAGCAACACTTCCCTCTGGACAGAAGTATCCTAGATATTAAAATAAAACAAGAACATTTAAAATTACTAGAGATGTAAATGCGATCGTTGCATGAAAAGATTTCGCATTATTTTGTCCAATCAATCAATAAAAGGCAAAGTTGAGATCATCCTTGGTATCCCATGAATGAAACCAGTGGTTAGTGAAGTAGAACAGAGAGAGAGAGAGAGAGAGAGAGAGAGAGAGAGAGAGAAATGGGGTTTAACGTCCACTTGACACAAACTAGGTCATTTTGGGACTAACATATGGTTTTAATTTTATTTCAATAATTCGCTTGCGCGTAGGGGTCTTTAGCAGTGGGAGGAAACTGGAGGACCCGGAGAAAACCCACGAGGTTGGACAGGCAACTCTACTCCTTGTCACGTACAACCAGGGATTCGAAACCATGCCAGTTGACTCAATGACAGACTTTATGATACAGCGCGGGCAATCCAACCACCCGGAGTAGAACAAAATGAGACCAATACTGAACATGATTTGTGACTTCAACAGAATGTAATGCAAACTTCAAATGGTTATAATATTAGTTAAAACTGACTGATTTGCATGATCTATACTAATGTTTTTATGTTGATTGTGTATGATACAAAGTACAAAATTATTTATGTACCGGTATGTGATCTGATGAACTGAGAAGTGGTATCAGCCATTCTAGGTGTAAGCTAATACTGCCTCATGCATGATACCCATCATCAGTTATAGCTACATATAAAGACTCTCAATCTAACTTTTATTACGGAATGATGACAATTTTTTTTAGAAAATAGGTTTAACTTGCAACATAAAAATGGTGGATTTGATTTTATTTATCATTACCTTCCCCACATAAACCTGTTGGTTGCGTCAATCCATCCGTTTCACAATACGAGCCTCCGGGACATACTGTACACTCAGATTGCGATTTCAGTGCCGTCTGGTTCGAAAAACTTCCTAAAACATAAAAATCACATTTTAAATGAAATAGTAAGTCTTATGGTTAGAGAGTAGGATTCCCGTTTGTCAATGTCCGACCTAGAAATTTACATACGATTCAACTTTTTTTTAATTTAATTTCACTTTTTGTCATTTTGAGACATCGAATTGCACAAAGTTCAAAATCAAATGGGGTTAAACGTCCTGCTGCTCTGCACCAAGTGGAATAATGAACAGTGTGTCCTAAAACAGGAATTTCACCCAGAAAATGTCGCTACAGACCACTTTTATTTCAAATTCCTCTTGTGAAGGCTTTTTTTATGTGCACCCAACAATTTAGCCTTGGTTTTTCATCCCATCCAAATGACAAGACCCTTTTCCTTGTCTCTCCCCCCTCCCCCCACTGGTCAAATTCCTGAACATGTCCCTGTCATACTAACCTTTATTACAGGGTTGAGGTACGTGACTTGTGTTCGGACAGAAACTTCCGACAGGACAGATAATCTCCGTGGCAATGATAGCTGATACTGGACAATAATATCCTCCCCAACATTCTGCACTCGGCGCTGTTAAATTGGTCTCCGCACAATAAAATCCTGAAAATGTCAAAATTCAACTAAAAATGTCTACTATGTGTACATAATCCTATTCAATTCCCCAATCCTATTTCAAAAATGAAATGAGGTTTAATGTCCTACTTTTCGGCTCCGACTGGGCTAATGAAGACGGATATTCATGCTTGAAAAAAAAAAGAAAAAAAAAAAGACATAAGTAAAAAAATTCCTTAATAACACACAGCTGTTCAAACTTGGGGGAGATTGCCAAAAAAAAAAAAAAGAAATGGAAAATGGATGATATAAAAATAATTTATTTTTAGTGTTCACTTTTTGACAGGTGTAGACCTAACATGGGAAATAAAACTAAAACAATGGCCTGTTTCCTCATCTTCGAGAGTAGAAATTTCAATTATTTGCCCTCATTGTCGGAGTAGAAATTTGCCTTCATCTTTTGGAGTAGAAATTTGCCCTCATCTTTGGGAATAGAATTTTGCCCTCATCTTTGAGCGTAGATGGTAAATATACCTACCTGGAGTACAGTTCAGGCATTGATCTCTGGATGTTAAACCTGTCAGATTAGAGAAAGTTCCTGGTGGACAATTCTCTGGTTCCGACGTCTGACTCGGACAGTAGTGACCTTCAGGACAGAGGTCAGCATCTTGACCTTGTGATGGTGTACCAGAAACGGCTCTACGTCGACAGAAATATCTAAAATATGGTGAAATGATGGTATTAATATTCCTTTTAACATATTCTTTGGATCAGTTCGAGAACAAGGTATTTAAATAAAATTGGAACACTTTACAAATATTGACCATTTGAGACTGAAATTGGTAGAAATACATTTTAATATCGTAGGACACACGAGTAGAAATGTTACGATCCTGTGGTGTTGAACAGTTACATATAGGTGAAAAGGAAAAAAACAACCATTCTCCATGCTACAATTTCAATCTCTATCTTAAGTACTTAAAAAGGCAGAAAAACTACAATATAAGGGAGACAACTTGTATCAACTTAAGTCTAAGTTTTCAGACCACAATGATATAGAATATACCACAATATGACACTACAGAACTTACTAGAATGGAACTTGACAGATAATAGACTTGCTTACCCAGCTTGGCATATTTTACTATATTCTGTTTGTGCTTCTTGATCACAGAAATAACCACCTGGACAATCCTGACAACCAGTGATGTTCTGTACACCAGTTGCGTTACTGAAAGTTCCACGCGGACATCGATACTCCATGGCAAACTTGGTTCCATCGGGACAATAATGACCTGAAAAATTTGAATTTTACAAAGATGATAAAAGTTGGAGATAAAAAACTTAAAAAACTTTGTATTATGCTTGATGAAACCTTGACCCATGGTGGCTTTGATGATTATTGAGTGCGGCATGAGGGGAACGCCCAGGTACGATCCAAGTATTGGTCGATTACGTTCCTCGAGAATTTACAACCTGCTTTACCTTTTTCACTGGTGCAAGATATCAAATATTTAACTACAAAATTGTTTCATTCATTAACCAGTTGTGTTACTTACCTGGAGGACAGAGACTATCATTATAAAGAACAACAGGGTTTTTAACGTTATCACAATAATAGCCAGACGGACATGTTTTACACGACCCTTGACCTGTTTCATCCTGGTATGTTCCACTCAAACATCTGATTGGTTCGTGACTTCCCGACGCTGAACAATAATGACCTAAACAAAATACACAGAAAGATCAAATTAGTAACTGAGTGGGTGGGGCCAGCAACACTCCCTCAACCAATAGAAACTGAAGAGAAAGAATAATCTACATTTCACGCGGATCCACGCCACTTGGCTCAATGACAAACCTTTTGATCCAACCTGCATGCGTTAACCATTCGCCCCCACCCCTTCCTCATGAACAAGACAGACTGTTTAATAAATAGTTTAATATAAAAGAAACATTAACACCAACCTATATTAAAGATACAGAAAATAAAATTGTATTTGTATTTATGCATAATGCCCCAGAATCACCAGTTACTCAGGTAACTTAAGGGCCACTTTCAACAAGTGATATGGCTTCTAAATTCCAAGTACAAAATGATCTCTTAGTATAGTGGTGGGTGTTGTGCACAGGCTGATGGATCCGGGTTTTTTGGTGGTTGGCATGTATATTCAGCAGGATTTGAAACATTCCTTCCAATTGGCTTACCTTATTGAACATGTGTATTCATTCTGAAGCATTCATTCTGATTTGCTTACCTATTTGGCATGTTTATTCATTCCGCAACATTTGCTGCGATTGGCTTACCTATTGGACATGTATATTCAGCAGGACTTGAAATATTCATGCTGACTGGACAATAATAACCAGCATCACACGGACCCGTTGGTTGTACATTCCCATAACCAGCACAGTATGATCCCTGAACACACGTCTGACAGTTCGCTTCTGTTCGTCCTCCTGTGACGTTAAGGTATGTTCCCGGAGGACAATACGTACCATTGGCGCTACCTGGTGGACAAAACTGTCCCATACCACACACATCACCTACACAAATAATTGAAATAATCAATAATATACCTGCTTAGTCAAAATGGCAGGGATTTTACTTTGTGAGGGAAACAATTTTGTTTACTTTTGATAAGCAAGATTGTCTTTTCAAAGAATGTGGCAATTTTTAGCATTGATCTGGCTTAAAAAAAAAAGAGAGTACATTTTGAAGTGTATTTACACACAACTTTGAATTGAACTGTGTTTTAAGGTTAAACTATAATTTTAAGACTGACAGGTAAGTTCTCCACTTGGTCCTTTTCACTGTAAGTCAGTCTAGACTGGTCAATTTGGCTCTTTGTTCTTCCGTAACGTAGCCAAGTTTAAAGTAAGGCAATAAATTAAAGGTTACTTAATGTCCGAAGAAAAAAGTGAAACAAAACTGTGACCAGCCAATAAGTTAAATGTAAATATTACCGTAGGCCTGTCCGACTGGTGTTGATGTTGGTGATCCTGATAAACAGTAATAACCTTCGCTACAATTACCGCTGGGAGAAGACAACTCTGTAATTTAATAAAACAGGACGATAAACACTAATAAACATGGCTACTATTACCACTAGGAGAAGACAATTTCATTTTCAGGCCAACTAAAAAGGAAGAAATATGAACGTACCTGTATCTTGACAGAACTGGCCAGGTGAGCAGGGTATCTGATTGGCGCTACCGCCAGGACAGAAATAACTAGGTTGACATTGTCCACCTTGTATAACCACGGATGGTCGGGCTGATACCGCACCCTGTAGACAATACCATCCAGGATCACAATCACCTGTATGACTGGATAATCCAGTACTACCACAATATTTACTGAAACATTGTAATACATAAATCAGCACATATTCTTACAAATAAAAATATTTAAAAAACACATCATTCAATTCAGAAAAGTTGTTAAGTTAATGCTAATATTAAAACTTCCCTACGTAAAGTAACCACTTTTCTATGTTTATAGTGTTGAGAGAAAGAGAGAGAGAGAGAGAGAGCGTTTAATTTCAATAACAAGCTTGCGCGTAGGGGGTCTTTAGTAGTAGGAGGAAACAGGAGGACCGACAGAAAACCCACGAGGTTGGACAGGCAACACAACTCCTTGTCATGTACAACCGGGGAATCAAAACCAGGCAACTTGACTCAATGACAGATCTAACGTGCATGCCTTAGACCTTTCTGCCACCCAACCTCCAGTTGTCATGTGACATTAGATATTAGAACAATTTTACTCACCCAGGTGGACAAGGAAGACAATCAGCTTGCACGGCTCTCCCGGTTTCATTATTGTAAGTTCCGATTGGACATGGGTTCGTATATGGTAGATCCGATCTGATTGGACACCAATGACCTTCCGGACACGGGATGGGATCACTGGTATTGACAAGGCAGTAATAACTGGCTGGACAATCCAGACATGTTGTACTTCGTGTCTGATTGGTGTACGTTCCTGCTTGACATGGTAGTGGTGCGCTGGATCCAGACGGACAATAATATCCTGTAAAATAAACAGTTTTTAAAATAAAATTGTTGCAAAATTGGTTTCTAACGATTTCAATGACCTATTCTTTTTTCGAATCCCAAGTGCCAAGGGTTTATGTGAAAATCAACCAACGTCTACACTGGGACCACAGTTTTTAAAATCTCAAAATCTGGCAATTTCAAGAAACAGTCGAAAACCTGGTTTTGGTAGACCAAGCTGGAAAATCCAGATGAACTGTCTAGGCCTACATCGGGAATGAACCCAGGACCTCTAGGTATGCAAGACAACACCTTATTGACGGAGCCACTGTGGGATTTGATTGTTTTGAATAAGTAACAATTGATATTTACCTGGAGGACATTCATCTCCATAAACCTGGCCAACAGGTGCTGCATCAGATGATCCACTACTACAATAATATCCTGCATCACACTGTGGTCCCGAGCTCGTCATGTTCACATTCGGACAATACGTTCCTCCAGGACATTTTATACAGTTATTAACATCACCATATCGTATCGCAAACCTAGAAAAAACATGTTGAGAACCCTAAACAACACTAGAACAAAGATGCTGAGAACCCTAAACGAACCTAGAGAAAACCTTTTCAAAACCCTAAACAAACTGAGAAGAAACATGTTCAGAACCCTTAACACATCTTCCTGACACTTTTTTTTTTTTTTAGTTTACTACAGATCTGCCTTTATAATTATATCTTTTATTGATTTGTTAATCAATATTGACTTGGCAAATATGGTTGAAATCAATCACTGCTGCCTTCATCTCACGTGCGGTGACCTCGATGGTCATAAATATTTAAGACACATCTCTTACAATCTGTGGATATAACTTTGAGGATACCGAACATTATTTATTACACTGCCCCCTACATTCAGATGCACACAAACAATCCATAGCTTTATGTCCCCAGTTTTTATTTCATCAAACACTTGAATTAATGGGACTAAAAATATAACAGACTCAAAACAAAATTTTTGAAAAGGTTCATACATTTTCTTTGAAGAGTTGTTATATAACCTGCGTTCTGGAAGAGGTGTGGGATTAGCCAATGAAACTGTCTGTTAGGCGCGTTTTTGACATTAAGTGCATGGAACTGTGGTTAACCCACTAGAAACAACCACGCTGATTGGTTAATCAGGTGTCTGACAACATAGGATCAAAAAATGCTTGTATGACCTCTGACGTGACCATCCACTACAACTGGTCAGATCTTCATGTGGTGTAGACCAAGAAACGATTGTATGACTGACGTGACCATCCACTACAACTGGTCAGATCTTCATGTAGTGTAGACCAAGAAACGATTGTATGACTGACGTGACCATCCACTACAACTGGTCAGATCTTCATGTGGTGTAGACCAAGAAACGATTGTATGACTGACGTGACCATCCACTACAACTGGTCAGATCTTCATGTGGTGTAGACCAAGAAACGATTGTATGACTGACGTGACCATCCACTACAACTGGTCAGATCTTCGTGGAGCGTAGACCAAGAAACGATTGTATGACTGACGTGACCATCCACTACAACTGGTCAGATCTTCATGTAGCGTAGACCAAGAAACGATTGTATGACTGACGTGACCATCCACTACAACTGGTCAGATCTTCATGTAGCGTAGAAATGAAAATGAAATGAAATGGGGTTTAACGTCCTACTGTTTTGCTCCGAACTGGGCTAATGAAGACGGGCATACGCCATACAGTGTGCTATGAGGGAAATTTTGCCCGGACAGCGGCACTACGGCCTACTCTTATATCGAATTCCAACTGTCAAGAGATCTTTTACGTGCACGCCAATGTGTACACGGGACCTCGGTTTTTCGTCTCATCCGAATGACTAGACAGCTGTCCTTGTCAGGCCCTCCGTCCTGCATCACTGACAAGGGGGAACCACGCCGGAAAATCTGGATGAACTTTCTCGGCCAATGTAGGGATCGAACACCCGACCTCCAGGCTAGCGAGCCAGCGCCTTACCCATCTAGCCACCGTGATCCCCCTCATGTAGCGTAGACCAAGAAATGGAATATGGATCTGTATTTTAATAAGATTGATTTAAAGCCTTTATCTTACCCATACGTTCCTACTGGACACGATATAGGGGCTGGTGAACCTTCAGGACAATAGAAACCTTTAGGACAGACACCTCTATCAGGATTATCAGTATCTTCAGGTGTGGGACTACTAGATCCTGACTGAGACCAATATCCTGGGTTCAGTTTACCTGTAGCATTCGTTAAACCTGAAACAAAACGAATTCAAAATCACTATGCGAGAGAGAGTCAAGTCCACTGACCAAACTAGGTCATTTCGTGACTAACATATGGTTCAATTTTATTTCAATAATTCGCTTGCGCATAAGGGTTCTTAAGCAGTGGGAAGAAACCGGAGGACCCGGTGAAAACCTATGAGGTAGGTGACCCTACTCCTTGTAATGTACAACCGAGGAATCGAAATCACACCAGTTGACTCAATGACCTTATGGTACAGTGTGCACATGCTAACCATCCACCCAACACAAAATACCAGTAGGTCATGTCGGGAATAACAAATTCAATAACTTGTAGGGGTCTTTAGCAGTAGGAAGATCTGGGAAAAACACACAAAGTTAGGCAGGCTACATTACAGACCTTATGGTCTAAAGGGCATAGGTTAGACAAGTGAACCATCCAACTCAAGGACTCTAGAGGGAAAAAAGTTAATATTTATAATTAGTTACCTGGAGTTTCACAATAATGACCCGAAATACAGGGAGTACATTCTGATTGTTGTGTTAATCCATCTCGTGATCCGAATGTTCCGGCTGGACATGGATCGCCTTGTCTGATTGGTATGAGAACAGTACTAGCTATACAGTATGATCCTTCAAACAGAAATAAAACAGGCATTATTTAATTCACAAAACATTCCATTCCATTTTTCAATAGGCTCCATGTGTCATTACATTTTCACTTAAATATCAATTTTCTCACAGCTTCACACTTAAACATACATTATGCAAGAGCTAAATCGGCCTATTCCATTAATTCGACATTAATTAACTCATCCAGACCATAATCAACTCTCGATGACATCGCTAGCCTACGATATTTACTGGATTAGAATCCAATCTGCTGCTAAATGCTTATTGATGAATAAATCAAGAAATGGATAATCGAGACTGTTTTTTATCGTACCAACTTTAGTAACGATGATTGAGGATAGGCCTAAAATTCAATCGCTTAATTCTCGGTTCAGAGTGGATCAATTTGACTGAAATTTTCTGCAAATTCCCTTTACATTATCTAGTTTTTAACTATTATAGTGAGAACTGACAACTCTTTATCAAATCTCCCATAATGTATCTTAAATGAACTTTGATTATTTAATGTCTAATTAAGAAAACAAAATCAAAATACCAACACTAGATCATTTCCTTTCTTGGATTTATACTAGGCCTAACAGGTTTCTCCGCTAGCAATAAAAGATGGTGGCATCTTGTTACGCTCGAGCAACATTGATCAATGAAATTTCAATTTTTAGGTCGATATTGTAGTTGGAAAGGGATTCTTTTATGGCTCAAATCATATTTAAGCCTTTAACCTTTAGGAGTACCCCTTCACTGGAGTACCAAGCAGTTGCACATATTCCGGCCATAGTCGCTCGGTATTCTATCCATTTTTGGCCGCACGGGTCCTAAGAGTTAAGTTTTAAAAAAAAAATTTGAAAGTTTGGATATCAATGTTATATATCTGTATCTAAGAAATTATGATAATCAAATTTACCTTGTGGACAGAGTATGGGAGCTTCTTCTGGATAACAAAGAAAACCAGCTAGACACAGTTGACAGATAGATTGTCCAGTACTATTAGCGTAATATCCTATATCACAGATTCTTGGTTGATCGGTACCTTCTGGACAGATATGATGTTGGGGACAGATGTTTCCAGTGATGTTATCAATAGGATCTGGTAACCATGATCCACCCAGACAGTAATATCCAGCATTACAAGGACCTGGATTAATATATAAAAACACACAAGACTTAATGGGATACTCAACTGAACGTTCCAGAATTGAATTCTCTAAATATGAAAAATTATGACATTCGAGTGAAAATCGAGTCCTACTGCATAAGAAAAGCTTTGGCTTTCATACAATTTTATTCCTTTTATATGATGACATTCATGTTTTGATGAACGACAAAAAATGGGGTTTACCATCCTACTTTTCTGTATCAACACCAGGAATTTTAAAACTATTTGATAAAATATTTCACACTTACCTGATGGTTCCGTTAGCGCAGTGCCATTACAATATTTTCCAGGATCACACGACTTGCAGGCTGTTAATTCATCTTTTCCGCTACGGTCAGGATTATACTTTCCACGTGGACACGCGATCATCAATGATGTTCCTTCCGGACAATAGTAACCAGGGTGACATGTATCTCCAAACAAAATGGCTGTCTTATTACCAGATGTGTCATTATTGTAAACAGGACTGTCATCCAAGGCAGCACCATAGCAAATATGTCCGGCTATACACAGGCCTGCAGGTTGTGTAGCTCCACGATCTTGACAGTAGGAACCCGCTGGGCAGACGGTACAATCGTTTATGCTGGACATGTGAGTTCTGAAATAGAGAGAGTAATGGGATTTAACGTCCACCCATACAAACTAGGTCATTTCGGGACTAACATATGTTCAAATTTATTTCAATAATTCGCTTGCGTGTAGGGGTCTTTAGCAGTGGGAGGAAACCGGAGGACCCAGAAAAAACCAACGAGGCTGGACAGACGACCCTACGCTTGTCAAGTACAACCGGGGAATCGAAACCACGCCAGTTGGGTTAGCTAGGGGCCTGCTCAATGACAAACCTTATGATACAAAGCGTACATGATAACCATTCGGCCACTCAACCCCACTTCCCCAGGTTGGCCATGAATGGTGAGCTAATATAATGTAATGTAGATGATGGTTGCCAACTGTTTGTTGTGGGTTTCAACAGAGGTAATGCTAGAGCCTTATTCTAACTCTGTACATGATGACAGACCTTTATAAGTTCACATCACACAAGTTGATAGCGCATTCATTTTTTACTTAAGACCTAGCAACATAAACTGATCTGGGTTCAATGGTGCCATTTACTCATTTTACGCGTACTATTTTATATACAGGAAACAGGAGTAATTAAAGCTGGACAGGCTGATACATCTGCGTGGAGACAGGATCAAAAGATGATACCGGCGGGGTGGAGTAGTAAAATAAAATTATAGTATCCCCGCTTAACAGAATACACAACACAAAATTTTAATTTTATCTTGATAAAGGGTATTGCACCCGAAAAGTCGACCCATTAAACGATCTTCTATTTCTACAAGTCTGCTGTGTATTCTGTTGAGCGGGAATTCTTTAATTTTATTTTATATACATTAAATAGGAAATATTTTTTATCTAGATATACTTCAAACACCTTTATTTTTCTAAAACTTCAAAAACATTTTATAGAATATCATTTGCAGAAGGAAGAAGTTAATATTGTGAGTTAGTTATCCCCCACCAATGTCATCCAAAGCACATGTGTTAAACCATTTCAACACCCAAACACCCCCGTAAAAGAGAAAATGTCTGCCATACCTGTTGGAGAATGTACCAGGAGGGCAATCTGTTGGTACAAAACTACCGTTACCACAATAATACCCAGCTGGACACGCTACTTGATCCGTTAACGTTTTATTAGGACAATAAAACCCTGGTTGACATTCGAAACATTCGCTATAACCATAATACGGCATATAGGTACCAATACCACATTCTAACTGAGCTACAGATCCATTGGGTGAATAATAACCTGAAATATATAACATAATAACCTGAAATATATATCATAATAACCTGAAATATATAACATAATAACCTGAAATATATAACATAATAACCTGAAATATATCATAGTAACCTGAAATATATCATAACATTTATATCATGGATGTGTTCACTTCTATGGAATATAGTATTTCTCCTATTTTGAACGTCCGCATTCTATTTCTGTTTTTTTGTCCAATTTGGCAGAGAGACTTTGTACCATTCATATTTTGTCCAATTCCTCCATCGGGTTTTGTCTGTTGGTTTAATACTGAAACAACTTACGAAATGAAACCGAGAAATAATGGTTTGAAAGTCAGGACGAAAGTCGACCTAGAAAGCTTATTTCATCTGTCAACCCAACTTTTATGAAAATATTTGTATGGAACCGTCATTTTGTTTCCATAGAAACAACTGACTATACATACTATTCTTGTCAGCTTTACAGGGCTCAAAAATAGAAGAAAGTGCCCCATCATGACTACCACCAATTTTAATCAAAAAGCATCAAATTAAATCAAAAGCATCATTAAAAGTTATGGAGAAATACTACATAACATACCTGGTTCTGTGATATTCTGACGTGGTGTTTTAGCGCCCCCTGTACAGAAATATCCTCCCCAACAGGGGCCTGTTGGTTCTCCGCCTGCTATAGAGGAACAGTAATATCCTGGGTCACATGGGTAACAGTCATAATGATTGACAGCCCCGGATACATTACTGTACGTTCCTGCTGGACACGGTTTAGCCTCAAACGATCCTGAAATTTTCATACAAATTATAAATAATATTTGAGAATTGCATTATATAATATCAATGTTTTGCCTGGACAATGTTTTCGCCTACTCTTCATCCAAGTCTTACTATTGGTTTTGCGTCCAACCCGAACGAATGTTACTTGCCAATATCGGGATCAGACTAGGTAACTCTTGATTGACCAACCAGCACAGCCACTGAGACACCTTGGATCAAAGAATGTAAACGTTACTATCTCCGTATTTATCAAGATAAAGAGAGAGATGGATACAAATGGTTGACAGAGAAATGGGGTTTAACATCCACTCAACACCAACTAAATCATTTTGGGACTAACACATGGTTCAATTTTATTTCAATAATTCGCTTATGCGTAGGGGTCTTTAGCAGTGGGAGGAAACCAGAGGACCCAGAGAAAAACCATGAGGTTGGACAGGCCACCCTACTCCTTGTCACATACAACCGGGGAATCGAAACCATGCCAGATGACTCAATGACAGACCTTTTAATACAACACGTACACGCTAACCATTCAGCCATTCAACCCCCAAAATTTATCAAGATAGGGATTTTCAAAGTTGTAGAAATTATTAACATATGCCGATACAATCTTTATTAATATAACAGAAATATAACTTACCTAGTACACAATATCCTCCGGCAGGACAAATAGAACCAGTGATGCCATCTGTAGGAGCGGAAGTCTTGGCACCTTCTAAACATAAATATCCTGGATCACATGGTGCTCGGGCCTGCAGGAGACCTGGAGCATCACAATACCAACCCGGATCACATAGTGTACAATCTTCTAACTTCTCCAGATCTAAAATAATACACATATCAATTAACATCTGGGGATAACCTGATAACCTGAGAGAGAGAGAGAGAGAGAGAGAGAGAGAGAGGTAACCTTCTCTCAACATAAACCAGGTCATTTCTTACATTCAATCAGTCAATAGTAATTTAAAATCTGACTATTCAATGTTACAAATTCATCTGATAATTTTCACCCAAATGTGGCTCAAATTGTGGATATTTCTATTTGAACAAACACTGTGAGGTTGATATCATTGAGCAACAAATAACTTTTATACATGAAAATATTTTAAATTAATATTTCAACAATTGGGAGCCAGTGCAGTTTATAGAGAATGAGAGTAATGGGATCATTAACCATTCTGGCAGTGGCATTCTGCAAGTTTTTTTTTATTTTTTTACACTGTGAGATACTCATCTTGTAATAAAGGGAATTACAATAGTCTAAACTAGACATTATCATTACCATTGCATGAACAAGTTTATCGGTGGATTTCATGTCAAGAAGTCTACAAATTCTGCCAATCTTGAATAGAGCGAAAGATATAATTTTACACGTTTGAGATGCTAAACTCTCCATCGAGCAGTTAGCATCATTCATCTACCCTGATTATGAAAATGATCTTACTTGTTGAGTTTCCATAGCGCCCCATAGGACAGGGTTCTGGTTTGGATGAATTAACTCCACAGTAATATCCACGAGGACAATCTATTGGCTGACTGGTTGCTAGAGGACAGTACTTGGTTACAGGACAAGGTTTACAACTGGCTAGGTCTGGGGTTGCTACAACATCTGTATAACTTCCTTCTGGACATGGTTCCTGAAATAATACAAAACAATCATGAAATGAAATGGGGTTTAATGTCCTACTGTTCTGCCTCAACTGGGCTAATGAAGACGGGCATATGCCATGTGTAGACAGACCTCAATTTTTCACCCCATCCATACGATTATACATAGTCCCTTGCATTGTTAAAGTTACAATTTCATATTTTTAGGTTATATTTTTAAAATGTATTAAAATAAAGCCCTAAAATAGATGGTATCTATAAACGTTCCTACCTTGTTAAAGAATAATCCTATTAATCCTATAATTCACTATTGCCAGTTGAGAAATTGGCAAAAATATCGTTTTCAACTTCAAATTCAAACGTTTGAAGATAGCTATTCCATGATGGGGAATAGGAAAACAAGGGAGGTAATTGCAAGGTAATTGTGTTATTATTTCCGGTGTGAAGATTTTTAAGTGTGAGAAAGATAACCTATGATCGTATAATAGTGAGTTGACAACCTATTGAGCAAAACATTTGAAGATAGCTATTCCATGATGGGGAATAGGAAAACAAGGGAGGTAATTGCAAGGTAATTGTGTTATTATTTCCGGTGTGAAGATTTTTAAGTGTGAGAAAGATAACCTATGATCGTATAATAGTGAGTTGACAACCTATTGAGCAAAACAAGGGAGGTAATTGTGTTATTATTTCCGGTGTAAATGAGTTTTAAGTGTGAGAATGACACCTATGATCGTATAATAGTGAGTTGACAACCTATTGAGCAAAAGACATAGAAATAATTATATCTTGACTTTCTTAGAAAATATGAAATTGTAACTTTAATGTAAAATATAGGATATTTTTTTACGTTATTATAAGGTTCCGTTTCACTAACCTGATCATTTCCATACCCTCCAATGGTTGGAGGTTCCACTCCGAATGGATTGGTAACAGGACTTGGACAATAATATCCCACTTTACACGGACCTGTTTCAACGGAACTTCCCTCCTGACAGTAATATCCAGGGGTACAGGGAGCGCAGTCAGTGTTCACGTCTGCTGCCCCAACAGTTTTACGTATGGTTCCTACTGGACAGTTGATCTCTTCTGAGGTTGCTGTAAAAAAAAATAAAAATAAAAAATTTGGGACTAACATATGGTACAATTCTAGTTCAATAATTTATTTGCACAGATGTCCTTAGAAATATGAGAAAACTGGAGGACCCAGAGAAAACCCACGAGGCTTGACCCAATTAAAGACCTTATGACCTAAATCGCTCTAACTTGACCACTCCAGCACCCCAATCCAATGTTTGCGTGAGCACAAGAAACAGGAAGTCAAATGTCAAAGGAATAACATGACCAGTTCTCCTTGTTAAATGTATTTTACCTCAAATTAAAGGGGCTGCAATGCATGTATTGTTTCTCATTTACCGACAGCTCTTCACATATATCTCTGTAATTCTAGGCTTTTTCATGTCAATCCCCCATGTGCATTTCCATGCACGATTATTTGTATTTCCATGTGTATGGAAAGAAATCCCTGAAAAGTTTTGGGAATCCCACGTAAATGATGTGAGAAGTGAGGATTTCTCTTTACAGCATGAATCCTGTCATTGGCTTTTTATAATAACACCATTTCAAATATTCTGCCATTTGAAAGCTGAATAAGCAGAAACAAGAGTGGTTAGTGGAAGAGAACCTCTGTTTATATGCTAGAAAATTAACATCCAGAGAGAGAGGGAGAGATGGGGTTTAACATCCACTCGACACAAACTAGGTCATTTCGGGAATAACATATGGTTTAATTTTATTTCAATAATACACTTGTGTGTAGGGGTCTTTAGCAGTGGGAGGAAACCGGAAGATCCGGAGAAAACCCATGAAGTTGGGTAAACATCCAGTTGGGCACGCCTGTGCACACTTCATGCAAATCATTTTTGTAGAAACAGTCGCATTACATTTTAGACTGACTTTTTCGCCAGCGAAACGCGTACATGGAAAGTAGGCCTTACCTTCGGGGCAATATTTTCCCACGGTGCAATCTGTTGCCTCGGAAACAGCCTTCAATCCTCCAACACAGAATTTTCCTGCAGGACATTTCTTGGAATTCAACATGGCTTCCTCGGACGTAGTGGCATTATCGCAGTAATAACCTGGTTCACAGACTTTACATGATGACTGACCAGGCTTTGTATAAAAACCAGTTCCGCAGTCGGTCGGATTGATTGATTCACGGATACAAAATGATCCTCCGGGGCAAGGGAGACAATCCGATTCACTTTTAGCTGGATCTCCTGAAATAATTTAATATAAATTTTCATTGTATTCACCAAAAATCGCAATAACCTAATTTATCTTTTTAATCACTTAAAAATCTTTGTATTCTATATTCTCATTGAAAATTACGATGGTTACAGATTTAGATTTAATTGTCATTTCTGTAATCCATGTACCCAAAATGTTCAACAATATTTTTTGAGAGAGATCGCCTATCTGCAAACATTTTTGATCAAAAAATATTTTAATTTTGGTCCTATAAAAACTATAAGATTGTCATTAGATGTACCATCAGAGTTTGGTACAAGGAGATGAGATTTTAAATTTAAATTTTTGATAAAAGAAATAATTCAATTTTTGTTTATAAATTTTGTTAAAAATCAAATTTTTGTTTACAAATTTAGCTCACAATTTAGTTTATAATTTTTTGTTTACAAATTTAGTTTAAAATGTATTTTTATAAATTTTGTTTATAAATTTTGAATGTGTTACTTACCTGGTCCTATAAGATTGTTTGTGTTACCTACAGAGCTCGGTACGACTCCCCACGGCATGTACGTACCAGTGGGACACGCCTCGACAATACCCACACCAAACTCACAATAATGGGCTACAAAAACAAATAAAACAATGACTTAATTGATAAAACATAAAATTCACACCATTTTCAGATTAAATATCCCTATTTATAAATAATGTGTCAAGTAGGGGGTGATTATAAAGAAGAAATTTGAGAGACATGGTTCAACATCCACTCGACATAAAGTGGGGAACATCGGGACTAACATGTGGTACAATTTTATTTCAATTTTCTTGCACTTAAAGTTGGGGGGGGGGGGGGGGTCAGTAGAGGGATGAAGAGTAAAACTACGATGTTGGGCAGACGCCTCTAATCCTAGTCACAATCAAGCTTAGGACTAACATGTGGTACAATTTTATTTCAATAATTTTCTTGCACTTGGGGAGGGGGGGGGGGCAGTAGAGGGATGCAACCATTACCAGACGTGGAGTAAAACTACGATGTTGGGCAGACGAATCGACTCCTGGTCACAATCAAGCTTAGGATCGAAGCCACGAAACCTTACTGAGAGACGTTATGATCTAAAGCATGTGTGTTAAATAACACAACCACACTTCGGTATATTTTAACATGGATTATGCCCTGAAGAATTAACGATGATCAGTAAATTTCGCGACAGATTGATCGGTTCTCAAACAACTATTTCATTGGTTCCATTTTATGCACCATCCAAATAACTGACATTTCAGAATTATCAAAGTTTAATCTATTTCATTCTTACCTTGTGTACAGTGTACACAGTCACTGAGAGCTGATTTACCATAGAAAGCGTTGTACGTTCCATTAGGACAGCCATATTGAGATGCAAACTTGGTTCCCGCAGGACAATAATATCCAGGAGGACAGAGGTCGGTTGGTGCTGCTTCACCACCTGAATATAATAACACAGAATATTTATTGCTAAATCAATACGTCTTTTACCATTGCCAACAATTTATTTGTCCCCTATATACCCCAACAATTTACAATATTATGTCACCTAACAGCCCCAACCATTCACAATATATCTCATCTACCAGTCCCAAAAATGTTCAACACATGTCATTTACAAGCCCCAATAATTTATAATACTATGTCACCTTATGGCTCAAACAATTTACAATATTATTCACCTAACAGTCCCAAAAATTTACAATATTATGTCCAAATTCTAAAATCGCCAGTTGACTCAATCACAAACTTAATGATCTTAAGCCAACACATAGAGCCTTCCAAACCCCTTAAAAAAACAAATAAAAAAAGATTTTAATTTGATTGGAAATGAAATGAGGTTTAACGTCCTACCGTTCTGCTCCGACTGGGCTAATGAAGAGGGGCATACGCCATACAGTGTACTATGAGTGTCATTTTTTGCCCAGACAGCGGCGCTATGGCCTACTCTTATATTGAATTCCAACTGTCAAAAGATCTTTTACATGCACACCAATGTGTACATGGGACCTCAGTTTTTCATCCCATCCGAACAACTAGACAGCTGCACTTGTCAGGCCCTCCAAAATTCGATTGGAATTTACACCAAATCAAACACGCACTATTTAAAGAATCCGATTCTGGCGAGAGTCTAAATTTGGATTTGCTTCAGTCAAACCGGTTTTAATATTGATAAACTTACCGTTACAGTAGTAGTTAGGTAGACACGTATCACACTGATTCTCAGCGTAAAGATCGGAACGATTGGAGAAAGTGCCAGCAGGACATGGATAACGGTCTGGTGATGGCGTCTGTAGAGGACAGTAATGACCTTGTTTACACGGCTGGGGAGGGTTTATTGTTACACCTGTAATATATAAAATAATAAAATTATTCCCACATACAAACTGTGTGATTTGATGATATAGTTGGAGTAAAAAACATATTCGAACAAATTTATCTATGAAATTATTGCATTTATATTGTGCGTAGGTGGAAAGCTGGAGGACCTGGAGAAAATCCTACGAGGTTGGTCAAACTACCCTACTCATTGTCACGTACAACCAGGGAATCGAAACCACGGATATCAGAAGGCCATCTTTTCCCTGTAAGATCACAACATCAATGTTGATTTAAATTGACAAATAATTTGTGTTTTCAATGTCGAAGACTGTGGATGATATTGAGTTAGAGACTTAGCTACTTTATCATTTAGCTACTTTAACATTTTACCATAACTAGAGAAGTTTCTTGATTGGAATTCATGTGTACTTACCTGTACCCCAATCACAGTAAAAGCTGAGTGGACAAGCATCACATTCATCAGATGAGGTGAGATTTGTTCTACCTGTAACCGTACCAGGTAAACAGGGAAACTGATCAGCTGTTATTGTACCTGGTGGACAGTAGTGACCTGAAAAAACAATTTAAATATTGCTCATTGATAAATTAATTAATTTGAAGAAATGAAACGAAACCAAGGGTTCTATTTATGTGCACAAACTTGACTAATGAAGATGGGTCTGGGAAGGAGGGAGGGAGGGAGCAAGTTTGTGAGAGAGGGGGAGAGAGACAGAGAGTTTTCTTATCTCAACCAAACCTGGATTGAAGCTCCTAATCAAAATCTTACATAATACATCATTAAATATTGTAAGGATAATGTTTGTTTAACTTCCTGTTTCATTGCTTCTTTCACCAAAATAGATGAGAATATATATTTAACATTTATCAACATGTCCATACATATACAATATACATTCTGAAAAAGATCTAATCTTCTGATTGGCTGAACACTTACCTTCTTTACATGGTAAAGTAGAAGCTATTTGATTGGCTAAAGGACATGCAAAGCCAGGTTCACAACGATGGCAGTTGATTGGATGACCTGTTCCATTGTCAGGGTTATAGGTGCCAGGGTCACATGGTATCGGGGCTACGGTGGGTTCAGCCTGGGTACCGGCAGGGCAATATGCTCCCGCTGGACAAATATCACACTGTGTGGCATCTAAAAAAAAAAATATACAAAACAAATTCTAACAATTGCTTACAGACTATCAAGTTCCATTCCTTACCATACAAGTTTTTATTCAGATATTCAGAGCCGAAGTTGTGAAAATAATTAGGAAGCTATTGCGACAGACACCCATAGTCAGGCATCTTTATTTTGATGCCCACTAAAAATATTTACTAGAGTGTCATGGGTTAATTTTATGCCAACTATGAACAAAACATCCAACTTACAAATGAACTCAGGTCGAAATATCGTCAAACCCAGGACTTCCTGGTTAGTGTGGCAGCGCCTTATTCACTGAGGCAGCGTGGTTCCCTAATGAAACTCGAAACAGAACATTAAATTCACAAATTAACTTACTTTCTAACCCGAGTTGGCTACTGTATGTCCCGACAGGACAGGAGTTCTGGAAACCGGATCCTTGACCTCCCGTACAGTAAAATCCGGCTGGACAATTCTGACCATCTGTCGCTGATCCTTGTACACAGAATTTAGTTGCTGGACACGAAACGCAAGCGGAATCACTGGTAGCATTCTTTTTATCGTTGTATGTCCCACCTGGTAGAGAGATAATTCAGCAAATTAAAACACATATCACAATAGCTTGATAGATAAAAACAAGAGAAACCGAGTCAAAACGTCATCAGAAATAAACTTTTAAGTAAATTGTATTCCATATAATTGTGATAGGAGAGCAAATGTTGGGATTGTTAATTCTCATATTATGCAGTAATTGTTGTGATTCTGGTGGGTGGGGTTGGTTATGATGTCTAGGACAATGTCTTCATGTTAGACTGATGATGGAACAAGTTCTGCAAAGTATTGGGGATTGAGGGTAGCTGGAATAAGCTCTTCAGGTCATTTGAGAGGAACAGTGTCTTAAGTTATTGGGGCTGATGGTGGATGGATGGAACAGTGTCTTCAAGATATTGGGGCTGATAGTGGATGAAACAGTGTCTTCAAGGTATTGGGGCTGATAGTGGATGGATGGAACAGTGTCTTCAAGTTATTGGGGCTGATGGTGGATGGATGGAACAGTGTCTTCAAGTTATTGGGGCTGATGGTGGATGGATGGAACAAGGTCTTCAAGGTATTGGGGCTGATAGTGGATAGATGGAACAAGGTCTTCAAGGTATTTGGGCTGATAGTGGATGGAACCGTGTCTTCAAGTTATTGGGACTGATGGTGGATGGATGGAACAAGGTCTTCAAGGTATTGGGGCTGATAGTGGATGAAACAGTGTCTTCAAGGTATTGGGGCTGATAGTGGATGGATGGAACAATGTCTTCAAGTTATTGGGGTTGATGGTGGATGGATGGAACAGTGTCTTCATGTTATTGGGGCTGATAGTGGATGGAACAATGTCTTCAGGTTGTTGGGGTTGATGATGAATGGTGGATGTAACAATGTCTGGAAGTTATTGAAACCTATGGAGGATGGAACAATGTTTTCAGTCCAGCATCAATTCCTGTTTCATTCAAACATTTAATACAAAACATGTTGGATTACCATATCGTGGAATTGTAATTAAAACGAATATTAGAATTTTATCCAATGCAGGTTCATCAATTAATCATATAACAGCCATTGAGATGCAGATGCCCTGTTCAGATGCTGAGTGCCAAAAACCTGAGCCCTGTTTTGATGCCAAAGCCGAGAACATTGTTAACTGTAATTACAATATTGACGTGTTGTCATTCAATATTTATAGTTTCTAATTATATGTGACATAATGTTTACTTCTGATGTAGTGAACGCATGCCCAGTCTTGACAATCAGATTAACTTTAGTTTCCGATATATCTGGATGCTTGGGCAACTTCTGTTGCTAGGGGTGCAATCTTAGTTCTGTGTTTTACGTATTGGAATGTGGACATGTAATTCATCTGTAATTGATGAAACCTGGTGTTGATAGTATATTTTATAATTTGTGAATAAACAGAGGTACCTGGACAGGGATACTTTGTTCTCATTGGTGTTCCCTGTAGACAATAATGGCCTTCTGGACATAAAAACGTACTAAAATCTTCTACACCGGGACCTTCACAATAAAATCCTGAAAACACAAAACAAATTGCATTTAAACAAAGAGTCGACCAGCCAATAAATTCAATCTGCAATTGCGACGCCAAGTTGTTGGGGACTACTATATGGTTATTTTCTCCCTCGCTAAATGTGATAATTTTATCCAGGCGGAAGGGTTTAATCCATCTTCAATAGAAGGCTTGATCTCGCTTTAACTCCGTACATCTTATCAAGGCCTTCATGAAGTACCCTACATTTCTCGGCACTAATTCCGATTGGTTCCTGACCATGTTGGGGACCTCTCAGATTCCTCAATAGAAAATATCATCGCAAATACCAAGTTTATGGTGGTATAATTTTATTCCAATAATTAGCTTGTGCATAGGAGTCTTTAAGCAGTGGGTGGAAACCCACGAGGTTAGGCAGGCGAAACTAATCCTTGTCATGTACAAGTGTTGAATAGAAACCAAGCCACATGATCTAACCAAGCCTTATGATCTAAAGCTGCCTCACATTACAGACCACTCGGCCTCTCAATCAGGCAGTAAAATATACACCGATGTATAGGTCCTACCTGCTGGACAAGCTACACATGCTGCCAAACTTGTTGAGGCGTTAAACAGGTTGTATGTTCCAGCTGGACACGGATAAAACTCTTTCCCATCACACCATCCACCCTTAGCACAGGCTCCAGATGGTGGTGCTGCCTCCGTTGATCCAGCTAAACAGCGAAATCCATAATCACACACGGTACAGGAAATGGCTCCACCTGCTGAGTAAGTTCCTGCTGGGCATTCGGTTCTCTTGGCAACTGTAAAATATAAATTGATGACATAAACAACATAATCTGATAAATATGCTAAATAAAATGAAATGGGAGAGAGAGAGAGAAATGGGGTTTAACGTCCACTCAACACAAACTAGATCATTTCGGGACTAACATATGGGTCAATTTTATTTCAATAGGGGGGTCTTTAGCAGTGGGAGGAAACCAGAGGACCCGAAGAAATGAAATGAAATGTGGTTTAACATCCTAGTGTTCTTCTCCGTATGAGCATACACCATACAATGTGCTATGGGGGAAATTTTGCCCGCTCAGCGGCACTATCGCCAACTCTTATATCAAATTTCAGCTGCCAAGGGATCTTTTATGTGCACGCCAATTTATACATGGGACCTGGCTTTTTCGTCCCATCCGAATGACTACACAGCTTTCTTTGTCAGGCCCACCATCCTGCACCAATGACAAGGGGGCAAACGACACCAGAAAATCCCAACGAAGTTTCTCAGCCAATGCAGAGATTGAACATGCGACCTCCAAGCTAGCAAGTCAGCGTCTTGCCCCCTTAGCCACCATGGCTCACGACAAGGAGAAAACCCACGAGGTTGGAGAAATGAAATGGGGTTTAACTAACATGTAGTAAATATTTATTCAATAATATGCTTGTGGGAGGAAACCAGAGGTCCAGGAAGATGGATCTGCTTCTTTTCATATACAAAAATAGGATCAAAGGGGCTATACTATATACCGGAAAACACCGGAAAACAACCGGAAAACACTGGAAAACTACCGGAAAAACACTATATACCGGAAATCACACTAAATACCGGAAACCACCCTAAAAAGGTAACCCGGAGAAGGGCTATACTATAAACCGGAAACTAACCCTAACCCTAACCCAGCACACAGAGGACCAGACTCCCGGTTACCTATTTAGGGTGCCAGTCTCCGGGTTACCTATTTAGGGTATTTTCCGGTATTTAGTGTGTTTTCCGGTTTTCAGTATAAAATGGTGTTTTCCGGTTGTTTTCCGGTATATAGTATTGCCGGGATCAAAGCCACACCAGATAACTCATTGACAGACCTTAAGAACTGAAGTAGACCAACTCAATTTTAATGTTCACTCATCACAAAATAAGCCATTTCGGGACTAACATATGATAAAAATTTATTAAATAATTCACTGTTTCGTTGGGGTCTTTGACAATGGAAGTAAACCAGAGGACCTAGAGATATCCAATAAAGTCGGCCCAACACCTTTTCACGTACACGTGTTGGATGGATACCACATCACTTGACTCAATGATATCATGCATATGTTAGAACACTCATCCTTTAAAGTCCACTCATCACAACCAAGGCCATTTTGGCACTAAGATGGGCTAAATCTTTATTCAATAATTTGCTTCTCGTTCATAGGGGCTCTTTAGAAGTTGGGGGATCAAGCAGAGGGCCCTACTCCTTATCACATATAAGAATGGGATTGAAACCCCACCACTCAAGTCACCAAAAGTTAAAGTTACTTATGAAATATGTTTCAAAAATTATCTTTGTTTTCTTATAAAGGATTGGAAAAGCTTAATTCTCCAAAAGTCAAATACGTACATTCAGGTGTCGGACAGTAATATCCAGCCTCACAACCAGTACAGTTGATTGCCCTGGCAGCACTATAATAACCTGGATCACAGAGTTGTGCCCCTTGATCTAAGAATGGACATCTATAGCTTTCATCACATGGTGTACATTGTTTAGCTTTGCCAAGAGAATATGTTCCTGCTGCACAAGGTGTTCTAAAAAAACAATCATAAAACACAGAAATTGGTGGTGGTGGTCAAAATTCTTTTTTTGAGAATTGGGTTCCATAAACTTAAATTTACTTAAAGGGGCAAGATTACTCTCATTAAGAAAACAAATGAAATGGCAGTGGTAAGCTGATACTGTTGACTTATGAACTTGGGCCTTACAATAATAATAATAATAATAATCACTAAAAGATATCACTACTAGTGTAAAAGCGTTGCTTTTTATAACACCCATCACTATTGAATACACAAACCTGGACAATATTTGTGTATATCATTCAATAGTCATGTTTTTAACTCTCATGTACAACATCTATCAATATTATATATCTAGACTAGGTGGTATCAGGTGTTCTAGATAGAGTTAGCATACCCTGTCTCATATACGACATCTATCAATACTATATATCTACACTAGGTGGTATCAGATGGTCTAGATAGAGTAAGCATACCCTGCATCATGTACAACATCATGTACAACATCTATCAATACTATATATTTAGAATAGGTGGTTTCAGATGCAGTTGTTCTAGATAGAGTAATTCTATCACGCATCAAGCTATAAAATATAAAACACATGTTGTAGTCCTACCTGCTGTCCGAGTTTGTTGTTGCACATTCGTAACCTGGAGGACAGTTAGTACATACTGATTGATTCCCCGGTGAAAACGTTCCTTCTACACAAGTTATCTCTAGATTCTGGGTTGTTACAGGACACGCTCTGAATAAAATAGAAAATAAATAATTACACAATCAAGGTCAGTTGTTGTGTCTTATCTGGTGTTCTTTGGTTTTTATAAAACTTTTCTTTTAAAATCACATAAAACTGCAAACAAAGAGTGTGGGGACCCTTCAGGAATAAATCTTATCGTTGAGCCATCCATTTTGATTCAGATACTTTCCAAATGACATATTTTTATCACTACCTCGATCAGTTTTTAAAAGCTGAATTATTTGTGACATGTACTCGCGTCTACTTCAAGATTAAAATGTTTAAGATCTGCAAAGTGTTCTTTAATTCACATTGGTCTATTTCATCACATTTCTTGCGAACTGACAAAACTGATATATTTAAGTATTGAGAATTATGCGTTTGACATTTGTGCTCTGTTGTTATCTCTGTGGCCATCAATCACGGCGGGCAGTGTGCTGTGAGAGAGAGAGAGAGAGAAATGGGGTTTAACGTCCACTCGACACAAACTAGGTCATTTCGGGACTAACATATGGTTTAATTTTATTTACATAATTCGCTTGCGCGTAGGGGTCTTTAGCAGTAGGAGGAAACCGGAGGACCCGGAGAAAACCCACGAGGTTGGACAGGCGACCCTACTCCTTGCCACGTACAACCGGGGAGTTCTATGAGAGACATTCGCTCGGACGCAGCTCTATGTCCTACTCGTACATCAAATTCCAACTGTCAAGGGTTCTTTTACGTGCACGTCAATGTGTACACAGGACCCTGTTTTTTTCGTCCATTTGAACGACTAGACAGCTGTCCCTTGCCAAGCCCTGCATCTCATAGAATATAGAAATACTTACTTTCCTGCTGGACAAACAGTACATGTTGTTTGTCCCCCTGTAGAATACGACCCAGGCCAGCACCGCGAGAATTCATCCGTTGTTGAATCAGGACAGGAGTAGCCAGACGGACATGATAAACATTCTGTTGATCCAGCACGTGAAAATGTTCCGGGTAGACAATCGGTGATTCCTGTACCATCAACATTCGGACATTTTTTACCAGCGGGACATTTTGTACAGACTGTAGCAGAACCGGTGGAATACGTGCCACTTGGACAATTTAATTCTAATGCTTCACTGAAAATACAAAAAAATACACAGTGTAAACCAGGGGCTGCCAGGCAGGATACGCCCACATGTTGCAAGAGATGGATAGAGAACAAGCTAAAAACAAAAACGATTTTTTGAACAATCAGGGGAAATAAAACAGAAAGTTATGGTCTGAAATGCGCAAATATCAAAAGAGACTGAGATTTTTGAAATATAAAGATATGTTTTATGTTTTATCAAAATTGGATAAAAATTGTGACCTCTAGAGGGTTCATAACCTTTGTATTACATACTTATATACACAATTTGCATACAAAGAACGTCCATATTCATTATGGCGGAATGGTGATATATCTAAACGTTTTTTAAAATCGGACAGAAAATTGTGACCTCTAGAGAATACACAAGCTAAAAATGTGATTTTTCGACCAATCAAAAGGAACCAAGATCTTTATGATAAAAACATGTTTTAAAGTTTTATCTAAATCGGATAAAAACTGTGGTCTCTAGAGGGCCCACAACCTTGATATCAAGGACAGGAGCGACAACAATATACGTCCACATGAAAATGTGGGCGCATATAAAATACACAACACAGTTTTAAAAAATAATACACAACACAGTGTAAAGCAATTCACAATACAAAAATGATTTCCCAAAATCTAAAATCATTTTCTTTTTTAAATGACAAGAATAAAAATGAAATTAAAAACAAAACAATTTAATTATTTAAACCCAACAATATGATCAACAGGTATTAACTGATCAAATCATCTCTTGTTGTGTGAAACATAAAAACTTGTCATAGAACAAACCATCAAACATCGTTAAAATAAAAATATTGTGAATAGAAATGTTATCTTCAGTAGTTAAAACCATAACATATACTTACATGGAAGAACAATTTATTCACATTTTGAAGCAATCGGATTAAAATACAGATCTATATTTCGTTTTGTTTTCGGTTTTTTTTTAATACTTTTGATGGCCCCTACTACATAAAGATCTGACTAGATGTATTGGGAGTTCATGTCACGGATCAAACGACTGGCTTTTGACCCTATGGTGTCAGACATTTGATTACCTAATCAGTGTTGATGTTTCCAATAGGATACCCACAGTTCCGTGCATTGCATGCCAAAAACTTGCTGCAACAGACCGTTTGATTGGTTAATCCCTCACATCAACCAGAAAGCGGGTTATATAACAACTGTTCCAGATCCTGGTGTAGTAAGGACATATAAAACGAAATTTTGAACTATAAAAAACGAAATGAAATAGGATCTGTGTTTTAACCAGATTGGTTTTGAAGAGTATTCTATCATTTACTTGAAAATGTTGAGGTAAACATCGTCAAAAGAAATTAGTAATTGTTCTTCCATGAGTACCTATCCTATCCAATTTCTAAATGCCTCTAAACGATTGTTTCAGTAATTTGGAGAAGAGAATGAAAATTGAGTAATAAATAAACTTACTCTGTTTCAGGACAATATTTTCCGGTTGGACATGGAGTACAGATGGTTTCCCTGACAACGGAGTATGATCCCGCTGCACATGCCACGATAGTTGTAGGGTCTGTGTTGTCAGGACAACTGTAACCACGGGGGCAGACGGTACAGTTTGTAGAACCAGGTGAACTAAGGTAACCTAAAATCACAAAATAACTTTACTTCACACAATAAAATGAATATCAAAGAACCTACAGTAGTACACAGGTCACAATTCTATGGAATACAATTATTGCTTATTACTGAGTGACATTTATACAAAGGCTGATCTCAAGTCAATTATTTCAACGGTTATATATACAAACGCCATGCTTCAGTCAGTTGCTTCAACCTCCATACAAAGGCCGTCCTGAAGTCAAATGCTTCAACCTCCATACAAAGGCCGTCCTTAAGTCAAATGTCTCAACCTCCATACAAAGGCTGTCCTTAAAGTAGCTAAGTCTCCAACTCAATATCATTCAAAATCTTCCACATTGAAAACACCAATTATTTGTCAGTTTAAATCAGCATTGATGTTGTGATCTTACCGGGAAAAGATGGGCTTCTGATATCCAATATTTAAGACAAAATAAACATTTTACCATTAGTACACGAATCGTGTACCACAATGCGTTTCAGTGTCATTTTTAACAAGGGACAAGAAAGAACGAGACTAGAGATTCCGTAAGTCATGCCAAGCGCTGACGCAATATTCTTATATGGAGAGCATGCGCAATAGACTGGTATAACCAGACGCTATAGAGATTGGTATTCGACTGAGACTTCTGGCGTATTTCGCCGAACATAACTGATTTGAAATAAGAGTAAAAACTGAAACGATAGAATGTAAATCAGTTCATATACATTCAGAAAACATTAATGTATGCGTTGCGACCCATTTGTGTCAACTTCTAGGTCCCAAATATTAGCGATTTAGCTCCTTTAAGTGAAACGTTTAAATCTCCATACAAAGGCTGTCAAAACCAACATTTCAACCTGCTTACAGAGGCCGCCGTGAAGTCAAACAATAAAAGAAATGAAATGGGATTTAAAGTCCTACTGTTCTGTTCCGACTGGGCTCACGAAGACGGGCATATGTCATACAGTGGAAGCAAGGGATTATTGAACCAATTATATAATATACGTAATATTTACCGATATCACAGCTAATGGGTGCGGCTGTTGTTGTCGGACATTGTGATCCTCCGGGACATTGTACGCAGGCTGTAGTGGATGATTCCAGATTATAATATCCTAAACTACAGGCTGAAGGGGCCGTTGACGTACTGGCACAATAATAACCTAAAATAACACAATATCATATTATAATACACTAAACTACAGGCTGTTGGGGCCATTGAGATACTGGCAAAATAATAACCTAAAATAAATACAATATCATATTATAAAACCCTACACTACATGGTATACCAGTACTCGCACAATAATAACCTAAAATAACATAATATCATATTATAAAACCCTAAACTACACGGTATACCCATTCAATAATAACCTAAAATAACATAATATCATATTATAAAACCCTAAACTACACGGTATACCCACTCAATAATAACCTGAAATAACATAATATCATATTATAATGCCCTACACTACACGGTATACCCGGTCAATAATAATCTGAAATAACTCAATATCATATTATAATAACCTACACTACACGGTATACCATATTATAAAACCCTAAACTACACGGTATACCCGGTCAATAATAACCTAAAATTACTCAATATCATATTATAAAACCCTAAACTACACGGTATACCTGCTCAATAATAACCTGAAATAACATAATATCATATTATAAAACCCTAAACTAAAGGAAATAAGGTACATGTGAAAGAAAACATCAGACAAAAAAATTTGTTAGATTACCGTTCTTTGAATCAACACATATTAAACTTTATAGGGCTCCAGGATTTCTACATGTATATTTTAATTATTTTAAAATTAGATTTATTGGCTACACAAAGTTGAACCTTCTCCAAATCAACATATAATAAAATAGGATAAACCATCAAATACCTGCTGGACAGTTTGTACAGGCAGTGGCTCCACCTAGCGAATAAGTGCCAGACGCACAATTTTGCTCGGCAGATGTACTACAGAATTTACCAGCTTGACAGTTTGTACAGCTTCCGGCTCCAGATAGAGCAAACTGTCCAGTTGAACAGGGGATTTCAGCGGAGGCACCTTCGGGACAATAGTTTCCAGTTGTACATGAGGAACAGGATATGGCTGAAAGATATACAAATAGAAAGAATCTTAGAAAATAAAAGTATAAAAATATAGCTTGCTACCTCTCATAATCCCAGGGAGGCAGGGTACTATAAATAATCTAGAATTATTTCATTATTCAAACAATCTTCATTAGTGGAAAGGAATGGAACAGGGTTTAATTTCTTGTCAACACATTGCCTCAATCATTTTCTGGCATAGGTGACATTGCATAATTTTGCCCAGGCAGCAGCATTTGCAGGTACAGTTCCTCAAATTCCAACAAACAAGGGATTCTATGTACACCTTTAGCCTATCCTTGGCAAGTGGAAGGTTGGGATTGAAACATCCTGATGGTTCTTCATAACCCACGCTGGGATTCAAACCCCGAGAAATATCCGCAGTAATTTTACTTAGAGGTCGAATTGTTCCTTCAAGACATAGACCACAGACGCTGACACCCAATTGTACTTACATGCTGCGGGCCCAATTCTTCCATCAAATATTTAATAGGGGCCATAGATGATCACACCCAATTGTACTTAATCCTACAGGGATAAATATTCTTCATGACATTAAATAGGGGCCTCAGACAATCACACCCAATTGTACTTACATGCCACAGGGATAAATGTTCCTTCAAGATATTTAATAGGGACCACATTGTATGTACTTACATCCTATAGGGCTAAATGTTCCTGCAAGACATTTTACAGGGGCCACAGCTGCTGAAGGACATTTATAACCTCCAGGACATGTTGTACAAGATGTCTGACCAGCTGTTGAATATGTATCTGAAATAATTCAATAAAAACTTTGTTAAACATATAAATAATTTTAAGACAATGCTTTAAATAGGGGGCGGGGGTCCCACCAAAGCGGCTGGTAAGTAAAAATAGTGGTGTTTCATGATTGGATGAGTGGTAGGTTAGAATAGTGGTGTTTCATGAGTAATTTTGCATGGAGAGAGTGGCACTTCCTACAAAATTTCTTCAAATTTGTGCGATTGCGAAATTTATACCGAAAGTAATGAATTTAAAACTGATAATCACCAATAATTTAATATTAAAAATTACCAATAATTTAATACTGATAATCACCGTTAATTTAATAACGATAAATCACCAGAAATTGTAATACTAATTATCACAGGAATCGAACATGGGACCTCCAGGTTAGCAAGCCACCAAGCTGTTTATCTAAGTGTTACATAATGTATGTTTAAGTTGCTGTATATCAATGAAGCATGATTACATGGGTATGTTTAAGTTGCTGTTAATCAATGAAGCATGATGACATTTATAGAGGTATGTTATCTGTGAGATATATCAGTATATACACAATAGATGATCAATATACCATATAAATATTCTACCAACAATAATAAGATATCTACATGTATATACTATTACTACAATGTTTCTCTTATAGTAAATTTATATTACTATTAAACAGAAATTTACTTCTATATGTCCTATAAGGATTACATAACACAGACTAAGTATATATCACTATTGAACAGTCTTCTAATTATTATATACTACTACTATATTGTACAGGTCAGCATATACTTTAAAGCAGAAATATTGGTATCAAAGATGCATTATGTAAGATTTAGACACAGAGCTGGACGTTCTTGCTATAATAGTTATATTAAATGTATTATGTAAGATTTAGATAAAAAGTTAACTTTCTTCCTATAATAGTTTAAAAGTTGATAATGAAAAAGGAATGCATTGAAAATTTCAAATTACTTCAATCTGAGTGAAGTAATGACTGTTTGGAGAATATCAGTCTTGATTTTCATTGCTACCGTTGTTATATTAATAAACAAAGTCTCAATTATCCATTTTTAAATTAAATTATTAAATAGTGATTGTGTTTAAATCCATTCAAAATCACAACCATCCGAGTCTAAGAGTTGATTATAGGCTCGTCATGTGAATAAATGTCTAAATAATAATTCATATAACATTTGAAGCCAAAATAACGACCTACAATACACAGATTTAGCTCTTACATAATGCATCTTTAATCCATATACAACTCTAATTATATATAATCATGTCCAATTTTTACATAGTGTGGAAAAAACGTAATGTATAATGATGGCTATTTACAGCTTACTGTATCATTTAAATGAAATTAAATGAAATGGGCTTTAACGTCCGACTTGGCTAATGAAGACGCGCATACGCCATACAGTGTTATGAGGGACATTTTGCCTGGACAGAGGCACGACAGCCTTCTCTTAAATCGAATTCCACCTGTCAAGGGATCTGTATCATATAACATCCAGCAAAGAGAAAAATGGGGTTTAACACAAACTAGGTCATTTCGGGACTAACATAGTGGGGTTTTTTAGCAGTTGGAGGAAACCAGAGAAAATCCACATGGTTAATAAATTCTCACACGCAAGTGTGGGATCGAAACCAAGCTACTGGACTCAATAACAGACCTTATAAAAAGTAAATATACTAACTTGATGGACAGTTGCTAGGAGCAACAGTTGTCTGGGGACATTGACTACCAGCTGGACATTGAATACACGTTCCGCCACCTAGCAACGAATAATATCCACTGCTACAATCAGTGGGATCAGATCTGCAATAGAGAAATTGATAAAGAAAAGTATTCAGACATTTTAAATAGAAACAAGTTCAAAATCTTATATTACACAGTAGGAATCAGGGCCAGGGATTTAGACCTTATGGGAATACCCGGATCATTTTAGATTTTGGAAGCCCAACAACTCAGAAGTTTAATAACATGACAAATAAAAAAATTGAACTAAAATGTTGGAAAGAAATATGTGTTAGGTCATTAATATAACAAGCAGTTGCCTTGCAAGATACGCCCACATCTTACATGAGAACACACTAAACAGAAAAGTGATTTTCGCAAAATAAGGGGCCATAATCCATGAAGTTAGGGACCAATACATGCCAATATCGAGCACCAAATCCCCCCCAAAAAAGAAGAGAAATGAAGAAAAGAGAGAAGTGAAGAATAATTACGTTGGATTGTTGCATTCTTTTCCTGCAGGACACTGTAGACAGACAACATTGTTAACATCACTGATTTCATCTGAAAAAACACAATAATTATAATTATTCCAATAAATTAATCATCATCAATTAAACATACATTATGCAAGAGCTAAATCTGTCTATTGCAGGTCTTTCTTTAGGCCTGAAATGTTATCTAAATTATTAATTAGACATTAATTAACCTATCCAGGTCATAATCAACTCTAGATGGCATCGCTAGCCTGCAATCTTTAGTGGATTATGAGCCGATTTACTGCATAACATTCCTTCACGATTTAACGATTAAATGGATAATCGAGACTATGCGGTTTTTCGTACTGACTTTAGTAATGATGATCAAGGCTAGCCGGAAATTTCAAACGCTTAGTTCTCGGTTCATAGTGGATCAATTTGAATGAAATTTTCAGCAAATTGCCTTTACATTATGTAGTTTTTAACTATTATAGTGAGAACTGCCAACTCGTTATCGAATCTCCCATAATGTATCTTTAATTAATCATCATCAATTAATGATACATTATATATATAATTCTGTAAGATTAGATAAAGAGCTGGCTGTTCTTGTTATAATAGTTCAAACATAGATAATGAAAAATGAATAAATTGAAAATTTCATTTAAATTACTTTATTCTGTGTGAAATTCTATCTGTTTGAAGATATAGCGTGTTTAAATCTCCGCCATCTAATGGTCTAGAGAGTTGATTGTAGGCCTGTCATGTTAATAAATGTCTAAATGATAATTTATGTAAGATATGTGACCTGTAGAGTGTCCACCGACAAATTATCGATGGACGGACAGGGACGACGACAATATAAGTCCACATAAAAATGTTGGCGTATTATAAGTATTTCATATGTACACATGGGCGTGCATGTAAAAGATCCCTTGACAGCTGGGCACAATTTCCCTCATAAAATATGGTATAGCATATGTTCGTCTTCATCAGAACAGTAGGACATTAAACCCCATTCCAATTCTGAAGTTAAAGTTCATGTGATTATAGATCTACGTGTGACGTCACATCATACAACCTCGACAGCACGTGTGTTGTTTACATCTGATGTAGTAACACAAACTGATCCAGCAGATTTTACGCCTTCACATACTATTTTATTTTGTACTTACTTGATGAACAGAGGGTACATATATCACTACCCAGTGGTGCAACATAACCTTGTGTACAGGCTACAGGTGTTGAGGTGGCGTTTAAACAACTAGAACCAGCAGGACAATCTTGACATCCACCAGAACCTAAAATATAAATACAAACATTTTAAAATCACAAAACACTTTCATACTGTGTGCAGAGGAGAGGATTTTGTCACAACAGCAGCATTTCTTCCTTGAACAATTTAAAGATAACAAAATCGGGCGAGATAAGACAAAAGAAAACAAGCGGAGGCTACCCTCAGTCCTGCCCCACCCCCATCCCTGAACCCAAGAGAGAAAATTTGAGGAACACATAAATCCAAAAAAATAACAAATCACAGGTGAATAGGGAGAGGGAGGTTTAGAGAGGTTTAACATCCAGTCAGAAACAAACCAGGTCATTTGAAGACTAACAAATGGTTCAATTTTATTACAATAATTCACTTGTGCGAAACAGGAGCTAATCGGAGTACCAGGAGAAAACCCATAAGGTTGAACAGGTAACCCTACTCCATGCCATGTACAAGTGAGGAATCAAAATATTTCAGTCACCCAACCATTTCACTAAACTTTATTATCTTCCAACATTCATCTTATGTTATTGCTTTTAATGAAAACCGATTCCTATCAAACAAACTCACCAACTGACGAGGAATATTGTCCTGGTGAACACGGAAGACAGGAACCTAATCCCAGGGTGCTATAGTAACCAGCATCACATGCAACAGGTGCTCCACGATTTGGACATTTTGATCCAGCTGGACATTCCTGACACGAAGACTGACCTGAAATAAAAATCAATTAAAACAATAAACAAAATCAATATTTCACGACTGTAATGAAATATTTGTTTGTGTGATTATGAAAATCTGGGGAGAGAGAGAGAGAGAGAGAGAGAGAATTGGCTTAAACATCCCCTTGACACAAACCAGGTCATTCTTGGACTCAAATATGGTTCCATTTATTTTAAAAATTCAATTGTGCGTAGGGGTCTTTAGCAGTGGGAGGAAAACGGAGGACCCAGAGAAAACCCACAAGGTTGGACAGACGACCCTACGCATGTGATTGATACTCTTTGAAATGTCTGAATAAATTAGCAATTTCATTGCTTTATCCAAGTACCGAACACCCATAACCAGCGGCTGCCATGCAGGATATGCCCACATTTCCCAAGAAATGGATAGAGAACAAGCTAAAAATAAACGCGATTTTTTGTACAATCAAGGGCAATAATCCAGAAAGTTACAGTCTGAAATGTGCATATATCAAAAGGAACTGAGATCTTTGGGATATAAAGATATGTTTTAAGTTTCATCAAATCTGATAAAAATTGTGACCTCTAGAGGGTTCACAACCTTTGTATTACACACTTCTACACAATATCGAAAGGAACCGAGATCTTACGGTGATAAACCTATATTTCAAGTTTCATTGAAATCGGATAACAATTGTGACCTGTACAGTGTTCACAAACAATTGTGGACGGACGGACGGACAGGGGCGACGACAATATTTTATGTGGGCGTATAAAAATTGTTCATTGAATGAAGCCATGGTGGCTCAGTGAGTAATACACTTGTTCACTGGCCTGGAGGTCTAAGGTATGCGCCTGGTTTTCGCCACGATATTTCCTCGGGATTTACCGGCATGGTTTCCTCTTGTCAGTTGTGCAGGACAGAGGGCCCAGCACAGGTGTGTAGTTATTCAGATGGTACAAAAAAACGAGATCCTGTGTACACATTTGCATGCATGGAAAAGAACCCTTTCCAGATGGAATTCAATATAAGAGCAGGCGGTAGTGCAGCTGTCCAGGCAAAATTATCCCCCAAAGCACACATATGCTCGTCTTTATTAGCCCAGTCGGTGCAAATCCATAGGATGTTAAACCCAATTTCATTCATTGTAATATTTTGATATTCCGTAGAAACAAGTGTCCCAATATGTACCTGTAGATGCTGTGTAACGTCCAACTGGACAGAGTTGTGGGGCTTGTGTCGGGTCCGTACAGGTGTGACCAATCGGACAATCTGTACAGGTAGAGGCTCCACCTAGTGAGTACTGTCCACTACCACATGTTGTTGGTGTACTTGTTCCATCTATTGGACACGCCTGACCCGCAGGACATGTTTTACAACTTGTAGATCCGGACACATCGGAATACTGACCAGCCGGACATTTCTGGAATAAAACAATAGCAAAGTAAATAAAGGGGAACAAGCAATATAGAAAGAGTTAGAGATGGGGTTTAACGTCCACTCGACACAAACTAAGTCATTTTGGGACCAACACATGGTTCAAATTTATATCAATAATTTGCTTTGATGTGTAGCTGTAGAGCAAACGGAGGACCCAGAGAAAACCCAGGAGATTGGACAGACGACCCTACTCCTTGTTACGTACAACCGGGAAATCGAAACCACGCCAGTTGACTCAATGACAGACCTCATAATCTAAAGAGCATGTTTCACCATTCATGGGTGCTGTACAACCGGGAAATCGAAACCACGCCACTCGACTCAATTACAGACCTTATAATCTAAAGAGCATGTTTCACCATTCATGGGTACTGTACAACCGGGAAATCGAAACCACGCAACTCGACTCAATTACAGACCTTATAATCTAAAGAGCATGTTTCACCATTCATGGGTACTGTACAACCGGGAAATCGAAACCACGCCACTCGACTCAATTACAGACCTTATAATCTAAAGAGCATGTTTCACCATTCATGGGTACTGTACAACCGGGAAATCGAAACCACGCCACTCGACTCAATTACAGACCTTATAATCTAAAGAGCATGTTTCATCATTCATGGGTACTGTACAACCGGGAAATCGAAACCACGCCACTCGACTCAATTACAGACCTTATAATCTAAAGAGCATGTTTCACCATTCATGGGTGCTGATAAAAGTATACGATGATGTAAAATGCACCAATTCTCCCTGGATCAGTTTGTGTCACTACATCCGATGTAAACAATGCACGTGCTATCGAGGTCTTGTGATATGACGTCACACATAGAACTTTAGTCGTCTTGTACAATGTTAAAAGGAGGTTTTCCAATAACCTCTGTGAAACCGATTGAATGAAATGTTTGAGATAATTAAGTCGTTGATTATCCGTTTATTAACTTACCGTACAATAGGATTGAATCAAATATTCGAGATTATCAAGTCGTTTATTAACTTACCGTACAATCAGAGGACTGAGTTTGTTCTATTTGATTATTATACGCTCCAGATGCACAATCTTGTTTGGGCGAGGTTCCTCCAACACAACTAGAAATAAAATATATATATAAAAATACATGTACGTTATTATACGTTCCAGACGTACAATCTTGTTTGGGCGATGTTCCTCCAACACAACTAGAAAATAAAATAAAATATATGAAAATACAAGTACGTTGAGTAGGGTCAGATATATTTCTGTGAAATGACTGGGCTAATGAAGATGGACATACACTATATATGACGAGGGAAATTTTGCCCAATCGTGTGCATGCCAATGTGTACACGTAAACTTGTTTCTTTCGTCCCATCTGGATAACTATACACTGTCTCGTGCCAGGCCCTCTGTCCTCCACCACTGGTAGAACCATGCCGCAAAATCTCGATGAACTCCACGCAAGCGAGCCAACATCTTACTCACTGAGCCATCACGGCTCCCCTTCGACAATATGAGATTTGCGAGAGAGAGAAAAATGGGGTTTAACGTCCACTCGACACAAACTTGGTCATTTCGGGACTAACATATGGTTCAATTTTATTTCAATCATTCGCTTGCGCGTAGGGGTCTTTAGCAGTGGGAGGAAACTGGAGAACCCGGAGAAAACCCACGAGGTTGGACTGTTGACTCAATGACAGACTTTATGATACAGGGCGCACGTGCTAACCATTCAGCCATCCAACCCCCCCTATGAGATTTGCATGTCCTACCAAAACACATACACAAGTGGACCTATGTTTTCCCAGACAATCCAAACAACTAGGCAACACTTTGCTCGTCAGTCCTGCCAGAAAATCCCGCATAAGGGCGGAATCGGCCAACCGGGCAGGAATAATCTCGAGATTCCAATTTCTAACAAATCTTAGAATTCAAATAAAAATTAAATGGGTTTAGTAGTTGCCTTAAAAAATGTAGAAAATTTCTTGGATTTATTTTCAAATGAAAAATTTACATATGAATAAAAGAGAGATAGAGAAATGGGGTTTCATGTCCAATCGATACAAACTAGGTCATTTCGGGACTAACATGGTTTAATTCTATTTCAATAATTTGAATGCAGGCAGGGGACTTTAGCATTGGGAGAGAGAAATAGAGAACCCAGAGCAAACCCACTATGAGGTTCACCAGTAGATCGTACTCCTTGTACTGTATAAGCTTGGGATCATAACCACATCATATGCTCTAAAGCTCTTGATCACCTATCCCCAACCCCTTTCAAATGGAATATTACATAAAATTAGAATAAAATGACATCAGTATATAATATTAATACGATCTGAGAGAGAGAGAGAGAGAGAGAGAGTGTTTAATGTCCACTCAACACAAACTAGGCCATTTCGGGACTAACATATGGTTTAATTTTATTTCAATAATTCGCTTGCGTGTAGGGGTCGTTAGCAGTGGGAAGAAACCGGAGGACCTGGAGAAAACCCACGAGGTTGGACAGGCGAACGATCTATGAGTTACTTAAATTACACATATTATGGTTTAAAATGAGGTCACAATATATAATATTATTACGGCCTCGATCACCCAACATAAAATTAGAATAAAACGCTGACACAATATATATTATTATTAAGTTCTATGATGTATTAAAATATACAGGTTTAGGTTTAAATTACATCAAATATAAAAAAAAGTATAAAATGATGACACAATATATTATCATGATCTGTAATTACATATTGTTTATATATTACCTAGGTAACGATATATAATATTTATCTTTATATAAACCACCTGTCAAAACTTGATGTCTCACTACTATTTATATTTATTTTATTGTTTTTTCAATCGTAATATAATCTTTACGTTAAGTTGGTAGCCGAGTTTTTTCTAGTTAGTATCAGGTATTACACCTAGTCAGGTAAATAAATCAATCGGTTAAAGTGACACTCAAACATCAAAATCTGATATTGTATGTATTATCAATTTCAAATGAAACAAAACAGGGTCTAAAGCGGGGTTTATGTCATCCTTACAAGTGCAACTTGCGGAAACTAGCATCAACAAATTGCGGTCAAATTTGTTTCCATGGAAACAACATCACATGATACTATAAATATGTCATGTGATTGTGAAAATAGGCAAAACTGAAGCTAATGAAGGCATCATCATTGGCATGCATGTAATTGAACGTTAATACTGTCTGGGCAAAATTTCCCCAATAGCGCACTGTATGACATGTGCGCATCGTGATTATCCCAAGTGAGAACAGCAGAATGTTAAACGTCATTTTATTTCATACATATATGGGTAGTATGGCATGTCAAACAATTTACAAAGATTGAACAGGACGACCTTGATGAGTACAAAAAACACAATTACTTTAAATTAGTTTTCTCGCGTACGTCTGGTGATTTTATTAATTGTTTTGTATATTGATAGATACAGGATATAATCCCTACCACGACTAGGTAGTATTACCAGACAATAACAGACCATAACAATACAGTACCTATATACAATAGAATGATAGATTTACTTTATATACCAGTTCATCTGACCCCTACAATCGAGTATATAAGTTAATCTGACCCCTACAATACAGTAATAGAATGATAGGTTTACTTATATATAAGTTAATCTCACCACTACACACCTTCTCAATCTTTCTGGGTGATTTTAATCTACTCAGACTTGTTGTAATCTACGATAATCCCAGCTAAATGGATTATTTATCACATAACTGGATATTAAATAATATTATTATAATCAGTTAGAGATATATCAGTTACTGGTTATTCACAGACTATTTTTGAAATATCTTTTCTTAATTTCTTTAAATGACATATAGAAGTATAATATTCATAATAACATAACTTTATGGATTTACTACTTCTTGGTTTATTACATGCAACGTTTCAATACTCTTACAGGTATCTATATCAAACAATGATCAATAATGAATAATGACTTGACATTTATAGTACATCCATCAGTAAAACAATTTAACAATCAAAACATTCAATTATGAATATTATACCTCTACTTCTAAATGTCATTTAAAGTTGCAATTTCATATTTTTAAGTTATATTTTTAAAATTTATTAAAATAAAGCCTTAAAATAGATGGTATTCATAAACAGTCCTATCTTGTTAAAGAATAATCCTATTAATCCTATAATTCATTATTGCCAGTTGAGAAATTGGCAAAAATATCATTTTCAACTTCAAATTCTAAGTTATATTTTTAAAATTTATTAAAATAAAGCCTTAAAATAGATGGTATTCATAAACAGTCCTATCTTGTTAAAGAATAATCCTATTAATCCTATAATTCACTATTGCCAGTTGAGAAATTGGCAAAAATATCATTTTCAACTTCAAATTCTAACGTTTGAAGATGGCTAATGCATGGAGGCAATAGGAAAACAAGGGAGGTAATTGTGTTATTATTTCCTGTGTCAATGATTTTTAAGGGTGGGAAATAATGCCCATGGTCGTATAATAGTGAGTTGATAACCTATTGAGCAAAAGACATGAAATAATTATGTTTTGACTTTCTTAGAAAAAATATGAAATTCTCGCTTTATGGGTATCCTGAAGATTATTTTCAGCATCATCAAACCTTGGACCGCAACTACTCCCTCAAGTTATGATATCTTTTCTCATTGTTTGAATAATAAATTTTATGACAAATTTAAAATTCAGAATTTTATCAAGAAAACTATTTTATTTCTGTGAGTAAAGTACATGATTTACTAAATATGACTTTTTATTATAAAATTTCTGACACTTTTAGTTTGACTATTATAATTTCATTATAAGACTCGATTTCATGGAGAATTTAAAAAAATTTTTTTTTAAATTCTCAGCTCTACGTCTTAAATATGACAGGGACAACATATAGGTGTTTGGAGAAACTATCCTTCCTATTGGAGACCTTATCCTATTGGACAAACTATCCTACTTATTGGACAGACTATCCTTCTAATTGGAGAAACTATCCTTCCTATTGGAGAAACTATCCTTCCTATTGGAGAAACTATCCTCCCTATCAGGGAAACTATCCTTCCTATTTGATAAACTATCCTTACTTTAGGGTGACCCACCATAAATAAATATCTCCATATATCTCGACAATTTCGCCACAATATTTATATATATGCCAAGCCTCAAATCAGTTTCACACAATTATAGTCACTAAATAAACGATCATGTTGTACTTAATAAGCTATGAGCACTAATCATCTATAAATAATAGACTGAAAACTGGTTCCATGTGTCGTCCATAACATCCAGACACTTTTGAGTAAAAGATAGGTTACGTGCCCTTGTTTTGAAATTAGTCTCGGTTAACCAGTCTATCGACCATTCTAGGGCTGATTGACAGGTCGGGATAATCAAGACTACTTTTTTACGAAACATAACAGAAAGCTAGAACAAGAAATTGAATTTAGAAATGAGCACGTTAGCTAGCTCAACAATTGTTTTAAGAAGCTTGTAAAAGTAAAATGAAACTACTGCTAGTATCATGTTCCTGTCTAACCCGAGTGTTTCAGAGATATTATTTGTACCAAACCAAAAGATGTCGCTCTTAACGGTACAGTTAATGATAAAGCAATTTAAAAAATAAAACGAACGTAATTTCTAAATCTGCTGTAATAACCAAGAAGCTTAATTTTACTGCTATTCAAAATCGTCAACAATAAATTTTTTACGGCTGTAATAGTTGATAGATTTGTAGAGAATTGCACGTGCCATGGCTATTTATAGTATCATACTGTCAGAAAGTTGGCCTCGACACGGCGAATGTGCACGCTTCAGTGGTAGTCTCGAACTATCAGCGTTTGACTGTATTTCTGTAGGTGCATGGGTCACCCTACTTACTTGAGAAACTATCCTCCTTATTTGAAAAACTAATCTCCTTTCTTTTGGAGAAAATATCCTACCAATTGAAACTGTCCTTTGTGAAGAAATCATCCACCTATGTTATAAATTTTTACCCTTTTCTGGGATAACTCTTCTGAAAGAAACTATCTGCTATTTAAGATAAATTATTTCTAATTGAGAAATTGCATTACCTACTACAAGAAAGTATTGAATTATTAACCAAAATGAAATGGGGTTTAACGTCCTACTGGGCTAATGAAGATGGGCATACGCCATACAGTGTGCTATGAGAGAAATTTTGCCCGGGCAGCGGCACTATCGCCTACTCTTATATCGAATTCCAACTGCCAAGGGATCTTTTACGTGCATTCCAGAATTATTAATCAAAATCTGTTTTGATTCCATATGGCAAACATTAATCTAACAATAAAAATATCCCTAATCAAGTCTGATATTCTAACCCATGAAGTGGGATCTTTAACAATATATTTTTATTGTAATTATGATGACAAACATCAATATATTTATAAAAATATCCCTAATCAAGTCTGATATTCTAACTCTGAAGTGGGACCTTTAACAATATAGTTTT